TCCTTTGTGCAGAGGGTGTTGCGCAGAAAAATTGGTCGTAACCTTTCAAAGGAATTCTGTCATGACACATAAGAGTTAGGGAGCTATAAATAGATGACTATCACAGAAAGATTGACTCTTTGTGATGTATTTATTTTTTCTTTTGAAATCAAACAAAATGTGAGGATGGCCTGACATCCAGGTATTCCATAGGAAAGCAACCTGAAAATGGAAGGAATGACTCCATTTCTAACAAGAGGCATTATTCCCTTACATTGTAAAATCCACAGAAGGACAATATCTTTATGTTGCAAAATAATGTGCAAGCTTTCAAGTTCCCCAGAACTCTCCATCAGGTTAGATGGCCAAAAAAATTGCAGGCAGCAGAAGAGAGAGGAAGAGAAGATGAAGGCTGTTGATAAAGTCATCAGTTTCTACCTTTACTTGTGTGGATTGGGAAAATTCCACCATAAACGTTTTACTGCAAAGCTACAGGACCTCGAGAACTTTGATTCTCATTCTAAAATATAGAGGGGGCTGCTCTGTATTAACTGATTGACAGCTAATTAAATTCATTGACAGCCTTTGCTGTTACTTCCAAGAGGGAAACCAACCAATGACTGGATATATTACTGCTAGGTATTCTGTACAAATGCAATTGATTGCTTACACAAAAAGATAGCAGTTCTTCCAAAATTATAGGAATCATATTTTAATGAGCTGTAACTAATGATAAAAGTGCTCTTTAGAATGACAAGAACCATTAGATACTTTGCATGTTTTATTATTCCTAACTACACAAGTAAACTCACCCCATAAAACATCATGATATTATTATTTCCAGAACACATACCTGGAGCCAAGCACATACAGACATCATGTTCCACCACAAGATTTTTCGTTGTTGCATATTTCTTGCTTTATTAAGTATGTGATTGACAGCTCTTGACATTTCTTCAGATAAGGAAATATTTTAGTGTTTACCTGTGATACATTTTCTTATGATTCAGGCATTAATTCAGAAGAAATGCATGTAGCAGCTGGAAAGCACAGATATAAACTAAACATAGCTTCGCTTAGTAGCGATTTGACGTCGACTGTCTCCCACACCCTCTGTATAAACCACAAAGTGAGCTATGTACACAGTGGCTGAAGTAATAAAGAACCTTCCCTACACATTACAATGCAAACCCAAGTAATAAAATTTTGCATCTAGAAAGGGAAAGGAACATGTGTTCAAAAATTAGGGGGCATCTTATACACGGATATATCTCTGCCCATTTTCTTAAATCTGAGTCCCCCCAAAAAGGGGGTGTCTTACACATGGGGGCGTCTTATAGACGGAAAAATATGGTATGCCTCTAGGATGTCCCAATAAGGGTTTTATATTGTTATGCTGATTAGCTCCAGCTATTTGTAATTAGCATTTAAGCAATTTTAACAGAGCAATCCAAATCCCCTTTGTGTCAGGTTGAAGGTAAGGATGGATTGGACAGAAGTATCCCTGTTCTAGCTTCCTGCTGGCTTCTGTCTGCAGAGTGACACCAGTGTTACTCCACCAGCACCAAACTTCACATTCTGCCCAAAGAAGAAGTTGCTGGGCAGAAGCGCTGCCAGTAGGATTCCCCACTAGTGACAGCCTATGAAAAGCCCTGAAATGGGGCATTCCAGGGAGGGAGGGGAGGATGAGTCATAGCATTGGACCTGATCTGGATCAGACAGGTGCATCTACTCTGGGCTGGTGCGCATCAGGGCCACAGATGCTGCTCCATTAAGCCCTGCCAGGCAGCAGGGATAGTTAGGGATGCAGCCTAAAACAGTCAGCCCTCTTCTGTAGGACCCATATGCTCATACAACCTCTGCATGGGACATAGCCAGAGCTAGCTCAAGACAATGGTTAGGAAATCCTTTCCAAACCTTCTACATGGTACGGTTGCCTTCCTTTGTCTTAAGGTGGGGCTGGACTTGATCGAAGCACATTGTTAAATAGTGGTAATAGCAGTAGTAGCACAGCTGACTGCAGAACCATGCATCTCAAAGACCCTTAGCACAAGATTTGTCTTTCCAGTTGTAGAAAATTCTGCTTCAAAGTAGACAGATAACAATCTGCTTCAGGTATTGAACCTAAGGGCCAGCGGGCCAATTAACATTTGGTGTCTGGAATGAGACCAAGATCAATGAATGGGAGCAACATGGAGACTTGTCCCTTGGAAGCACAGGCAAGTTGGCCCACTCAGATACAAAGTTACTGAATTATATACACAGTTTCAATAAATTTAGCATGCTGTATGATTAATTCTCAGTGATATCCTTTCCTTGGAACTAGGCATCATAATGGCATCATGCATTTTTTAAAAGTAATGAAAATACCCTTTGGGAGGGCCAGATGCCTGATCCAGTTTCTTATTTGCAACACCCAATCCATAATCCCTCATAAAGCCAATGGCTAGAACAACATGTATTGCTGCAGCTCAGCTTGCTAAGTAACAAAGGTTTCCCACTTAAGTTTCCAATATTGTTAATAACAAAAGAGGCAAGAAAAAAACAGGGTGTCTGCAAAATGAACATTAATCTGCGCAAGCTTCTAAGCAATGTGCTCATGGAGAGGCGTGTGAAAGTGCTGATCGCTAGCTGGCAGCTAGTGACACCTTACTTGTTTCAAACTAAACCTTCTCCTTTTACTACTTGTGGACAGAATGGATTTTCCCGGCAGCACAGGAAACTAGCAGCGTCAGCTGGGGAAACCGGTGCCCCCAGCAGGATAGCCTTTCCACAATTATCAGATAAAATAAGGGTTTTGTGTGTATGTGTGTCCAGTTCTGAGTTTTACGTTTGCTCACCTGTGCTCTTGAGAGTGCAGTGGAAGTAGGAAGCAATTTCCTAGGATCAATATATGTGGGTAGGGCAGGTGAGTGCATGGAACCTTCCCTTCTATCCCTGGTTGAAGACTGCAGCAACAATGGGAAGCAATTCCAGGTTGCTAGGTCATACCCAAGGGAACTGGAATCTAGCCAGAAATAATTTCCCCTCTCCTTTAGAGAAAATGTAAGGAATGAGTGCCAGTAAGCAGAATTTGATTTTCAAAGTGAGTGGTGATGTTCCTTGAGTCTGCACTCTCTGGTCTGAACATGCTAATTCTCCTAAGTTGTGGTATTGATTGTGGTTCCTCAATGGAGAGGGCAAGCTCTCAAGTGTATTATTATTACCTCAAGCAATCCAGGGCTAAATTGGAATAGGCTTGCTATGTTGAATATGACATATTCTGAGTTTATTTCAGATATCTGACCACAGGTGGGATCTACCTATGGGAGTCAGTGCAGAGTGTCAGGGCACAACACCTAACTCTAGTAAGCAGGGATGGAAAGTCACAAATAGTACTTGCACCTCGTCGTAATGTGCCATTGAGTTTACTTGATTAGAAGCTTGCACAGTATTTCATATCAAATTGAAATGTCCAATCTTGTATCCAGATACAAAGCACATTTAATCAGGACCTATGAAGCAGAGTTAAACTGCAATAAATGAGTAGAAATTGCCAGGGGCTACAGTAGCTTCATTCGGTAGTTGTTTTTTTTTTAAAGTTCAAAATCAGAATATTTGGTAAAATTCACACCTGTACATCTGCAGAGATAGGCACAACCATCTCTTTCCCATTGACAATGATGGAATATAAAGACCTGAATGGCCTATCTTAGCTCTGACACTGGACAACTTTATAATTGCATCACATGTAGCTAAGGAACTCTGTCCAGGCATTGGACAGAATCCACCTCCTCGGATCCCTTTAACAGGATATCCTTAGTGAGGAGGTGCAGACAGAGGCTACAACCTCCCCTCCATCTAAACAAAGGTTTACCCAATGCCTAACCACCACCCAGGATCGTGGGATTTAGCCCCATGTTGGGTGAAAGATTCCTGCAGTGCAGGGGGTTCAAATAGTTGGTCCTCGTGGTCCCTTCCAACTCTACAATTCCATGATTCTAAGGGACAGCCCTTATTATAGAGCGATTAGTATGTTTCCAAGAAAATTACAAGAAAGCCATTCTAATGAAAGAAAAGATGGTAGGAATGAGCAAACCGTTAACCACCAGTTCTTCAAATGTTTCCATTTGGTATGCGACAGCTAAAGAGTGGGATGCAGGATTTTACAAATGATAAAAGTTCCTATAGGAGCTTGCAATGTCAGTTTTGACCATGTTAACAGCAATTTTGCATGGATTACTTAGTTCAAGTAGGCCCAGGCACCTGAATGACATCCATGGAAAGGTTAAGATAGTCTTCACATATAGGGGACAGACAAGTCAATGTCCAGCAGAGAAATTAAACAACTGAGAAGCATACATTGAAGGACATTCCCTATTTCAATTTTTGCCCAACTGCAGACTTATCCTGTACCCTTTCACAAGTTCAGGGGGGTCCAGAGAGATTTCAGTCCCTTCTTCACACAGGGGTGGAAACCACATGCAGCTTCTTCTTCCCTCCCTCCTTCCTTCGTCCCTTTCATTTTGCTGAGACAGAAGCTTAGTTCCCACTGAGGTGATAAAGTGGAGTTTGGGCTGTACTGCTGAATACTCTCTTGGGCAATTAGTTCCTAAGTAATTCCTAATTAGGTTCCTGGGTAATTAGGAAAAAGAGTTGTGGGAATCACAGGCTGCATTTCATTTAGTTTAACATTGTTCAAGTACTTTCTAGAGCTAGGAGATGCTGCACACTGATATTGTGTGTGACTGAGGGAAGACAGACACCCTTTCAGAGAAATGCAAAAGGGCAATAAAAAAGGAAACTTGCATGATAACTGAATCAATATTATACTATTTCCTCAATGTTCCTGAATGCTAAATTACAGGAATTACAATGAAAATTTCACCTCTGTTTACTTTCTAATCTCAGCAAACACTGTACCCATTTTGACCACTCCTCCTCACCTTCCATCTCCTCCCCTATGGTAGCATGAATAGCACCAATGGACATTATATAAAGGATGGCTATAGAGGGACCTCTGTCCTTCCCTCTTAGCCACCATGGGGCTAAGGCTTACCAGCCTTTTGACACTATGGCTGGCCATCTGCTATGCAACTGAAGTTAGAAAAGGTAAGACTTTTAAAGGAGATACTGTGGGATTGTCCAGTGGGGAAGCCTGGGGAACACTCACTGGCTGTTGCAATGTGCAACAAGTAAAATATTTAAATTGCTTGGCTAATCAATAAGGTTTTTGAGTATATGAAAAGTAGTCTGTATGACTACTTTTGCATGATGAACACTGGGTGCTTTTGCTCTCTGCTTATAATATATAATATTCTGGATGATGTGAACTAATTTGCTGGCAGAGTTAAGGCATAGGTGATTCTGCCTCAGGGAATTTGTGGTAGGAGGGGAAAGATGTTGTACACTAGCCTATACCAGCCTGGTATCCTCCAGATGTTCTGGGGTTGAACTCCCATCACCTCCAGCCAGCACATCTGTGGAGGACCACAGGCTGGAGTAATTTTTGCCTTAGTTTATCTTGACAGCTCTTTCAGCACTATAATACTGATTTGCCATTATAGTTCATAGATCATACAGCAGAGAACTGTAGAAGGGACCCTGAGGTCCAATGCCCTGCAATGCAGGTAACTCAGCTTAGCATCCATGGCAGATGACCACTCAACCTTTGCTTAAAAGCCTCCAATGAAGGAGAGTCCACCACCTGAGGAGGTCTGTTGCTTTCATCTGTTAGTTAGACAATCAAGGCCCAGCTTCAGGTGCTCAACTGGGCTTTGCAACAGCAGATCCTTATGGATTCAAAGAATCCACAGGTTTTGCACAGAGAGAATAAATACCAAAGACCTGCAGATGGTGTAGAACTTTATTTGGAAATGGAAGCTAAATGGCCCCATCATTTATGGATATAAAGTTGAGTCAGCTAGCATATGTGGTAGAGGAAGTTATTTTATTTTTCAATTAAAAGTAGGAGATTCTGTGTGACTGGCAGAACCTTTACTAGAAGTGCTTCGTCTGTTTTGCATGACCTAAGCTATCCTGATGGATAAATAAACAGTAACCAGAGAAATCATGTAATTGTTGCATTAGTGTGCAGCACTTCACCTGTGTCCCAAGGTGCCTATGTTTCACAGCTTTATGGCAAAGATCTTGCTGTAGCAGCAAGCCCAATAATATGTGTGTGCCTTTCTCAGAGCATAGGTGTACATATTGCTTGATATGTTGCATCGGTAACTATAAAAAATGAAATACCAACATTGCAGTAGAACGTTTAATCCTGGTTGTTGACCCCTTTCCCTTCAGAAGCTCTTTGGATTTTATGGCTTGTTTTTATTTAATTATGTGTCATTTTTCTGCTTTATTGTTCCATGATTGCACTCAGTGGTTGCTTTGCCCTCATTTTTCAGGAAGAACTTCTAGCCATGGCCACTATGTCTGCAGTACTTGGGGGAACAACCACTTCAAAACTTTTGATGGAGATTTCTACCAGTTTCCTGGTGTCTGTGAATACAACTTTGTGTCTGACTGCCGTGAATCTTACCAGGAGTTCTCTGTCCATATCCAGCGTCAACTGAATGAGCAAGGGCACCCTGACATTCAATATGTCCTTATCACAATTAAGGATGTTGCAATCTACCTCACTCACAAGATGGTGGTGGTGGATGGGCAAATGTAAGTTCTTCCCATATTATTATGCTTCTAAGGCTTCCAGTGTTTAGCCACAGTTCTTTCACAAAAAGCTCATAATATAAATTGTGGCAACAACTTCCCGCCACTCAAAATAAACTTGAGGGAAATGCATTGTGTAGAAAGTCAGGGCATAGATCTTAAGGAGTACTGCCACTGAAATCTTGCCTTTTCGAAGTGAGCCTGGAGTTTTTCAGGTGAAACATCTGAGGAAATTTCAAGGAAGTAAAAAAAGGTGTTGTTTTTTAATAAGACTAAGTGACATTTCTACAACATCTCCAGAAGTGTCAAGGGAAGCCAAACTAGTTTTGATAGTTTTTCAGTGAGATTTTGCACATTCCATGAATTCAGCCTCCAACTCCCAATGACATAATTACCTACAAATTTTATTAAATGAGCAGGGGACCATTAAGATTGCAATTTCCCCAGCACTGCTGCTAATGTGCAGTATTTTACAGTCTGGTTTTGAAATGTAACTGAAAAGGCACAAACTGCCGGAGACAACCACCAGTAGGAATTATTATTTAAGCAAGGTACAAAAATGGAAAATCAATACTTATACTATGAATTTCATTTTATAATGCACACAGACTTGACATCCAGGATTGTTAAAAAAACTGATTATTTTCATGGATATCTCTGGCATATTTCACCTCTTTAGTTATACTTCACATACAGTCATCTCCTTTAACAAAAAGACATCCAGAACAAGGCATTGACTGTTATGTTTCCTGGCTTCCCTAAATCTCACTGTACACACTGACCACGTGCCCAGTTACAGTGATGGGCTACTACTACCATATACCTATCCCTATTTATGCTGGAGATGAAGGAGGAAGCTCAGAGAGACACAACAGCAGCTCTCCTAGCTATGCGAACACCATGTGAGAATGACACATCTAACTTGCTGGTGGGCTAGTTCAGTTTGGCCTTTGTGAACTTTCGTTGCTTTTCCAAACCTATCATAGCTGAGATGGATCATGGTTTTTCTTCTTAAAGTAGTAATTTGTAGTCAGAAGGACATTCCACATCAGATTATTGTGTTTGAAATCCATGCCAAATGTTGGGTAATTGGCTTAAGGAAACATATTCTTTCCCATAGTGAATGTTAATATTTTCCTTTTCCTGTAATGTGACCTGTCCCACTATTCGTAGGTTGACTAACATTTTACTCTGCAACAAAGGCTCTGAAATGAGTAAAACCACTTATGCAGTAATATCCTGCTTTGGAAATATAACTCTTGTGTAGCAAGAACTTAGTCTAAAGGGCACTTCAGTTAAAATCAAGAGGTGTGTTGGGGTGGAGGTGGTCAATCTATCAAGTATTGATTTCCTCATAATCACATTCATTGTAAAGGGAGTTTAGAGGCACACAAGCCCCGTCCCATATTAAGGGAATCATCTACGTAATACTGCTACACCCGTCCCACCCTACTCTGGATACATACAACCTGTATAGACTGTGAGCCACAAAGTCTACACCCGCACATAAGCTCACCAGACAATGGTAGGAGACGTCATGCCAGCAGAGTCAAGGACAAACCAAGGTCAGGCACAGGGAACCAATTTGACTTCAAACATGATCCAAGGACAGCATCAGCAGGTAACAGTCCAGGGACCAGTAAAACAGGAAACATAATTTAAGGTAGGCTAATTCACAGGGACTTTCTAGCTACTGGGAGTCTCAAGTGAAGGGGTGATGTATCCTTAGCTTGTGGCATCTCAGGCCACATAGAAACCTAGCTACAGGTGGTTAAGATTGTTCCAAGAGCCCTTTGTCTTGAGGAGTACCCTTACTCATAAGGAAACTTTTACCTTGGAGTCACATTGCAACTCTGGGCCTTCAGTTGCACACTTTGTCATTTACCCATCAGTGGAAAGGCCTGCATCTCAGTGGCTAAACCTATGATTTGCATGCAGAAAGTCCCAAATTCAATCCTCATTACCTGCAGGTAGGGCTAAGAGAGACTCCTGTCTGAAACCCTACAGAGCCACTACCTGCCATTGTAAACAACACTGAGCTTGATAGACCCATTGTCTGACTTTGGACAGCTTCCTATGTTTCTAAGATCTTCAGCCAAGGCTTGAGTCTTTAGGAACCTGTATTAATAAGCACTAGTGACACTGTAAAATCTAAAGCACAGGATGACTAGGAAATTTCCAGTGGAAATATTGAAATAATAAATAAATAAAATATTTAAAATAAGTACCCTCTTAAACTGGCAAGTAAAATTTGACCATCCATTTTCTTAGATGAATGCTGAAACTTGAATGCAGAAACTTCACAGATTTTAACAGGCCATGAATAAGTTTCTGCTTATTTCTGTGTATTCGTGTTCATTTTAGATTGGAAGTTGGGGAGCATGCTGGGATGTTATAGGGGCTGTAAAATAGATCTGAGAAATTCTGCAAAGGTGTGCTTTCTCATCTAATGCTAGCTGTTGCTTGCAATGGAATCTAATAAAAACTCTGTATGACTTTCTTTCCTATAGTGCAAGGACTCCGTACTATCATTCTGGTATTCTGATTGAGAAGAATGATATGTATACCAAACTCTATGCCAGAGTGGGCCTAGTTTTGATATGGAACAGAGAAGCTGCTTTGATGGTATGTGTGGTCTTCAGCTTCTATTTTGATACTTTGGTATAGGTTTTATGGTTCATGCCCAGCTCACCCAAGTGACCTGTTTCTGCCCTATGTCCCTGTCTTGTGATTAAGTGCACCCAACAGAACCTTCTCGACTGCAAGGGAAAGTAGAGAACCATTCTTGGTGGCTGCTCTACAATTCCTCTGGAATTCAATGCTAGTCCTGCTTAGATTAAGCCCATTGACGTTAATGGACATGACTAACTTAGGTTCATTAATGTGAGTAGGGCTTAGTTGAATACAATCCTCTAGAAAGAATTCAGTGTAGCACTAAGAAGATCATTCTGTCGGTGCAAGCAGTTCAGTTTACTAGACAGAATGATCTCCCATGCTCTGTTGTGGATTTTCCTCCAACCCCTGCAAGCCAATTTGGGGAGGCATGGCAGTGAGTGGGCTAGGAGAGGAGCCAAAAGCCCTATTCTGCTAGCAGAAGTCCTTCCACTGGCTTCCAGTAGCAGAACTCATTAGTTGAACCTGGCCCTTCCTTTTTGGCCTCTTTTTTTCTAAAGCAGTTGTCTTGCTTGTCACCTTAGAATCCCAAATCAAACTCCTGGCAACTCTGGTTAAAGGATCTCCTGTGGCAGGAAAGGAAAAATCATATGCTTGAGACACTGGGCCAGCAATGTCAGTCAGAGCAGCCATACTGGGCTCAGTATCCCAATGGTCTGACTCAACATAAGGCAGCTTTACATATTTATTTGCTACAATAGCTGATATGTTCCTTCGGGTTTTCCTTTTTCAATTTAGATTGAACTGGACACCAAGTTTAACAATGGTACTTGTGGTCTTTGTGGGGATTACAATGGCCAGCAGGTTTACAATGAATTTCTCTCCAATGGTAAGTTGGACAACATTATAGAGAAATGATTATTATAATGAGTTACATAATATGAGGAGTTTAAATGCACAGGTGAGAACAAAGCAATGGTTTCTTTGCTGGGTGGTTAGAAAAGTACAGAGAGATTAAAATGCATACTATTTCTAAAAGCTTGGTCCACAAATGTGGAATGAATTCTGTGGGTGACATCCAACTATGTTATACTCACTGAAATCAAGGAAATTATGTAACATGTTCATTTATTTCAGAAGGTCTGCTCTGCCTATGATTGATGTTAGTTGGACATCACCCTAAATTAACAAAAGCAGATTTGGAGATGGTCCAAAACACTATTTAACCTGGTGTTTGTTTGTCAGATCAGGGTGGCTTAAGAGCAGCATATTCTCCTAGGAAACATGTGAATGTTTAAATGATTGATGGAGTTCACTGTACAGATTGTGAAAACACAACACCTTTCTATAAATCTAAATTTAAGCCCAGAAATTCATGAATTCTGCTATAAGCATAGGTTTAAAATGTAGAAAACATTCAAAATGTAGCGTGTTTCAATTAATCTTTGAATGTATGAGCAAAAAAGTGTTTAATTAAAACTTTAAAGGGTATAAGTAATCTATAGTAAGTGAACAGTACCATCTGGTGTGAAATTATGCCTCTAAGCTCTGGTTGTGACACTGAGAGGAAAACAAAGATGCTGTTTGTTCTGGTTAATGGAAATAATAGAACATGCTGCTCACTCTATCTCACAGGTCTGAGCTACAATCCAATCACATTTGGAAACCTACAGAAGATTAATAAACCCAATACAGTATGTGAAGACCCTGATGAGACACAACCTATTGAATCTTGCAACCAACATGTAAGTCTTGAAAACTGTGTTATATGGTACATACCAGGAATAGAGATACCCATCTCTGTTAGAGAAATAGCAAGTGTGTACTAAGGTGTGCAACCACTTTATGATGCTCCCAGTTCTTGCTCTGAATCATAAGATTGAGGAAAGGAGAATAAAAATGGATTATCCTGTACAAACATAGACTATTGTGAAAAGCCTGGACCTTCTTCCTTGTGTTATGTAGCACCACTTTGGAAACTGAACTTGGGAGGCCTGTTAAACCGTACTTTCCTCTATTTCTAGCGTGAGGAGTGTGAGAAGCTGCTGACTGCTCCAGCTTTTGCTGATTGTCAGTCCCGCCTGAATCTGGAACAGTATATCCAAGCCTGCATGCAGGACAGATGTGCTTGCCAGCATACAGAGGACTCCTTCTGCCTTTGCAGCACCATCTCAGAGTTTTCCCGCCAGTGTTCCCACGCTGGTGGCAATCCTCAGAACTGGAGGACATCACAACTGTGTCGTAAGTGATTAACTGGGTTCATCTAAGATGCAGCCAGGAACGTTTAACAGGGGAGGGTGAAATCTCTCTTTAAATTCATGTAACTCAGAATGGTCTTGAAAGGTCCCCATCCTTAAGGTTAATTTCCAAACAGCAGTCTTGGGTTCCAATCCTGTTTTCTCATAGTAGCCAAGGAAAGCTTTTCCACTGATTTTGGTGGAAAGTTTCTGAATAATTGTTTTCATGCTGGAGAGGCAAGAAGAACAGAGAACAAGAAACTTAGGAAATTGTGTATTTAAATCCAACTGAAACTAATTAGGATTATGGTTTTAGCTGCCTGGATTCTTTCTTTTGATTGAACCCTAATTTCATGTCAATGTATGCATATAGTCAGTGCTATTTCTTTCATTATTTCAGCTAAGTCATGTCCTGGAAACATGATCTACCTGGAAAGTGGCTCACCCTGTATGGACACCTGTTCACACATGGGGATCAGCAAACTATGTGAAGAACACTACATGGATGGCTGCTTTTGCCCTGAAGGTAACAATTTATGTGTGGCCTAGTGGATACAACAATGGGCTTAGAAATGGGAAACCCAAGTTCAGATGTGCAGCCTTGGATTGTCATGAACTATGAGCATCTTTTTGTTTTGTTTTGCAGGCACAGTATATGATGATATCACTGGGAAAGGCTGTGTGGCCACGAGCCAGTGTTACTGCAAACTTCGTGGGAAATTATTTTCCCCTGGTAAAAACATCACCAATGACTGTGAAAGCTGGTAAGCCTGTCCGTGCCCTCTGAGAGTAATTATAGCTTTTTATTTCAGAGTTGTGACTTAAAGGATTCTTGTAGGGATGTGAATCTCTGGACAAACACCTTGTACCGTCACAGGCTTTCATATCTAATACACCGTATCATTTTATGCTAAAACATAGCAAGCCCCGGTGAAAAATTGCCCAGCATTACCAATTATGTACCCATCTGATATTGCTATATGAGCCTAAATCTCTAATTGTAAAAACATATTTCAGCAGCAGCAGCAGCAACATTGCGTGGACAGGCGGAGTCCCCAGATCCTGAGCGGTCCCCCCCGTCATGTGGAATAACGACTCAAGACAACGTGCTATGGGATTAAATTGGCCACAACTTTATTAAATATCAAATGTGGGTAGACCTTGGCTCAGGCATTGGGCATTCTCCCTCCCCAGTCCCCAGCCAGGGACCTAGGGAGCATCAGGGTTATCCAGTGTGTGTGGGGGGGGATGGGCTGGCTCTGGAGAACATATGTTCAAGCAGAGATAGCCGCCCCCGTTACGCCGCCGCCGCAGGGGAGAGCAATGACGACCTTTCGGCGTACGGTCAAAGCCTCCCTTCAGAAACCCCTTTAACAGGGAACCCTGGTATCACCGCCGCAAAGAGGAAGATGGACTAAAGGATTCCACCCAAGGCCTGATACCGCCAAAGTTGTGACGTTTTGCTACGGGAAAGGCGAAACCTGCCAATGCAGGGAAATTCCTTTCCAGCCCTTTAACAGCGACCTTAACGTAGCAGCGCCCGCATACCTGTGAAGAAAAGTTACCTGTAAAACCTATGAAGAAAAGTTAACCTGGAAAGAAGACATTAACTGAGGGTGGGTAGGGTGGGAGAAGCTCTGGAGCCAAGTGAGGATTCCCAGGTAAGATCCTCCCTCTACTGTGTGAGCAGGTAATCCCTCCCCTACCTGGCCTGGTCTCCTTGGCAACGCTTCCCCCAGGTGGGATTGGACAACTGACTGAGGTAGGCGGAGACCTCCAGGTATCCCACCTGAGGCAAGCCAAGCCTATGCTGATGGGGCCGCTCCAGATCCAGGGCTGTGCGCATCCACGCAAAGGTCACCCCCCGTTTTAAGCGGGGAGCGGTCATTCTTGGGGTAGAGAAAAGGGGATTGCTGCTGCCACTTTGCAATGTATCATCAGCACCTTTATGGCTTGCTGAATCTGGAATGTTTGGAAAAAGAAGAGGTTATAAGGTCCAAAAGTGTTATGGACTCATTTCCAAATTGACCTGCTGTAGTGGCTCCACTGCTGTGGTGCAGGTACTTCTAGTATAATTTCTGTATGTCCAGATCCCACTTTTGATTTCTTGTCTGTCTTCACAGCACCTGCCAATCAGGTAGATGGATATGCCAGGATTTACCCTGTCCCAGTAAATGTGCAGTGGAGGGAGGGTCTCACATTACTACCTTTGATGGAAAGAAGTACACCTTCCATGGTGACTGCTACTATGTGCTGAGCAAGGTACGTGCACCAGACTCTTCTACTCTGGTCGAAGGAATTATGCCACAGTGGGGTAGGGTAACCTTCCAATAGAGTGCAGGTGAATGAGAAAGGGCTAGCCTTCCTGCCTTGGATGCAGTGTGTTTGTATGTCTGTGTGGCCACACCTGCTTTTGTCTGGGTCATTTCCCACTCTTGCCTGTGTCTTTGTATTGCAATACAGCTGAATCTAAGATAGGGCTAAAATGGGGGTTGGGAATTCAAAAAAGGAATTGGAAAGGAATGGGGAATGGCAGTTTGAGGTTAGATGTCAAATATTTCCCAGAAGGAGGGCTTATACTCTCCCTGAAAGAAAAAGGAAAAAGGAAAAGAAAGGCCTGTGACCCAGATCATGGAATGTGACATCCTTAAGGTCCATGATTTATTGCACTTTTTGTCTGAATGGGTAATTTCAGCCTATCTGTGAAAGGCATCATTTCATATCAGCAAAAGTTGACCACTTTGATTGTATTTGTTCTTCTGTAATTGCAGAGCATACAGAATGACTCACATGCCCTCTTGGGAGAACTAGGCCCATGCGGTTCTACTGACAAGCAGACATGCCTAAAGACGGTGGTTCTGTTAATAGACGAAAAGAAAAACGTAAGTTTAGGGTAATGATGGTATGGCTCTGTGCTAGTTCACCAAGAATATGATACCAAATGAAGGTTTTCTTCATAATTCAAAGATATAGCCAGTCAACAATATTCTAAGATTCCCAACCCTCCCCTTCCATTGACATCTTATTCCATTTGTATTCTGTTCATATTTCTTGCTAAGCTTCATGACGGGGGGGGGGGGGATTATGTAATATGTAATTTTACCACTCCAAGAGGTTCTGGTTCACATTTAAACTTCTGAACATTGATCCATGTGTCTGAATTACATTGAACAATAAACCAAACATAGAAATCCTCATTTCATTTTTTATATTTTATATACTTTGCTTATCTCGTTTTGTGTTTTTACATCCTCTTTAAATCCAAGCCCACATTTCCATGACTTTCAGGTTCTATTTATTTTGTCATATCTTCCTTTTACATATTTCATACTTAATATGTTTGTAAAATATACCCTATAAACATTTTAAAAGCTACCATTGGCCAGAAATCCTTGCCAAAGATTTGATAAGAGATTTTTCAGCATTATTTCCTCATGTCGCAGTTCTGTGCTGTACACTCATGACTGCTTAGCTGCCAATTGCCAAAGAGTATGCAGACTTTACAGCAGGGATGGGTGCTACCTGTGACCCACCAAATGTCAACGGACTCCTGTTCTCAGTGGCAAAGGATGATGGGAGCTGCAGTCCAGGAACATTTTGAGAGCCACAAGTTCCCTGCCCCCTGCTCTGCAGATTTAATCTGATCCTGTTTAGCTTTCTTCAGTTTAGGAAGCCATTGAATGTGTAGTTCTATGAAATACTTCTTAGCAAATAATTTCCAGCATCTGGAGATTGTCTGAAGTCACTGACCCCCAGCCCCAGCCCCAAGACACACACAAGGGTGTGTGATCCAAGCAAACTCCAAAAGGGTTCCTTTCTCCACCAGGTCCCAAAACCATAAGTAGCTGGCATCTGCCCTCCAAAACCCGATTTGTCAATCTGGTCAGCTGGAAAATAAAGAAGAACCTACTTTGTTTCTAAGCAACTGGCTGTGGCTACATTAAGAACCCAGGGAGGGTTATGGGCACTGAGATAATTCAGAATTGGTAAGGAGTGGATGCCTCTCCCTGGCCCTGGTTTGTGAACATGATATGCATCCAAATGCCCACTATGTTCTGCCTGCTTCCTGCCAGAGCTGGATGCAGACCCCACTCCCCATGATCTACTTTGGGGGAAGAGTGAAGTAGGCTGAGACACACTGCTTGACTGAGTACCCAGGTGCAGGATTGCAGCCACTGTGCAGCTGCAAACTGGCAAAAACTGAAAATGTATGAATACAAATACAATCACTTTTAAAATTGGAGATTTTAATACCGTACTTTCTTGAAAGAAAAAAGCTGAAAACAACATAATTAGGAACTGCTGATAAAAGAAAACAATGCTTTGATTCTTCTTATCTAATTTTTGGATGATTTGGAAATGTGACGGTTAATAAGCAACCAGAATAATCTAAGTCAGATAAATTCCATCATAATTAATCCATATATTCTGGAAGTTATAGTATGTTTTGCAACGTTCCCTCAGAGGTTCATGCCTATGGAAACTGCCTTCCAGTCCAAGAAATGAGCGTTCTGTGGTGCAAGGTGCTCTCCAATAGGGATTTGCACAACATTGTGCATAAGTGTGTATGAAGGGGCATTCATGTGTGTGTGTGTGTGCACATACATGTTCCATTGCTTAGTTCTTTGGGTTGCTTAAGCTCTTACCCAACTTCCTGTTGTCAGATATAAGAAAACTGTCAATGTTCAAAATTTCCAGGGTGGGTTCCTTCTGGGCATTACAATCGTTATTATTAATGTTCATTTAACGTGACCCCCAGGTCCCTTCCAACTCTAAAATGATATGATTCTATTACATTCCTCACCTTTAAGACCCTGAGGTCACACTAACATAGGCTGTTTCTCTCTTCACACAGGTCGTAGTTTTCAGATCAGATGGTACCGTATTACTGAATGAAATAGAAATTCATTTGCCTCATGTAACAGGTGAGGAAAGGAACCCTCAACTTCCACCCCACCCCACCCACGGCCTAAATTGATGGTTCCACAAATCCTTAGATGTTATGGAGCATGATTAAACGAAATGCAAAATAAAATATGCTAGAAAGGAGGGTGAGAAAATGTACTCCTTTGTTTATTTGGCAGGGAATGATCCAAATGATTGCTTGTCCTTGTCTGGGGACTCTTCCCTGTCCCTTCCCTTTTTCATATCTGCCCCCCTCCCTGCCGCTTTCCTCTTCTCCTCATTGAGAAACCATTCTAGGCCAACACCTAACCTTTCTTGCTCTCCGGGCTGGTTATTCGGCCAATGGCAATGTTCTTCATAACAGCAAAGGTATCTGATATGGGAATCTGGTATAATACACAATGGATACTGTTTTTGCCCCTCTGATTTGATGAGTGCATTACAATAAGCAGTTGATAACTTGGCCTTCCTTTTGTTTTTCAGCCAGCTTCACAGTTTTCCAGCCGTCTTCAAACTACATTATTGTGCAGGCGACCTTAGGCCTCAGGCTGGAGATCCAGCTGGTTCCAGTTATGCAGCTCTTTGTCATTGTGGACCAGACTGCCCAGGCAACTCTCCAAGGCAAGTCTGAACTGCAGGGAAGAGGATTCCGCCAATAGTAACACTAACAAGGGGGTGTTTTTTTAAAAAATTAAAGATACATGGGGTCAAATACCTACCTGCAAAAAACAACAACTTGTTTAGTCGCTTTTTTATTTATTAAGACATTTTTATCTCCACAAATTGTCTCAAGGCAATAAATTGTAAATCGTGACACACACATAATATATTATATGCTAGACTAATTCCGCAGGCATGCTATTTGAACTAAAAAGAGCTGGGGCAGAGAACAGCACAGTTGTCAAAAGGCATTCAATTATGCTGGGGTATATATACACATATGCACAATGTTCATGCTGATTGGAAGTGATGTGCTTATTGGATGTGTGGAAATTTATCTCTAGAAAATCTTAGTAAATTGCTCACTATTCCCATTTTACAAAAAAGAAAGGCACGCCTTTAAAGAAACTCACAGCCAACATCTGTTGCTTTTATCAATAGGTCTTTGTGGGAATTACAACGGAATAGAAGGAGATGACTTCAAAACATCAAGTGGATTAATAGAAGCTACAGGGGCTTCCTTTGCTAACTCATGGAAAGCACAAGCCAGCTGCAGTGATAAGTTGGATAACTGGGACCACCCTTGTACTCTTAGCGTTGAGAATGGTAAGGATGGGTGGTTTTCATAAATAAATAACAGATTTCAATATCTGTGTGCCATCTATATCCAATTTTCAGGTCAAATATTGAATCTGAAGGCGGGGCCAATTTTCTTTATTACTTGGGAGAGCAAGTTGTGATGTATAAATCTGTGCTAGGTCCGAGGCTTTGAATACACTGTAAGTTTCATGTCACTGTCTCAAAAGAAAAAGTTTCTAAAGAAATAGGATACAACACTGCTAAAGATGAAGAAGAAATGCTCATTTTATCTATTATAGTTGTGAAAATGGAAGCCTGCTTACAGTTTCCATCCATAGTATTACTTCTGTTTATGTTTACTGTGTTTTATAGTCTTTTAAAGACAAAACTGTTGAGCATGTACAGTCCACAGACGATTTTGTTGCCCAGTTATGTGGGTAGCTACTTGCCTTTAAATGACAGAGAAGCTGTATAGTGTTCAAACATCCAGACACATACAGTATTCATTTTGTTTTGCTGTATTGTACTGCATAGTTATTTGAATTCTAGCGTATGGCTATAGGCATTACATAGAAATACATGAAGTGAATGGTTTATAATAATATTTTATTTCTCTCCAGAAAAGTATGCTGAACATTGGTGCTCTTTGTTGAAAAGTACAGAAACTCCTTTTGCCAGATGTCACTCAGTCATTGATCCAACAGATTATTATAAGGTATGGATTTTCAAATTATTCTGAGTCTTTATTCACGCAGCTTGGTGTTTTGTTACATGGAGTTGTTCACTTTCAGGTATTATGATAAACTGAAAAGAGTGGCGGTAAAGCAAGTTCTACAGCTTTCTTCCCAGCTGCTTTTCATAGGGCTTGAGGGTTAGAATTACTGACAATGGATTATCCAGTTTCAAACCCAGCCAAATTTCTAGCCCTTTCAGTTGGAATACGGGAACTAAAGCAAACCCATTGTTGTGAAAAGAGCCAAATAATAGTTATCCGGAAGAGAGTCATGAGCCAGAGGGCTCTTTTAGCTACACTCAAGATTTTAGAAAAATTCTCAAGCTTTTTTAAATAAAAAACAAAACAAAATAGTAACAGCATGAGAAACTGATTTGAAAAATTACATCAGTAAAAAAACCAACACAGCTTGCTTTGGGAAGTTCATGCAATTCAAGAAGTGCCAGTCCTTGGGTGTGTGGAACGAGTTGTAGTTTTGGGGGGATCTTGGTCAGAGGAGTTCCCAGATTCCCCAAATAGTTCTAACCCTGATGACAGGCAACATGGTGGAGGTGAGCCAGTCTGCTTTTAGGTCGGGGTGGAGAACCTTGTGCTCAGATGCCCAATGTGGCCCCCAGGCCTCCTTATCTGGCCCTTGTAACTCTCTTCAGGCCACTTGCCATGACTGACCCTGCTTCCATGTTGTTACCTGGCCAGAATGTGTCCTTGAACTCTGACAATGCCTCTTGTTTGTCTGGTGTTGTCTGGTACAGAGAAGGGTACGCATGTAGAAATGAGAGTGCTGTACAAAGGGGAAATTTACATTAGTTGCTCCACCCACTTTTGCCTTTGCCCTGCCTACCACTGACATGTGACCCCCTGAAAGCATGCTGAGAAAAGAATGTGGCCCTTGGGCTGAGAATGATTCACTACCTGTTTTAAGTGGATCACCTTGCTGTGGGGGAAACAGCCCATTCATTGTTTTTAACAAATTAAGCAAAATAATAGGAGAAGTTCGCTCTAGCAATCTTGAAAAAACTACTAACATTTTTAAATGGAAGAAGGATAGGAAGAAATGGCATTGCTAAGGAAAAGCTCTCAGTTTATCATTTTACTTTCATTTTAACTGTGGAACAGGGCACGATTGTGTAGCATTGCTACTGTTGAGGACTAGCTCTTCATTCATCTTCCTACAAATGTACTTGAATGTTTACTGGCTTTCTCCCCCTCCCCTTGCCCAGCGCTGCAAATATGATACCTGCAATTGTAATGCCAACGAAGAATGTATGTGTGCTGCCCTATCATCATACGCAAGAGCCTGTGCCTTCAAAGGGGTCATGTTATGGGGCTGGAGAAAGAATGTTTGCAGTAAGTGCCTATATCCCCACCCTTGCCTTGAACAAAATGGAGCAAAACCTTTTGAATAACTGTGTGCTAACTGTAATGTTTTGAGACTAGAATGTAGTTAATATCAACAAACGTAGCATACCCCATTCATCAAAATATATGGTTTTTGTAAGATGCAAAATGTTTTGTTGAAGTTGAAGGGAAGCACCCATGTATGTTGTTTACATTGGCACAGTAATACTTGTGGACGGATACAATGAATGTAGAAGTACTGGACAATTCCATTTGGGATACTGGGGTGCCTGCAGGATGACTTAATGAGGCAATGCTAAGTCATTTATTACTTCCTGCCATTTAATCTTTCAGCTAGACCAGGAATAGGGAACCCCAGGGCCTGGGCCTCACAACTCTCCCCATACCACACTCTCCTCCTGGCTCTGTTTTGCATATTTATTGAGTGTTTTTGCGTGACTGTGATGTATCCTTAATAATGCTTTTTTGCTTGCCTGGATGGAGGATGGAGGGTAGAGAAGGGTGTGTGTACAAGCTAGAGTACCGTACAAAGAAAACATTTGCATTTGTTGGTCCACCCACTTTTACCTCTGGCGCTGCCTACCACTGGCCCCCAGAAGGTTGCACGAAAGGTCATGTGGCCTTTGAGATGAAAAAGGTTCTCCATCTGTGAGCTAGACAATAATAGTTTCCCCCTCTCATTGTCTTAATTGCTACCTTAGTTTAGTTTCACCCAAGCATGACAACATTTCTTCATAGGGGTCTTAACAGAAGTAGAATACAGACAGCATGCACTGAATGGCTTAGGAATGGTGAGCAGGAATATATTTAGGAATGGTGAGCAGAATATATTCTATCCATTCTGACTTTTTGTCACTTTCTCCCCTTCATTCAGACAAAGAAGAATCCTCTTGCCAAGCCAGCCAAGTCTTCCGTTACAATCTGACTTGCCAGCAAACTTGCCGCTCTCTTTCTGATGGTCATAAGTACTGCTTGGAAGGCTTTACTCCAGTAGATGGCTGTGGCTGCCCTGATAATTCCTATATGGATGACAGTGGCAAATGTGTGCCAATTGCTCAGTGCCCGTGCTATTACAAGGGTGTGCCCATAAATCCCGGCTACGTTATAATGAAACAGGATGAGCGCTGGTATGTTAACACAACAGTTTGTGGTCTTTCTCATTAGGTGCGAAGCTCAACGTTCAGTACAGTACCAGGAACTGCTCTCTTTTAGTTGCAATCCTACAATGTTTGCAAGTGGAATGGGATGGGGAATCTTGGGATTACGTTGGCTGTGTATGAGCATTCTCTTCATTAACCATAAGACAATTTAGAGGTTTGTGATACTAATTTAGAAGAGGATCTCCCTTCCAAATCAACATGAGAAATACAAGCATCAGAATGCATTGTGGAGTGACTAGTTTTTAAGAAACTTTAGACATCTATGTTGTTCACCAGGCATAGTGTTCAAAGGACAAAGAGGTGCTGAAATATTGCATTGTGAATTCTTGAGATTACTTGAGAAGTCAGCAATATAAGTGTACACAACACCTGCCCCCCAGTATTTAATGCGTAATCCAAAGGTTCCTCCATATTCCCCTCGAAACTATATGTCTCAGCTTAAACATATCTTGTCAAATCTTATTAAGAAACTGACATTTTGTCTTTGGCACTTGCTCTTACTTTGTTTTATGCATTGTCAGTAGGGCACCCATGGTGTTCAAGTAATGTTTAGCAGAAGTGGTACTCTTAAATTTTTGCAGCAGATCTTTAGTTTTTGTTAGTAGCACTGTATAAATTGGGAATCACTTATAAGCTCAAATATCTGGCTTACCATTTTTCTCCTGTTGTGTATTCCATTCTAGTGTTTGCAGACATGGAAGATTTCATTGTGTGCCAGTGGACGTAACCCCTGAACGTAGGTGTACAATTTCATGTTACATTATGACTTTTTCCAGTTTGAGTTATCATCTGTATGATTTTGAAGTTGTGCTTAAGAAAGCAATTGTTTTGAAGTTGTGCTTAAGAATATGAGCCATTTTTTGTGAAAATAATTAATAAAAATGCAATTAATAATTATATTTTTTCAAGCTGACACGATATAGTTTGATTCCTCCTAAAATGTATCAGAATTTCCCCTCTAAATCCACATATTTATATAGTTTTCATAGACATATCCTCAGCCTTTGATTTGTTTAAATTGCTTTGTTTAAGTTGCTCAATGTAAAGTATTGATAAGAGACTACTGCTTTTAATTAAAAACCTTTATTTATAGACATGCTTCCTAGTACAAAACAGGGATGTCTGTTGGGCCCCTTTTTGTTTAATTTTATATATAAAAATAAAAAAATTATATACAGCTCTTGTTGATTATCAAAATGGATCCAAGATAATATTGTCAGTGTTCTATATTTTATTTTACAGACTGTTCACCCAACATGACATATTTTGACTGCAACAACTTTGACAGTTGGTCTTCCCAAACACCAGTACATCTTAGCTGCCAAACACTGGGAAACGATCAGGTACACTTTCATTGCATTTTGACGACACCCTAATGTCCTCATTCTCTTGTTCCTCAAGTGATGTAATTAACAAAGAAGCTGTACTCTAGGTGTCTTTAGGAAATCTCCTTGAGACTTTGGGGCATTTCCTAGCAAAAGGACTGCAACTTGCAGAAGCAAATACCTGCACATTTCTACCACCAGTTTGCCTTCATTGGTTCTGATTGTTTTTAACTTTATTAACATTTTCATTTCATTTAAATAAGTTCCACTTTTCATTTAAAATAAATAACAATAGAAATCTCTCTGCCACCAACCAATGGGGGCAACTATATTTTCCCCTGAAAATAATTTCCCCACCAAATTATGCTATTTTTTCGCAATGTAATATCTCTCCTAGGGGCGCTCTATTCCAGGGAGTTGACCACACTGCTGAAAGCAACCAAGTCATGGTTTGAAGTGGTAGCAAGGGCTTTTATTTGTTTGCTTTTTGTCAAAAGAAAAAGAAACAAACCATTGACAGTCTTGTATTTAAACGATAAGGCCACCTTCTGGAAAAATTATTAAAGTAACCCAAATCTAAAAGTCTCCCAAAGTGCCTCTGTTTTGTAGACCAACTTTATTTTAAACACACCCAAGTTTCTGAACAAATTAAATTGAGGTTTTATCTTACCTTGCAAATAGAAATTTGGTAAGCTTTGAATGGTAATCCCGAGTCCAATTTGGCTTTATGAACTTATCAAATGCAAGGCCCATGAATTCTGATTGACCTTATCATAAAATGTGAACACAATGTTCTTCTTGCTCCTCACAGTTCCAGACAGAGTGTGTTTCAGGATGTGTGTGCCTTGATGGATTGATAGATGATGGCAGAGGGAATTGTGTCCAAGAACAGGACTGCCCATGCATTCATAACAAAGTTTTTTACTCCCCCGGAGAAACAGTAAATGTGGACTGCAACACATGGTAGGATCTTTTTCACTGTCACTTATTGTAGTCATAGCAATGTATGAATATACTACTATGCAAACAGAGTGTACGGGGTGGACTGCATGTTTCCTCAGCTACATCATTTACCCAGTACTTCAAAAGCAATGCTCGGACACAGAGACTAAGCCTTACACAATTTCTTTAATTGTTTTGGTACTCTCCAGTACTTGTCAAAGAGGAAGCTGGAAGTGCACCACCAATTCATGCTTTGGGACATGTACCATTTATGGGAGTGGCCATTACATCACGTTTGATGGAAAATTCTATGACTTTGATGGCAACTGTGAATATGTGGCTACTCAGGTAATGTTCAGCTATGCTCATGCAATTTTATACTGTTTTGAATTGTGTGTGTGTGTGTGTATATCTCCTATCTATTTGGCTTCTCAGGCATTCCTCAACATCTCATCTTGTGAAATTTTCTTACTTCGTGGAGTAATCAATGGTTCTGTTAAGATCATTTCAAATGGTAGTATCTAACAAGGTGGTTCCATTAGCTCCAGGACTTCTAGTTATGCAATAGAACTACCCCCTTCCTCTCTGCTCCCCACCCCCCAAAAAATCAATTCTGGGTTTTCCCCCAACCTTCTGGAGAAGATTTAATGATGTTCAATTGTGCATATGGAAACCCAATTGTATGGGTGTCTCCAGGCTGCTTAATATGTGCTGAAATAGTTTACACTCATCCAAACAGAATTTGCTAGTTTTTAAGCCTTGTTTTCTCCAGTTCATTCGGTTGTTGCATTTTGCAAATGTGTTGAGGAATTAAGTGCCCTCTGAACCACAGAGGACTGTTAAATTTGAAAATATATTAAGTTTGCTACCAATACAAATATGCAGTGCCGCTTTAGCAGCTTTTTAAAATACAAAAGAAAATCAAAGTATCCTGGTTTTGGTTTTTCTTAGTTTTGTTCATCTTTCCCTCTTGCACCTTCATTAGGATTACTGTGGAAACAGCGATTTGGAGGGAACATTTAGTGTCATCACAGAGAATGTCCCATGTGGAACCACTGGAGTCACCTGTTCCAAGGCCATTAAAGTTTTCCTTGGGGTAGGTATGAACATAGATGAGAACAAGCCTGAAAGCGCTTGGTCTGTGCCTGCAAATAATCAAATCAGGTTGCCGTGGGGAGGTGCAGGCAATTTGTTGAGTTCTTAGTCAAATGAGGCTCCTTACTTTTGAGAACTGGTGTCATGATATCCAGTTTAAAAGAGCCAGACTGACTCTAGGGGAGCTGAGGGTATCAGGTTAACATGCTAATGTCTGTTTTTGTTATGGGGCTTCTGTTACACATCTGTCTTTTTAGAGCACTGAAATAAAGTTGGAAGATAAACAAATAGAAACAATTGAGATGAATACTACTAGCACTGTGACTTACTGGATTCGTGAGCCAGTCGGGCTGTACATTGTAATAGAAACCAGCAATGGTGTTATTCTTATCTGGGACAGGAAGACTACTATTTTCATCAAGCTGGCACCCTATCTTAAAGTGAGTAATTCTTGAACATATTCCTTTAATGCCATGGAAAATTTGTTATTAATAGATACATGCAACAAAAAAAATGTTTTATTGCTTGTGGCTTACCATGTGTGTCTTACTGCATCATTAATAGAATGGGGCACAAGAGACATTAGGGGGCCCCAACTGTGGCATCACACAAGGCACGACTGGAATTTGAGACCCCAAGGTCTGGCATTGCTTCCACCAACTCAACAGTATCCATAATTAGTAATGCTAAAACAAATGGCAAAACAATCAAAGTAATATACATCACAATAAAATTCCTGCTAACTTTAAGCCATTGCAAATCTTTTCCAGTCCTAAGGTATTGACCTTTCCTCTCCCTAGGGAAAAGTCTGTGGCTTATGCGGCAACTTTGATGGCAAGGCCAGTAATGACTTCACTGCAAGGGACATGGTCCAAGAAAATAATGCACTGATATTTGGAAATTCATGGAAAAAGGATACTGCATGCCCTGATGTTGATGTAGACCCTGAGCCCTGTGAAAAGAAACCTCATCGCAAATCCTGGGCAGAGAAAGAATGCAGCCTCATCAAAAGTGTTGTGTTTGAAGAATGTCATTCAAAAGTTAGTATTGTTGCTTCATCACTTGGACAAGCTGGGCTATACTAGTCTTGGGGGAAAGAACAAGCTATTGCCATATGTGAGCATATGGAGAATAAAAATAAAAAGATCTTTAAGCAGTTTACATAAAATACCTAGCAAACCATGGGGGATCGTCAGTAGTGCAATGGATTTTAAAGGTCTTGACATACAACATCAGATGAATCTATAATATCCTGCAGACAATTTCTAACTTAGTAGCACCCATTCCATTCCAAACTGGATAGTGGAGTGGTTTTCAACTTTAACTGTAAAGAGATGTTATCCAATGAGAATGTGACTTAGGATAAACTCTAGAAAAAGAGAAGGAAATATCATGGTTAGACATGTCTTGAGTTGGTATGGAGCTCCCATTTCTCTCTCCAGAACTCTCTGCAGGTACTGTTTGAAATGAAAACACATAAATTCATCTGAATTATCTTCACCGAAAACCAAATATTTGTTGTTGCTATCCAGAATGTTACTAGCTTAAAAGTCTGAAATTGGAATTGATAAAATATCTCACGGAAGTAAAATGTGCCATAGATTCTTGATGCCTTGTTGAAGTGCTGTGATGTGTAATGGGATGGATACTACTGTGGCATGGATGTGCTGTGTACATCTACAGCAACATCCAAAAACATTGGCAACTAAGGGGAATCATTATCAAAGATGGTGGTGAGTTAGGCACCCTGGTATTGGATGGCAGAAATACAGTAGTTGATCCATTGAAATACCCTTGCTGTGTGATTCTGTGACTCCCTAATAGGTGGCTCCAGATCAGTACTATGAAGCTTGCGTACATGATGCTTGTGCCTGTGACTCTGGAGGCGACTGTGAGTGCTTCTGTACTGCAGTGGCTGTCTATGCACAAGAATGCCTCAAAGCTGGAGCTTGTATCTACTGGAGAACTCCTGACATATGCCGTGAGTTTTGTGATAAAATATTTCTCATGCATGCATAAAATTCAAAAGAGATGATGACCCAGAAACAGTGGCTTAATACCTTTCAGTGACCAAAATTCTAGATGCACTGGTTTTTATAACCCTAAGCCCCACCCTGTATATTTTGACATGTACAAATGTCTCCTCCCATAGCCATTTCATGTGATACCAACAGGCTTCTAATGTGAGTTGTGATATGTTTTACATGTGCCTCCAAATAAAATTCACTTCTCAGTAGGTCAGTTGGTCATACTAGCTGTTCTCAAACAGGAAACACTATATCTAAAGAATCCCAGGGGGGGTCCATTAATTCACAGAAAAACGGGATGCCTCCACACTGTGATGATGATGCAAGACTGGGGCTGGGCACACTGTCAAAGGCACACCTAGGCTCCCTTGCACACTTGGGAAGGAGTTATATTGGTGCGTCCAAAGCCAGGAGAGGCAATGGACCAGAAACTTTTTTTAAAAAAGAGTTTTTTGGCACCTTTTGCACTCTGTCAGTGACTTACTCTGTGGCTATCGGGTTGGGTCTGCTCTGCTCTGCTCTACTTCCCCTTCTCCTCCACCTTGCTCTGTCTATTTGCCTTCCTGCCTTGTTCCCTTCCTCTGCTCGCTCCTTTCTCTTCTGTCTCCTTCCTTCCTCCCTTCCTTCTTTTTTCCTCCTCCTGCAACTCTTGTTTGCTCGCTCCATCTTTCTTTCCTCCAAGCCCTGCTGGATGCTCTACTCACCCTCCTAATAGCACTGCCAGCCAACTGGGGAAGGGAGTCTGCAGGGCTGCTGCGATAGCCCATGTTAGTGACCAGATTCCTTTGCTGAGACACCCAGAGGAGCCTGGGCCTCTTGCCTGGCTGCCCAGGGCAGCAGAGCAGTGGCCCAGGGAGCACGCAAATGGGCAAAAAGGCTCTTAGCCACTCCGAGCCAAAGTGGAGAGACTCCTGGCCCTGCACCCTCGACATGGGACAACCTAGCCACCATTACTGTCTTCACTGGCTTTGTATTAGGGGGAAACATTCGGGGTATGCATGTAGGCTCTTCTCATGATTCGTAGCCTTGATCATGCAAGAACATAAGTAAAATCTGCTAGATCAGGCCAGCATCTTGTTCCATCAGTGGCCAACCAGATGCCTATGGCAAACCTGCAAGCAGGGCCCAAGCACAAGAGCAGTCATTCCTCCTGTTGTTTCCAACAACTGGTATTCAGAGGCATACAGCTCCAAATTTTGATGCAGAGTGTAGCCATCATGGCTAGTAGCCCTTACCCAATGTATCTTTCCAATCCTCTTTTAAAGTCATCTACGTTGGTGGCTAACGCTGCCTCCAGTGGGAGTCAATGATGGCCCCATTCACAGGGAGCAAAGGCTCCCAATCCCAGGGAGATCCTGTTTGTGTATAGCAAGTTCCTCTTTACAGACATCCTTCCCAATTCATGGATGGCAGGTGGCCAAGATTAGCAGGAGGAGTGGTGGTAGGGGTGGGTCCAGTGGGCACAGCCTTCCTCTCCCTCTCCATAGGATAGCAATCCCATAGAGGGAGGTGTCTAAATAAGTCTATGTTCTATGTTAAACCAGAGTGAAGGGGGATTTCAGTTCCATAGGTGATAGAAATGGTTGCACGCTAAGCATAGCTGTCAACTTTTCCCTTTTCTTTCGAGGAATCCTATTCAGAATATGGGAATTTCCCTTTAAAAAAGGGAAATGTTGACAGCTATGGGTTAAGTGACCTATGTGCAAATATACTTCTGTGACTTGTTTTTATGACAACTATCTATCTTTTGTTCCGATAGCAATCTTCTGTGAGTACTGGAATCCTACAGATATATGTGAATGGCACTATGAGCCTTGCGGAAGTGACATTGTTACCTGCAAGATCCTTAATGAAGTCAGCACCAACTTTTCAATGCCATATCTGGAAGGTAAGAAACTGCCAGTTACTGGTAGCTTTTGGTCTTTAAGACTCTAGTTAGTGCAGTTTGGAATACAGTTCACCCACTGGGCCAAAGCAACTTCCCCCATCTCCCATTCCCTGCTTAATGCATTAGATGCCTCTCTGAAACTGTGTATATACAGGTTTTGCAGAACATGTTTACAGCCTATAAAGAGACACTGAGACACCACAAGCCTAGGACTGCCTCCCATATGCCAGGGATGGCGACCCTGTGACCCTTCAGATGTTGCTGGACTCCAAGTCCCCTCAGTCCCAGCCAGCATGGCAAATGCCAGGGATGGTTGTAGTTCTGCAACATCTGGAAGGCACCAGTTGGCTCCCCTTTTCGCATGCAAATTTTGCTACTATGTCAAGTTCATTGCTGCAATGTAATTTTACGAATCTCATTTTTGTGGGTTCTAGGTTGCTACCCACGATGTCCTCCGGATAATCCTATCTACATTGAAGAGACCAACACATGTGGGACAAGTGATATGTGTGGCTGCTATATTAATGGTGCTTACTATAGACCTGGACAGTCTATACCCACAGATGATCTGTGTACAAATTGGTATGTGAGAATGGAGAGCTGATGGACTAACAGTGGCAGGGAAACATATGTACATGTGTTGATATTTAAATTGCTGGTTTCTTGGTCTGACACACTAGCCCTTTTCATGAATGAGAGTGCTGTTCTGAATAGGAAACTATTTCTTATGAAAGTGTAAAATGAAATTGTCCATGGTGTCCAAGAGTAGGTTGGATTTCCCCCCTTCCTTGGGCAGAGATCCTCTCTCAGAATTCCCACCCCAGACAAAGTACACCTGGCCAACTTTATTTGCAACCTTCTGGGTGACTAACAAAAATATGCCTCTTTAGGAGGATATAGAGATTACTGTATTTTCTGCCTTGTTAAATATTGTTGCTAATGATATGCATTTAAATATTATTTTAAATGAATTTATAGTGTTACAATGCAGGAGCAATTATAGCCTGAGCATTTACAGAACAGAAGTACAAAACAAACAAATATACAAATCTTCAAGTATTTCATTTCTGAAAAACTTCTTTTTAAATTTCAGTTTCTGTGTTTATGCTGGAGAAACGAAATGTGAACCCCGAAGAGGTATATTTCATCTTGCTGTTTTTCCATTCAGAAAGCAAAATAGTACCATACACTTTCTCCCATACATTTCTCTGGGGGACTGAACAATGATTTCAAATGAGTCCCCTGCTCACTGTATTCTTTTTAAAATTATCATTGAAAAATAACAATAATAAAAGGACAATCTTTTCCCACTTTGCAGTTGTTCCACAAAGAAGGGTAGTAGCTAAGGGGTGGCTAAACATTTTTCTGTAAGCCTGTATTTTGTTTTTATTTATAAGGCACTTATTTCATCTTATAACTTGTCACAGATCGTAATGCCCATCTTACTTTAAAATGCATTCTATACATGTTTACTTAAAAGTAAGGCCCTGTTGAGTTCAATGGAGGTTACCACCAAGTAAATGACTTCTTAGCCTTAGGGCAGAACTCTACTGCTACCACCCTGATGTTGATGGCTGGTGGGTTAGGATTACTCATTACTTCCTCTCCACTGCTGATGGTGGGACTCTGCCATGGTGGAGGATCCCAGTTCTGCCATGGTGGATGGGGAACTACTGCCAGCAGTAGCCAGTGGAAAACCCTGAAATGAGGCATTACGGGGTGGGGTGGATCACTGCAGGCTTTGCATCCACAGGATCCAAAGCCCTTCAGGCTCCTCAGCTTCACCAGTCCAGAGCTGGCACAGCCAAAAGGGAGGGGGACTACCTTCTGCCCTGACCAGCACAATCCACTGTACCTGGCTGGGACTTTGGATTGCTCTGCTGATGCAATTATGCTACAGCACATGGTGGGCCATTTTAATATCCCTGCATTTTAGTTGTATTCTTACTAAGGCCACATTTCCCAGTGGCAAGAAGCCTATCCTATTGTGGGAAACAGCTGATGGTGGAAATTAAGCAGGTGTGTACATCCATGCGGCCTCTGCCTGGCTGAGAATGAGACCATACAGGAAGAACCCACATCAATAGTCCATGTAATTCCAATATGCATATATCTGTCACAATGGTGAGAGATCTCACCACAGGGAACCAGTTAAACTTTCCTTCGTGCTTGCTGCAAATATGAATGAGGCTTAAGTTCATGCATCTCACTTAACAGATTTATTCAACTTTCTAACACCTTGAGCCTAAGCACACTTACTTGGGAGTAGGTCCCATAAGTTTCAATGGACTTCCTTCTAAGCAGAAGCACATAAAAACATCTTTATAATATTCCAAATATCAGCAGCTTAGATAAACAGTGTTTACCTGCAGTTAACATTCCTATGGAATAACACAGTATTTCCACTCCGGGTTATTTCATTTACATTTTGATTGGCTGTTTTTTCATTATGATTCAAGCAGAACAACTTAAACACACTGCTTTCCTTCCTTTAGGTTGCTGCATATATGATGGTAAAGAATACGAAGAAGGAGAAATAATAATAAATGAGAGAAATGGATCTTTTTGTTTCGACATAAAATGCACAATCAATGGCACTTGGGTAGTTGAAGACATGAGACCCTGCAGTACAACTGCCCCTCCCACAACTACTCTTTCAACTACTCCTTCTCCCACCACCACCACTACTACTACCACAAGTAAGCTTGCAGCATTGTTAATAGTAATGTACATTGGTTAACTATCTTACTAGAGAAAATTGCACTTAACATCAAGTTTGTTTTATACCTCCATGTGTAGCTAAATGGCTTTAATGAAGGCTGATGCTCTCAACATGATATGAAACCTTCTCTATGTCAAATCTATAATCTTATCCAAAACTTGTAAGATTGCAAAGTAAGATTCTCATCCTATTTTTCTCTCTCCTGTTTCAGCTCCCACTACAACCTCCACTACACTCTCTTCAACAAGTAAGTGTTGTTAAAGAAGTTGGGGATAAGCCCATAGTCCAGTGGTAGACTATGTGCTTTGCATGACTCAAGAATCAGGTTCAGTCCCTGGATCCGTTTAAGAACTAGGAAAAAGACTTTTGTGTGAGGCCCAAAAGAGTCACTGCCAGCCAGGGCAGAAAATACTGGGTCAGATGAACAAATAGTATGACTCGATTAGGGCAAATTGATATGTCCCTATATAAGGTCACTGCTCTGATAGTGGTAGTAAAGTTGCCAGTGCAAAAGAGAGGAACATGGTATAATAAAGTGATGCACACATAACTGTGATGGGCGTTCAAAAATAAGAAAAAAGAATGGATTGGGATTTTGTGTACAAGACCTTGCGCACTGGAGTGGAGCAATCCCAGGATATAAAGATGCTTGCTTCTAGCTTGGGATGTTCTTTGTTGTGATCTGTAGGGGTGGGAGGGTAGATGGTTGCCCAGTGATCTGTTTTTCCACCATGAAATGATGGTTTTAGATCATGAGGTCATTCATGTGGACCCACTGCCAATGAAGCTCAGGAAAATGACTTTCAAATTTGTCTTGCAGCTCAGTGCTTAATGCTTGCCTGTGAATGGAGTAAATGGTATGATGTCAGTGTACCCGAAGAAGGACCAGAAGGTGGTGACTTTGAGACATATGACGCCATAAGAATTAAAGACGGGAGCAACTTTTGTCCATCAGCTCCGCAAAACATAGAGTGCAGGGCTAAAAATGCACCCAATGTGGATATTGCAGAATTGGGACAGAAAGTGGACTGTAACGTCACTTATGGACTCATTTGTAGAAACAAAGACCAAGATCAGAGTCTCTGGACCCTCTGCTATAATTATGAGATACGCGTCAACTGTTGTCAAATCATTCCTTGTTATTCTACTCCCACCACTACTCCCTCCACTACTACCACTACCACTACACCAACTACCACTACCCCTACGCCATCTACCACCACAACAACTACCACTCCTACCACTACTTCCACGCCTCCCACCACTACTCCCTCCACTACTACCACTACCCCAACTACCACTACCCCTACGCCATCTACCACCACCACAACAACTACCTCTCCTACCACTACTTCCATGCCTCCCTCCACTACTACCACTACCCCTGCACCAACTACCACTACCCCTACTCCATCTACCACCACAACTACCACTACTTCCACGCCGTCTACCTCAACGCCAACAGGTAATGCATTAAATGTTACTTTTTGACATTATTTTGAATGAGTGACCATTCATTCACAGAATAGTGAAATATATTGAATGCTAATGAATTCTAATAATACAACTCTTAAAAAGGACATACATACTTTAAAAAATAATAATTGATAGATATTTGTTTTACTTAAACCAGTGTATTCATAAGTTTGCTCCTATTGGCTGCTAACATCAGCCTGATTGCTCATTTTTAGGAATTAGGAATGACAGGAAATATTGCTTTGACTAAGGGCCATGCCTGGTTTTAATGTCTTGCTCCTTGCGTGATGCAGGAAATCCTGAAAAGGGCTTCAGGAACATGCCTATTTTCTCAAGCCTTTTTTCACCCATTGCAATCACTGAAGTGATTGCTGGCCATAGCTGTGCCTTCTGCGATCACACTTGTCCTGGCATGTGGTATACCCTCAAAAGCCCAGGGATCATCATATGCAGAAGGAATGTGTTCTGAGAACCAACCCCTAAGACAGGATTCATACTGCAGATATCTAACATCAGGTCTCAGGAAATGATTGCAGAATATTTTACCATGACCTACAGTCAGAAGTGGGCATTCAACCTGCAAAAATACCGTTCACATAGAAATGGCTGAATAACGTTACAACACTCTTTTTCTTTTTTCGTGTCTTGCACTGACCTTGCCACTAATCACAACAGTCTTTACACATAAGTACAAAAACTAAAGATGTGCTATAACTTATGGCATATGTTTATTTTTAGAAGGAAGTTAGCCTCTCCTCCATCATAATATTTTCTAAGTGGATGGTAACTGACTGAGCTATAGGGAATTAATATTCTGCTGTATATTGCATATTTCTGAGGAGGCGATTCTGAGGAGAGCAAGTCTTTTCATTGCTATTTATAGCTCTCCAGGCTAGGAGAAAATAGCCATTTTTTACATTATATGCTCTCTTAACAATGAACCTTTACAGTGAAATTATTCAATGCATACCTTTTGTGTTCTTCAACCTGTTGATGAGTCTGTCTGTAAAGGGCTCTATAAACCCATAATATAGGCTTGCCCACTTTCCCCCTCTGCTTTGCTAATATGGCAAGTCATTGACTGCAAAAACTCATGCCAGGAGAAACCAACAAGCCTCTAACGTGCTGCAACATTGGCACCATTGCGGATGTTGCAGTACAGTGGTGCCCCGCAAGACGAACGCCTCGCAAGACGGAAAACCCGCTAGACGAAAGGGTTTTCCGTTTTGGAGGCGCTTCGCAAAACGAATTTCCCTATGGGCTTGCTTCGCAAGACGAAAGCCCATAGGGAAATCTCCGCGGACCTCTTTTAAATGCTAGCGGTGGTGAGCACAGCCTTCCCCCCCCCTCCGTCCTTCTGATGTGGTCCAGGAAGGCTGGGGGGGGCCTAAAGGCTTTGCACCCCACCGCCAGCATTTTAAAAGCAGTCCGGGATAGCAGGGAAGCGCTTCCCGCTATCCCGGACGGCTTTTGAAGGCAGGAGAGGTCCGCGAAGCCTGGGCGCGCTGATCTCAGCGCGCGCAGGCTTCGGCATGCCGGCAACTCTCCGCAGGCAGCGGCAGCGCTGCCGCTGCTCGCGGAGAGGTCCGCGAAGCCTGGGCGCGCTGATCGCAGCGCGCGCAGGCTTCGGCATGCCGGCAACTCTCCGCAAGCAGCGGCAGCGCTGCCGCTGCTCGCGGAGAGGTCCGCGAGCCTGGGCGCGCTGATCTCAGCGCGCGCAGGCTTCGGCATGCCGGCAACTCTCCGCAAGCAGCGGCAGCGCTGCCGCTGCTCGCGGAGAGGTCCGCGAAGCCTGGGCGCGCTGATCTCAGCGCGCGCAGGCTCGGCATGCCGGCAACTCTCCGCAAGCAGCGGCAGCGCTGCCGCTGCTCGCGGAGAGGTCCGCGAAGCCTGGGCGCGCTGATCTCAGCGCGCGCAGGCTTCGGCATGCCGGCAACTCTCCGCAAGCAGCGGCAGTGCTGCCGCTGCTTGCGGAGAGGTCCGCGAAGCCTTGGCTGGACAGCTTTTGAAGGCAGGTGGGGGGGGGGCAAAGACGTTGGCCCCCGCCAGCCTTCAGAAGAGGTCCAGGACCTCTTCTGAAGGCTGGCGGGGGCAAAGTCTTTGTCCCCCTGCCTGCCTTCCCAGGAGCTTTAAATTGCCCGGACAGCGGAGAAGTCCTCCGCTGTCCCGGGGCAATTTTAAATACCGCCCGCCAGCATTTTAAGATCGCCCCGGACAGCGGAGAAGCCCTCCGCTGTCCCGGGGTTTTAAAATGCTGGGGTGGGTGGGAAGAAAAGCCCTTGTCCCCCAGCCTTCAGAAGAGGTCGGGGGACAGACTGTCCCCGGACCTGGTCTGAAGTCGGTTTCCCTAGGAACGCATTAATTGATTTTCAATGCATTCCTATGGGAAACCGTGCATCGCAAGACGAAAAACTCGCAAGAAGAAAAAACTTGCGGAACGAATTAATTTCGTCTTGCGAGGCACCACTGTACAGTACATGAGAACATTTTAAAGCAGCTACTTAGTTCTTCTCTTGTACGTGTTCTAGAAAGGCAAGCTTTGAAACCAGAAGCAATGATACAGTGGTGCCTTGGAACTTGAACGTAATCCGTTCTGGAAGACTGTTCAACTTCTGAAACGTTCGAGTTCTGAGGCGCAGCTTCCGATTAGCCAACAGCTAGGTTTTTGCACAGTGGAAGCCGCGTCGGACGTTCGTGTTCCGAGGAACGTTCAAAAACCGGAGCACTTACTTCCAGGTTTTCGGCGTTCGGGAACCGAAACGTTTGAGAACGGAGCTGTTCAAGTTCCGAGGTACCACTGTACTATGGTTCACTTTGGAATGTTGTAGTAGTGATGAAGCACCTGGCCCCAATTTGCCAAGCAGTGTGATGTCACAGAGGCTGAATGGTGGTGATGTCATAAACAGAGGGTTGCTTAAAAATAAGAGCCAGGGTTGTGAAAGGAAGAGAGCACAGTAAGGCAATGTGAGCAAAAGGAGCCTGAGTAAGAGGAGGGGTGGAGGAGACCTGGGGAAAGTAGGGGGAAGGCAGGAGGGTCAGCTTAGTCACACTTCCCTTTGTCCCATGACTTCCTCTGATTGTCCCGAGTTTTCCAAACATGGGTCTGAAAGGCTTTTTTTGTTGTTGTCCCACTGCTTTTCCTGGGAAAACCTGCTGTTTACTGCTGAATCAGAGCAAATGTCAATCTGCAGAAAACCTGATTGACGGCTGTCCTGATTCAGCATAAACACCAGGTTTTCATGGGGAAAGAAGCAGGAGAAAAGAAAAGCATCTTGGACCTGTACCTGGAAATCTCTGGACATGCGGAAGTGTGGATGAGCCTTAAGAGGAAGCAAGGGGAGAGGCCAAGGAAGAGAATCATGGGTGCATAGGAATGCAGGGAAAGGGGATAAGGACACCAGAAGTACTTTGATTCTGGAGGTCTGTGACTGTCTTCTGGTCACAAATGAGGCCTTAAAGCATCTGGTCAAAAAATAACAATAGGTTTTTCCAAACAAATTTCTGTAAATTTCCGAATAAAGTGGCAGGATAAGATAGCAAAATAAAAAGGATTAATTTGGTTTGGTTCTGAGGAAATCAATTATATTACTGAGCAAGTGTTTTAATAAGCTGTGAGATTATTAATGCTGTTGTTAACAACAAACACACAGTTTATTTTAGCTTTGTACATTAAAAAAATGTTTCTAAAAATTTCAGCTTTGTATTTATTATGACAGTGTTTGCACAACTGTAGCAACAGTTTCCTGCTATATCACTTTCAAAATAATCTGGGCAATCGCTGAGCTATTTCTCTCTGTTGTTGTTTTACAGTAGTTTGTTCCTCCGCTGTAGTATGTTCATGGTCGAACTGGATTGATGTCAGCTTCCCACAATATGGCCCACAGTATGGTGACTATGAAACCTATGATAACATCAGGGCAGCCGGCATAGAGATCTGTACAAGGCCAGAAAACATATCATGCAGAGCAGTGAAATTTCCTAATTACTCCTTCAAGGAATTGGGGCAAAAAGTGGAATGTAATGTTTCGACTGGACTTATTTGTCACAATAAAGATCAGACTCCTGGGCCTGTGTACCCTGTAGATATGTGTCTCAACTATGAGATCCGTGTATATTGCTGCAAGGATGAATGCATATCTGGACCTCCTACCACAACTCCTACCACAACTCCTACCACAACTCCTACCACAACTATACCAACTACCACTTCTACCACTACCTCTACTCCATCTACCACCACCACAACTCCTACTACTACTTCCACACCATCAACCACGACACCACCAACTACTACTACTACCATTCCAACAACACCTTGGGATACCCTTACCACTACACCAACTACCACTTCCACCACTACCACTTCTACCACTACCTCAGCACTTACCTCTACCCCCACACCACCTACTACTACGCCAACTACCACTGCTACTACTACCTCCACTGCACCTACAACTACACCAACTACCACTCCAACCACTACATCTACAGCAACAACCACTATGCCAACCACCACTCCAACCACCACCACTACTACAGGATCCACTTCAGGTAATGAATTTTTATTTAATGATTCTGCTTTGCTTGAATGAACTAATCACTCATGGATCAGTTAAATACATTGAATGCTTAAATCGCACAGTATGTTTCTTAAACCAGCTTTACATTACTAAACCTCATTAATATGCATACTTGAATAGCGGTAGAACTTTTGTTACGCATTTTTTTACTTATTTTGTTTTTATTCCTAATTTTCCCTGCATTGACTGCTAAAATCAACCTGATAACGTTTTTGTTTATTTTAGGAATTATTAATTATTTAAAATATTGCTTTGGCTAAAGGCCTTTCCTATATTTAATTCCCTGTTCAAGTGAGTGGGCCTCACCTTTTTGTGGCATACTTGTATGCAGTCCTTCAGGAATGGTGATGATTGCCTTGGCATTTAATTACAGCTGCTGCACTCACCAAAGCTGTTTCTGGTCCTGACTGTTTTTGCCTGGATCAGGCATTGTGTTTGTCACTGTGAACATTTACCCTCAGAAGATCAGAAATTCTCAGGGGTGCATGGAATTTTATCTGTTTGCTTATTTATTTATAATATTTCTTTGCCACCATTCTCCATATGATCACAGGGCAGATTACAACAATAGAATATAAAATTCTAAAAACAAATATAAGTTACAATGACAAAACCAATAAAATCATTCCAAGTGAGCCATAACTTTGTAAATTCAGCAAAGGAGGTGGGCCTTAGAAAACAAAATAGCTTAACTTTCAAATGCTGCAGTAAAAGAATGCATGTTTAGCATACATTGAAAGCTGTGCAATAAAGATGTACCTCTGCAGGGAGGGAATTCCACAATTTTCTGTAAGTCAGCTTAAGATAATAATAATAATAATAATAATAATAATAATAATAATACCCTGCTGGATCAGGCCAATGGCCCATCTGTTCCAGCATTCTGTTCTCACAGTGGCCAACCAGATGCCTATGGGAAACTCAAAACAGCCTTGGCCCAGTATACCTGAAGAAGCATCTCCACTCCCATCATTCAGCCCGGACACTAAGGTCCTCCTCTGAGGGTCTTCTGCTGGTTCCTTCACTGTGGGAAGCAGAGTTACAGGGTACCAGGCAGAGGGCCATCTCGGTAGTGGTGCCCTCCCTGTGGAAAACCCTCCCCTCAGATTTCAAGGGAATAAACAACTATCTGACTTTTAGAGGACATCTGAAGGCAGCCCTGTATCAGGAAGTTTTTAATGTTTGATGCTTTAGTATGTTTCGATATGTGCTGTGGCTGGGGAAACCCAGCCAGAAGGGTGGGGTATAAATAACATTGTTGTTATTGTTAAGATTCATATTGCATAAATTTTAACATCAAGTCTCAAGGAATGAAGGCAGAATATTTTATCTTAACCTTCTATCACATGTGGGAATTTGACTTATAAGAATACAATTTGGCTAGGAACTGGTGGATAATTTTGACACTTTTGTCTTTTCTCCCCTCCTCTTTTCTTCCACCGTAACCCTTGCCGATGACAACAGGCACCACACGTAAGTACAAAAGCAAGATAGTTTATAAGTTAAGGCATTTGTTTGTTTGTTTTTTAAAAAATGAAGTCAGAAAATACAAGGTTACAAAAATATAATGATGGCTCATTTTACAAGGCTGAGGCTACAGGAAGTGTCAGCTGACTAAGCTAGAGGGAATTAATCTTCTACTGTATCTTGCATATTTATATTGATGAGATTCTGAGAAAAGTGAGCATGTGCCACTTCTAGCTCTTTAAGCTAGGAAAAAGTAGTCCTTTTTTACAGTGTGAAGTATCTTGAGAATACACCTCTTCACTCAGTGAAAGTATCCAGTGTATGCCCCTGTTCATCTGTTGATGAACAATTTTTTTTTTGAGATTTTTCTTTTTCTCAACTCCCCAGAACAGGAAAGGGCACTTTGCACAATTTTCATTAAATGGCCTGTACCATGGGTTTTTGGTGGCCCAGTTTCACCTCCCACCACCATCCCCAATGCTCAAGAGCAATACTAGCTCTAGGGCAACACAGAGGTTGCAAAGTGGTAGACAGACTGCCAGTTTAATAGCTGCATTTTCCTGTTACAGTAACAGCAGCAGCAGAAAAAACCCTTAAGAAAAAGAAATGGTTCTGCTGTTGCTAATGGTGAGCTCCACCCTTCAAGGAATTGCTGGAGAATTTCTCCTTTCATTGGTAGAATTTGGTGAAAAATCCATCAATTTCTTTGCTCACAAATAGGATGGCGAATTTCAATATGCTCTTCTTGTATGAAGGGCTCCTAGTGACCTACACAGGTTCATGCCATAAGAAACCCAACTATCTCCTAAGCTTCTGCAATGTTGGTATGGGCATCTTTGATGATGTTATAATTCATGAGGACATGTTAAAGCAGCCTTATTTGCATGTTTCAAGCTCAGAAAGTCCATTTGTTTGAGAATTTTTGTCTTAGTTTCTCAACCAGCAGAATGGGAAAGCTTGCTTTACAAAATGGTTTAGCTGGCCAATTGAAGCTGTTTCCTGGGGTGTGGCTGCTGTCACATGCTGTCAGCTTCTAAGAGCCACAGGTGAGAGGTGAGTGCAGAGTGGGGACCAGAGATGGGCAGACTATTCCAGAAAGAGCATGATGTGTTCCCCACCACAGGGACTACCCCTCCCCTAACACCCCATACACCCCGATGGGTCCCAAACCCTTGGTGAGTTAGAGACTTTCCCCTGCATGTAAAGAGAGGCTCCAGCAGATTGCTCGGACGAGACCAATAGTGGATCCAGAAGTCAAGAAGGCAGTCTCTGTAGAGGGAAATGAGGGGCAGATGGGACTCGTCAACCTGGGAAGCTAGCCTATCTTGGAGAAGGAAAACTCTGATCCTAAACCTCCACTGCTTTGTGGGATATCTTCAGGACAAGAAAAGGCTAAGGAGTAAGCCCTTCATAAATGTAGAGTGGAGTCCCTAAGACAGTTGGATGGTGCCTTGTATGCCTCCTTCCGGTAACTCTTCTAGCCAAGTTTGTGCCAAAATATTGATCTACTTTCCTTTGGACCACATCAGCGAGGCCCAGAGGGGGATCTTGTCATCTGGGACCTCCATATATTGTCCAGGCTTGTTCCCAAGGAGGTCACTTTGGTGCTGCTAACACAGTTATTTGACTTCACTCCCAGAGGCACACTCCATTGTCTCTTGAGACAGATGGATGTCAACCTTCAGTGGTATTCCTGGACAAGTGTTTTAAGAAAACACTTTAATAAAATCAATGCTGGTGCAACAACAAGCACTCATCTTATTTCAGATTTGTATTTATTATGACAGTGTTTGCACAACTGGAGCAACTGTTTCCTGCTATATCACTTTCAGAATAATCTGGGCAATCGTTGAGCTATTTCTGTCTGTTGTTTTACTGCAGCTTGTATCCCCACGGAAGAATGCGAGTGGTCCGACTGGATTGATATCAGTTTCCCACAATATGGCCCACAGTATGGTGACTATGAAACCTATGACAACATCAGGGCAGCCAACATAGAGATCTGTGCAAGGCCAGAAAACATATCATGCAGAGCAGTGAAATTTCCTAAATACTCCATCAAGGATTTGGGGCAAAAAGTGGAATGTGATGTTTCGACTGGACTTATTTGTCACAATAAAGATCAGACTCCTGGGCCTGTGTACCCTGTAGATATGTGTCTCAACTATGAGATCAGTGTATGCTGCAAGGTTGATTGCGGATCTACACCATCAACCACAACTACACCAACTACTACCACCACCAGAAGTACAACTACCACCACAACTACCACTTCACCAACTACCACTATCTCTACAACTACAGGTAGTGAATGTATTATTGCTTCCTGATATTGCTTTGTAGGAATGAACAAATTACTCATAAAACTGAGAAAAATACTGAATGCATTATGAGAGCATGTTTGCATCAGCACATCTAATCATGTTTCTTTTTTCATTTTACTTGATTCTTGAAGGTACGAGTGTTGCCTCTTTCACATAAATACTCACTTTCTGTTCTTAGGATTGTGGCCTGACTTTCTGCTATCCCTCTATCCTATGTTTACAGAGAATGTGCAGGATGTAATAGGATTATGAAGTAGCCAGGGTTGTATGAAAGGTCAGAGTGAGCAGCTTCCATCAGAAAAGTAAATTCTCCTTAAAAAATAAATAATTGGAGTGGGAAGGGAAAAGACTCCAATAATCTAAAAAAATATAATAGTTAGATGTATGGAACATCATAAAGTATTTGTTGTTTCTCTAATTGCAGGTCTATCATTGCAGGCATTGTGGAATTCCCTGCTTTGGGCATCACAGTGGGGAGGTGAAGGCAGGAAATGGTTTCTACATGGCATGGCACAGGGATGGAGAATCTGTGGTCTGCTGGACTACAATTACCATCACCCAGGGCTGATTTGAGGTGTAGTCCAACATCTTCAAGAGCCACAGGTTCCCCATTTCTGGCATAGCAAGAGTTTTTGAAGCATTATGGTTAGGGAATTTGAGCTCTACTTCAGACAGCAAAATGTCTTGGTTTGCCTGAACTGTAGGAATCTTAGCACTTCTTTAATTGGAAACTTGGAATATGCCATCATGTTGTTGCAAATATTTCACAACCTTTTTCATCTGAAATGAGCATGCATTAACTACTATCTTTTCTGCCTTCCTTTGCTGTGCATTCAACAACCACAACCACAGCAAGCACTACAAGTAGCTTCTCCATAGAAACAGAGATGTGTTTTTGTTTTTTAAGGGGAAAGGGTCAGGACTGCCTGGGAGTGGGCCTCAGCCAACAGAATGGCTGGGGCAGGTTCCACAGGAGGGGGATGTATTGGGACACCTGATCTCAGTGATCACGGGCAGGAGGAGGAGTCACGCTAAGACCAGACCATGTCATTACCGAGGAGGCAGGCTTAGTCGTTGTTTGAGGACTATCCCAGCCTCCAGGTCTGGTCCTGACCAGAAGGATACTGGAATCAGCAAGGGAAACCCAAATGACCTGAAAGTGTTGCTGTGCAATGCCAGGTCAATGATGAATAAAACCACTGCCATCCACAACCTGATTTTGGTGTAGGATTTGACCTGGCATGTGTGACAGAGACTTGGTTGGATGAAGCAGATGGGCCTGTCCTTGCCGCTGCTTGTCCACCAGGTTTCTCTTACGCACAGCAACCCAGGTCATGTGGGCGGGGAGGGAGGGTTGCAGTGATTTTTAGGAAGCCATTAGTTTGCACCAGGCGTCCTATTGGGAAGACCCAATTTTCTAAGGGCATGTTCTGGAAGTTGGGCAATAGGGGCAGTACAGGATTCATTTTGGTGTACCAACCTTCCTGCTGCACCAAGGTTTCCCTGCCTGAGCTGCTTCAGGTCATGGCAGATGTGCTCCTGGAGACACCTAATTTGGTTGTCCTGGGGGATGTTAACATCCATGCCGACACGAACTTACAAGGGGCTGCTTGGGACGTCGTGGAAAGCATGGCCTTCATGAAAGTCTAAAAAGATGAAAATTTGCTCAAAAGGCATTTTCCAAACTAATATCAACATTAACAATCCATTTTGGTCAACCTGTACATGGATCAAAATGCTGATGAATTTGTGTGAACAGCTCCGAAATCTGTAAGCGCTGTCAGTTTAAGGCTCAAAAGGTTAAGCTTTTAATGCCTGAAATAAGAGTTCTTTGGCTTGGAAAGATTAGAACTCATCTTCATGACCTTGTCCTTTCTTTAACTTCCGATGAGCTAATATGTACCTGTGTTATATAATACACACATTTACATGCTTTCTAAATGTGCTTTTTTAATATATATTGCAGAGTGTGTCATATGTGATTGGTCTTCTTGGATTGATACGGATTCCCCAAATGGTGACAAGGATGGTGGTGACAATGAAACTTATGAGAAAATCAGAGAACATGGTATAGACATCTGCTCTCAGCCATCCAACATTTCATGCAGAGCAAAAGATTTCCCTGGTACTTCACTTGAGGAATTGGGACAAAAATTGGTATGTGACGCTTCTGTAGGACTCATCTGTAAAAACAGAGACCAAGTCCCAGGTGTGGGTGTGGCCCCAACTTGTCTCGATTACGAAATTAGTGTTTATTGCTGCAGAGACTGTTCTACCACCACAGTCTCGACTACAACCACCGCTCCCTACACTGGAAGCACAAGTAAAACTACAACAGTCACAACAACAGAAACAGGAACAACAACAACAGTACCTTGCACAACTGATGAAACAGAACCATGGTCCACTTCAGGTCAGTATAGAAAAACTGTTTGGTATGAAACAATAATATGGTCCACAGGTGAAGTCTGCAGTTGCCTTCCGGAAATCACATTTGCCGCCTTGGTGTTGCATTTTTCTTTCCACATTTTAAAAATGTGTTGGGATGTTGCTAGGAAATGCTTTAAGATGCACATGTTCTCTGAAATGATAATGCTGGCACACTGTTCCAGGTAATCATTGGTGTGGATATAAATCTGAATTTAACCATAGCTCCCCCAAAGTTCCATCTACAACTGTTGCTCAGATAATGCATAGCTTTAATAATAGGCATCCTTTTAGCTCCATTATTGTCTCTCATTATGGAACTTCAATTAATGTGTGTCTAAAAATGAAAATTCTGTTGAGAAGCAATTCCCATGTGCTGTCGCTGACGTTGATGCAGGAGCAAACCTAGGTGCACATCTGTATCAACAAAAGGATGATATGCAGTGGGCTAGCTAAATATTTTCATTGGGGTGTCCAACTCGATTCAGGGCCCACTGGTTGTTGCAAATGTTCTTTGTGTACAAACTAGAGCTGGAGAGAAACCAGTGGGGCATCTTGTTGTACAAGGCAGCTTTATAATAATGAAAAATAAATGCATAAACAAACAGACAAACAGTCTTTGAAGACTTGCTGCAGCCCTTTTTTAGCATAGCAAGCATAAAAGCACACTGCCATTTAATAAAATCAGGAGCTTGCTGCTTGAAGGAAATAGCAACACCAGTAGTTACTCTCTAGACCAGTGCCAGCTGATGATGTTTTGCAGCCATTTTGCAAAACCCAACTGTCCCGCAAAGCTTAAAAATAATAAAAACAGTGTTGCTACATCATAGAGAAACTGATTTGAAATCCTCTCTGAAACTACAAAACTGCTGCCGCTCAGTGTAGACAATGCTGAGCTAGATGGAACAATGGATGGTCTGGCTCAATGTAAGCCAGAACCCCATGTTCCAGTTCCTGTGGTGATCTATTCCTCGCTCCCTTATTGTGATGCCTGAAGGTCACTTCATCCTGCTGGATAGTAGGGCAAGTCTTGCTTTGGTCAGTGACTTTAAGTTATTTTTAAATGATCATTTGGGATGTATAACATAAAGCTGTTCAGCCAATTGCATTGAGAGCAGCGTGACTTCAAATTTGTGACCCAACTAATTTTATAACACAATCCTATGCATTCTCCTGCTGGGTTCCATTAGGCTTACTGCCACTTAAAAATTTTGTAACCCACTCTGGGAGCCTTTTTGTTAAATGAGAGGGTATAGTGCTGTAAATAAACAACAGAGAAAATGTCCATCGGATAGCAGTCTTGTTCAATTAACTGTCTGGTTTTAAAGCTGCAGTCCTGTGCACAGTTAACCATGAAGTAAGTCCCACTGAACACAGTAAGACTTACTCCTGAGCCCAAATGCACATGGTGTTAGCATTCCACTCCTCCGTTGCTGGATGTGTGATTGCTGTATCACATGTCTGTGTTTACTTGGAAAAGTGTGAGAACGGAAGCTAGTTTATCTCTTCCGTTTTGTACTGTACTTTTGTACTTCTTTGCTCTCTCTCTCGGAGAAGATGTGAGAGGACGCCATGGTTGCTTTGTCCTGTATATATTGCTTAATAAATTAGAATGCTACACTCATGCACCACGATCGTTTCTGCTATACTCTGCTGATAGAGTGTGCGCATGTCTTTAGATATGTGTTGCTGGTGCGCACTGGGACTGATTTGTGAATGTCCCAGGCTGCACTTCATCAGGAAGATGCCTGGAGAGGGCTGTCTCATTCTGGGGGCTGTGTGTGCCCCCCAGGCGTGTTCCAACTCATGGGTGTGCTGGTAATTGATTAATTAATTGCACAATCTCCATTCATATGTACTCAAGTGTAGCAACAGTTTTGAAGAAAACCATTTACAATCTTTAGAAGATATATGTCTGTGTAATAACAGATTTATTCATTTATTTTTAGAAAAAAGCTGTGGCTTGATTAAACAGGGCACCATTACAGTTGAATAAAAGGGTTTTAATCATTTAACTGAATCAATGGATACACTAAAGAGCAAAATAGCAACCCTTATTCTAATCACTGCTTTTTATCCCTGCTTTACAGAACCATCCACTGCTCTTACCACCACCAAGATCTCAACTACCACGGAGACCACAACCACATCAACAACACCAACAACTACCACTTCCACCCCAACTCCAAGTACAACAACACCGACACCACCAACCACCACCACCACTGAACCAACTACAACAACCACAACTACCACTACTACTCCCCCTCCGAGTACAACTACAACAACGCCGACACCACCAACCACCACCACCAGCACTGAAACCCCTACAGTAACAACCACAACTACCACTACTACTCCCACTCCGAGTACAACTACTACAACACCAACACCACCAACCACCACCACCACTGAACCAACTACAACAACCACAACTACCACTACTACTCCCCCTCCGAGTACAACTACAACAACGCCGACACCACCAACCACCACCACCACTGAACCAACTACAACAACCACAACTACCACTACTACTCCCCCTCCGAGTACAACTACTACAACACCGACACCACCAACCACCACCACTGAACCAACTACAACAACCACAACTACCACTACTACTCCCCCTCCGAGTACAACTACAACAACGCCGACACCACCAACCACCACCACCACTGAACCAACTACAACAACCACAACTACCACTACTACTCCCCCTCCGAGTACAACTACAACAACGCCGACACCACCAACCACCACCACCACTGAACCAACTACAACAACCACAACTACCACTACTACTCCCCCTCCGAGTACAACTACAACAACGCCGACACCACCAACCACCACCACCAGCACTGAAACCCCTACAGTAACAACCACAACTACCACTACTACTCCCACTCCGAGTACAACTACAACAACACCGACACCACCAACCACCACCACCACTGAACCACCTACAACAACCACAACTACCACTACTACTCCCCCTCCGAGTACAACTACAACAACGCCGACACCACCAACCACCACCACCAGCACTGAAACCCCTACAGTAACAACCACAACTACCACTACTACTCCCACTCCGAGTACAACAACAACAACACCGACACCACCAACCACCACCACCACTGAACCAACTACAACAACCACAACTACCACTACTACTCCCACTCCGAGTACAACAACACCGACACCACCAACCACCACCACCACAACCACTGAAACCCCTACAACAACTACCACTACTACTCCCACTCCAAGTACAACAACAACAACACCGACACCACCAACCACCACCACCACTGAACCAACTACAACAACCACAACTACCACTACTACTCCCCCTCCGAGTACAACTACAACAACGCCGACACCACCAACCACCACCACCAGCACTGAACCCCTACAGTAACAACCACAACTACCACTACTACTCCCACTCCGAGTACAACTACTACAACACCGACACCACCAACCACCACCACCACTGAACCAACTACAACAACCACAACTACCACTACTACTCCCCCTCCGAGTACAACTACAACAACGCCGACACCACCAACCACCACCACCAGCACTGAAACCCCTACAGTAACAACCACAACTACCACTACTACTCCCCCTCCGAGTACAACTACTACAACACCGACACCACCAACCACCACCACTGAACCAACTACAACAACCACAACTACCACTACTACTCCCACTCCGAGTACAACAACAACAACACCGACACCACCAACCACCACCACCACTGAACCAACTACAACAACCACAACTACCACTACTACTCCCCCTCCGAGTACAACTACAACAACGCCGACACCACCAACCACCACCACCAGCACTGAAACCCCTACAGTAACAACCACAACTACCACTACTACTCCCACTCCGAGTACAACTACTACAACACCGACACCACCAACCACCACCACCACTGAACCAACTACAACAACCACAACTACCACTACTACTCCCACTCCGAGTACAACAACACCGACACCACCAACCACCACCACCACAACCATTGAAACCCCTACAACAACTACCACTACTACTCCCACTCCGAGTACAACTACAACAACACCGACACCACCAACCACCACCACCACTGAACCAACTACAACAACCACAACTACTACTCCTACTCCGAGTACAACTACAACAACACCGACACCACCAACCACCACCACCAGCACTGAAACCCCTACAGTAACAACCACAACTACCACTACTACTCCCACTCCGAGTACAACTACTACAACACCGACACCACCAACCACCACCACCACTGAACCAACTACAACAACCACAACTACCACTACTACTCCCACTCCGAGTACAACAACACCGACACCACCAACCACCACCACCACAACCACTGAAACCCCTACAACAACTACCACTACTACTCCCACTCCGAGTACAACTACAACAACACCGACACCACCAACCACCACCACCAGCACTGAAACCCCTACAACAACCACAACTACTACTCCTACTCCGAGTACAACTACAACAACACCGACACCACCAACCACCACCACCAGCACTGAAACCCCTACAGTAACAACCACAACTACCACTACTACTCCCACTCCGAGTACAACAACAACGACACTGACACCCCCCACAACAACCACATCACCAACTACTGGCCCAACAACCCCCACAACATCTTCAACTACACATACAACCCGCTGCACCTGTGTAATGGATGGAAATACATTTTTTGAAGGTAAATATCTTAGGTTTGATCCAATAAGTTACACTGATACAAATGAAAAGTCCCTTTTAATGTTAAATTTCTGTTTATTATTATTTTTATGTTATTTTGGTCCCGAAGATGACAAAAATGTTGTTGCTGTTGTTGTTGCTTGTTTCCTTTCAGAAATGTTATAGAATAAGATAGGAAACAGTTATTTTAAAAACTAATGTTTAATTAAGATGATCAAGAAATCTGTTCTACACCTCCAAACTCCAGAGAAAGTATTAGATATCTGTTATACCACCCTGCATTGCTAAGGCATTCCCAAGAATATCTAACACAAAGGAGACAATGTGTGAAATAACAGGTATTTTAAAGGCAAACTGTGGTTCAAAGTGAATGAGGTATCAATACAAACGGGAAATACATCTGATAAAGCCAGCTGTATAAGTAAGGCTTACACCCATAGTGCTGGTTCCTAATATTGACAGATAGCAAGGAGATGAATGTTAGTAGGCCACTGTAGTCCATGTTCTGGTAACTTCCAGATTGCATACAGTACATTGAAGATAACTTGAAGACCCAGTGAAATTCATCACCATTCCAGTGAATTTGGGCACAGAGCTGTCTAGTCTATGTTTGGCTTAGAGGTTACACCTTGGCAAAGAGGAAGCTTTTTGTTTTGTTTTGTTTTTATGCTGCTCACATTTTTGCATGGTATTCCTCTATTGTATTTTCATTGATTGGAATAATAATAATAATAATAATAATAATAATAATAATGTTCCTGGCTGCGTTGAATGGCTCCATTTAGAGAGCAAAGTGTGGCTTATACATTTTATTGTCAATAAAATAAAGAAATCATGGAATCTGCTGAGTAACCAGATTTTCAGCAGGAATGTAGCCCTGGAATTCAATTTTTCAATTCAGAAATTCAACTTTCCAGTTGCCTTCATCATCCCTCATCTGAAGCAATTTGAGAAGGTATAACTGAACAGAAAGCAGCCCAGCCATTGTTTCTATGCTTTGGTTCAGTTATTTATATTAACCTCTATTTCTCAAAATCTAGGTGATATAATAGAAGTGGGCATGCACAGAGGCATGTGCTATCAGGCCAACTGCTCCTGGGAATGTGAAGTAGTTTACAAGTATTGGGATTGTTCTACCACTACACCACTGCCAACGACAACTACAACCACAACAGAGCCAACAACGACTACAACCACAACAGAGCCAACAACAACTACAACAGAGCCAACCACAACTACAACCACAACAGAGCCAACCACAACTACAACCACAACAGAGCCAACCACAACTACAACAGAGCCAACCACAACTACAACCACAACAGAGCCAACCACAACTACAACCACAACAGAGCCAACCACAACTACAACCACAACAGAGCCAACAACAACTACAACAGAGCCAACCACAACTACAACCACAACAGAGCCAACCACAACTACAACCACAACAGAGCCAACCACAACTACAACCACAACAGAGCCAACAACAACTACAACAGAGCCAACCACAACCACAACAGCACCAACCACAACTACAACCGTAACAGAGCCAACCACAACAACTATATCTATAAAAACAGAAAATCCTACTAGTACAACTCCAAGTCGTAGTTCACAGGAATCCACACCCACACCCACACCCGGACCAACACCCACACCCGGACCAACACCCACACCCGCACCATGTCCATTTGAGAATGGGACTATTCTAGTAAGTATTCTTTAATGCATTGTAAATTAATACAGGAACATCTTCTTGAATTATTTTGAGTAGTTTTCTTGATCATCCCTTTTCAAAACTCAAACTGCTCTCTTAACATTTTCAAATGAAAAAAGTTGCTGAAAGTGTTACTGAAAGGGAAGCTACCATCAGTATGTGTTCAATGAGTTTCCTATTTGGAAGTTAATTTCATATATTTCCTTTCTCTTGAAAAGGGTGAGTTACCACTGTTACTTGCTATTGTCCAAACTATAAATTTAAAGAGAGATAATACCAATGTTAGTTATCTGTTCATATGAAAGAAAAAAGACAAAATAATTTCTGATGAGTGTTGAGTTATAAAGAAAATAAATGTGGATTTTATCCACATTTGGTAGGCTTGTCATGCAATATGTTGGAAAAGTAAAGCAATATCACTACATACAGTCTTCATTTGGACCTGTCAGGCTAGAGCAGAACATTGGCAACTGGCTTTAACACATACAGGTTAGATTTACCTTGGCTGTTTCTTGCATCTTGTGATCTGGTGCTAACCTCAGAGAAAGCAATCTGATTTGGTCCTATTTGGGGTCTTACCCCAAATCGTATGCAAAGCCCTAGTGTTGAATATTGTACTTTTATTTTTTTACACTTTTACATTTAAAACACAAATAGAGCCACGAGCGTGCACAAAAATGTTCAGTGTGCACTTAAAACCATACAAGACACCACTGAATATAATCTTCAGTCCTGCAGTTGAATTACTTGAATGAAACTGCAAGGGCATACGTTGACTAGGAAATGGTTGGTTACTCTTCTGATCTCTTAATATATACAGTATATTTGGATATGGATATTGTTCTATTTAAACTGTCATTTATTTTCTCACTTGTCTTCTCAAATACAGCCTGGAGAATCTATGTGGATTTGTGACTGTGTCCAGGCCTTTTGCATTTCAAACGAGGAGTGGATTTTAAAACCCATAAAGTGTGAACCACCACCTGAGCCCACATGTTCCAATGGGCTTGCTCCTGTTCGTGTGATGGATGAGAATAACTGCTGCTGGCACTGGGAATGTGACTGTGAGTTTGTATTGAAAACCTGTTAGGTGTTCTCTCAATGGATCCATATGCACAGGGGGAAAGGTGTAGTTTAGGGCTGCCATATTTCAAAGTTGTTGAGCTTTTTCAAGTAAAAACTACAATAATTTTTGAGTTTTGGAGCTTTCTTAGACATTTTTGGCACAATTTAGCCCCTGTTGCCAGTTTTCCAGGACATTTGCCTGATTACTGAAAATAATCCAAGATGCCATTTTCGGAGGTGAATTCTAGGACATGTCCTGGAAATTCAGGATGTATGGCAGTATAAGTGCATCATATAACTTTTTGTTTCCCCTTTGAATACCTGTATCAGTTTAGAGCTGCAATTAGATATTTTGTGTCTTTCATATGTTTGAACATAGAGTGAGGGAGATTCTACTCATGGCTCACCCTCTGAACCCTTTTCGGTACAAGGATTGAAAGGAGCCTGCAAACATATGCAAGAAATGCTCTTCCCTTATCACACACAGTAACAAAATAATCAATGCGAGGCATGGCTTCCAGGTCTAAAAAGACAGCTTCCAGAAAAGCATGAAGATTTGTATCTTATTTTTAGAATTTCACTTTTAAGTAGGTCCTGCACAAGGGGTTTGCACTGCCACCCACCCCCATTCTCCTCAATGTGCCACCCTGCTCCCATCCTCCTCTTAGTGGCAGTAGCAGTGCCAGTAGTGTTAAAGAAAAAATATGTTTGTGTTACAGTAAGTGAGGGTGAGGCGCAAGAGGAGGAGGAATGGGGGTTGGTAGAGGGGGGAGTGGCACCTGGAAGCCATGCCCCTAATGCAAAAATATATGTTTTGCTAATGAGCACATATGCCTGATAATACAAATGGAGATATAAAACAAATTGCTTCTTTGCCATCCTGTGTTTTGATGTTATTGTATATCTCACAAGAAGGAGATTCCAGTTTCTTGAGCCATTAGTGCTGCTAGTGGGGCTGACAGTCTCTTACTCAATGTCACAGTTTCTGTGACAAACTCCATCTAGATTTTCTCAGTGCAAGAGCCATTAGGCTCTCTTCCCCCTTCCTGAAACAAAATGTTGTTCATATTCCTCTGTGTTATGCCAGACAAAAACCTACCAATCAATTTTATTGTCTCACTAAAGGCTACTGCACCGGCTGGGGAGACCCACATTATAAGACCTTTGATGGCCTCTACTACAGTTACCAAGGCAACTGTACCTACACCCTGGTGGAAGAGATTGTAAAAACCATCGACAACTTTGGAGTGTACATTGATAACTATCACTGTGATCCAAGGGAACCAGTGTCCTGTCCACGTACTCTCATTATAAAGCATGAGACTCAGGATATACGCATACACACACTCTCATCTGTTCCTATCAAAATAGAGGTATGAGTCAAATGCCTTTTATGATTTAAAGCTACACCCTGCTAACTAGATAATTAATAACAGATTTGAAAATTAGTTTGTACTGTATCTCCCTTGACTCATTTTTCATGACATTTACACAGTTTAAACTATAAACTGTTAACATGCTACTTTGGGTTGAGTTAACGCTTTGCCAGCAATAAGTGATTTGGCTTCTTAACACAGCCTAGGATCCAGTTGTGCCTATTTGTCAGCAAAATGGCCTATCCATCAGGAGGGGAGTTTTGAAGAGGCTATGGGGAGGAGAGAATAATAGAATCATAGAGTTGGAAGGGACCCAAGGGAAGGAAATGTTCTATTGTGCAAGTGAAGTCCACCCACACAATGTTAGATTTCATCCAACAGATAGATAGATGATAGGTAGACAGACAGACAGACAGACAGACAGACAAATATAGATTTATATGCTTAAAAGCCAACCAGCAAATTGACTAAAACAATTCCTTGTTCCTTTTCTCTGGTATGCCATAGTCCTGCATTTAAAAATGCTGTTTGAAAAGATACAATTTTTTATTCTAACTATTTTACATCCTTTCCCACCCTTTGGATATTAGGTACTCGTAAATGGGAATGTTGTGAATTTACCTTACACAAAATATGGTGTGAAAATTCATCAGTTAGGTATGAATTACATGGTGGTAATTCCTGAATCGAAGATAAATATAACCTTCAACGGCATATCTTTCACTATTCGGATGCCCTATGAACTATTTGGCAACAACACCCAGGGCCAGTGTGGTAAGGATTATTTTGTTTTTTCTTCTAAAATGATACACTGAAAAGCAAATAATAAGAACAATATCAGAAATATAAAGGTGAACCATTATGGGAATACATTAAAAAAACTAATTTAAACAGTAATAGTAATATATTGTGTGCAAGCAGCTTTTTACTATTAATGAAAATTGTTTTCAAAAACACACACCTAATGATACTTAGAAAGTTATGTGCTATAAGTTCTGTGAATTCATCTTCAGACCTTGTATTATTAGTATTGATAAAAATAATAATTAGTAACATAATGGAAACCAAATGATGTACAGCTGCCTGAACTCCTCTGCTTTATGTCAATTTTAGGTACATGCACCAATAATACAGCAGACGACTGTCGACTGCGCAATGGAGAACTTGCAGAAAACTGTGTACAAATGGCAGATGACTGGTTTATTACTGATGACTCCAAACCCCATTGCCCCCGATTGCCCCCGATTCAGGAACCAACAACCCGCCCGCCCTGCGAACCATCTCCGCTCTGTAAACTTTTACTTGAGGGGTAAATGTGCTCTTACCAATTTTCACTTTGGGATTTGTATCTGTTTAGTTTGGTGTTTGGTCTTCATTGCTTAAAAGTTTGGCTTCTTTCTTTCTTTCTTTCTTTCTTTCTTTCTTTCTTTCTTTCTTACACTTGCCTGCTCTTCAGAGTGATTTTGTTTTAGAAATTCATCCTATTTCTGCATGGATTTTTCTGGGGTAATGGAGTCACCCAAAACTAAGGGTTGTTTTCCTGTTTTTAATCCAGTTGCACAAGTACAACTTTTGGATTCTGATATGCTTCTTTTTTAAAAAAACAAAACAAAACAAAACATTTTGAGCACTTTTATTCTTTTTTAATTCTTTTTTTGTGCTGAAAGTACTTTACAGTGTTTTATCTGTGTTTCCCACAAATGCACCCCTGCATCCCCTTCATTACACTGAAGCTCCCTGCCCTCTCTAATCATAGTGTTGACAAATGACAATTTGCATTCTATTTTCCCATAGAGAATGTACCCCTGGTCTATTATATATTTCTTACAGATCATCTGATTCATTATACTCTACATTGGCCAATGATATCCTCTGATAGGCTCCTTCTGGGGGTTCATCAAGCCCCTGGGGTTTGGTTGGCCTTCACTCAGGGCTGAGCCTTTAGTGTGGCAGGTCCTGCACTGTGGAAGTCCCTACCAGCAGAGGCTTCGCAGGAACCATCCCTCTCTTATTTCAGACATCTTTTTAAAAAATGGCCTTTGCAAGATAAATTTTCTCTTTCTACCCAGCCAGTATTGATTGATTTTTCTAATTTTGTTTTCTATGGACACTGTTGTCGGTTTTATTTTTATATTTTATATAGCACCTTGTTATACTTTTATGATGTTGATTATAAATGCATACATAAGTAAAAGTGTGTGTGTGTGTGTGTGTGTGTGTGTAATGATGCATTTGTAGAATGAACAGGTTCCTTGATGAGATAAGCATGGATCATCAGTACCTAATACTGTTTTTATTCTTCCTGCATCTAGTGAATTCAAGAAGTGTCATGATGCTGTTGATTATGAAAACTACTATGCAGCCTGCGTGTTTGATAACTGCAGGATTCCCGACCGTGGCATGGAATGTGCAAGTCTTCAGATCTATGCATTTACCTGTGCAGACCAAGGTGTCTGCATTGATTGGAGAGGGCTTACCAATGGCACATGTAGTAAGTGCTTATTTCTTAAATTCATCTGGAACTATTTGGGACAACTGTAGAGCTGAGATGGGGAACTTGTCGCTCTCCAGATTTTGTTAGACTATTAATTCTCATTAGCCCCAGCCAGCATAGGCACTGATCAGGATTATGGATGTTATAGTATAGCAGCATCTGCAGAGCCACAAGTTCCCCATCCCTGTTGTAGAGTTACTGGGTATGCCTTCACAAAAGCCCACTAGCACTCTCCCATGAGTGTCTTAACTCAAGAACCATACTGTAGGTGAAGTGAAGGGATGATGTATAGGGTTTTGCCCATCTGATTCCCCTGTGTGGACTGTACAGTCCATCGTTCTCCATAGCTTCTGTAGGGCATGAATTCACATGAATGCATCGAAACATTTGCACACATGCATTCTGCTATTTAAGTTATTTTTTAGATCTAGTCGCAGGTACAGTTTCCCAAAAGCTTACTGAAATACTTTTATGAACCCTGCTAATAGTTGGATATCTCAGATTCTAATAGAAAATGCAACTCTGAAAATATATTTTTCTTTTTGATGTTTTTGTTTAAAAACAGTTATCCAACAGTTTTAAAGTGCTATCACTTAGACAGAGATTTTATTTCATTGAGCTTAAAATGCCCCGGGCAAAAGCAAGTAGGAAGCTAGCACCCAATGAGTAGCTGATGAATGAGCGGGAAGGATGGAGATAGGCCACCACAGGGTATTCTCCATTCTCTCTCTTCTTTTTGTTGCCTGTTCATGATGGCACCTTATGGTGGGCTGTGCCAGGATGGACAACTATGTTTTCTCCGCATGCAAGTAGCCTATGTTACTTAGGTTATTGAGTGTGCCCAGATAAGGAAGGCACCATTAGATACTATCACTGACCAATAAGAGAGAAGAAGGTACAGAGATGAGAAAGTATACACTAATCAGTTTATCCCACCTTCTCTGTTCCTCACTCAGTAGTTTCCTGCTTTGTTTGTTGGGAGAGCCCATATCCTGCCTTTGTTTTTTTGTTCTCGGTTTAGAAATGCATACAAGTTAAAATAGGCTGTTCTCTTTCAGGAAAAAATCATCATGGTTAATATTGCCGATCCTTCTGCTTCATTAATTTTTCCCTTTTTTTAAAAAAAATCTAGGCGTCAGCTGCCCATCTAACAGAGTCTACAAAGCATGTGGTCCTGCTCAAGAGGAGACTTGCAAATCAGGGTAATTACTTTCCCACCAGCCCAATCTCAGTACCGTCTGTCTGCATGAACTGATGTGATGAGCTCTTTGGTACTGTCACTTAGTATAATATATGTGTATTGTATATAATGAAGTAGAGTTCCTATCCTTGGTTTCGTAGTCCACAACACCTTAAAATCCCCCAAACATCACTGTCTGGCCTAGAAATTCCACACTCATAGTGCATGCCAATCAGTGTGCAGTTCACACATATGCTTGGCAAGGGTGGTACAGGGAGCACCCAAGCCATATATGCCATACATGTGATGTAGGTGCTGCAATATGCATACAGTTCTACAACCTTACTCCCAATTTGTTTGATATTTCACTCTCCATTTCAGTAGGAAGCTCACATTAATCAGGCCTGTTCAAATATTATCTCACTGTATGAGAATACAGTCTGCATTTGGATGTGGACGAACACTAACCAGTTCTTCACGACACATTTACTCAGCATTTGGTGACTCTCAGGTCAATGTGCAAAGGAACTCTCTTGGAATGCATTCTGTTCATATACCCATTAACCATGGTCTTTTGTTGCTCTGGATTATTTCATGCATAAGAGATGGTGCAAGGCATGAAACTCGGTCCTTACCTGAGTTAATCTGTAGTAACTCCACAAATTTTACTGGCTGGGTTATGTATGATTTTTTGTTACCTGAAAGGCAGTGGAATTCTCTGCCTACTTCCCCTGAACCCACCCTGTCATCCTTGCACAGACCCCTATAAATATATGTTGTTTCCATCACGCAACACAAATAAATATATGACATCCATATGTGGTCTCTAGAATGCAGTGCAATATTGACACAATCCAGAACATCCCCCAAATCAGAACAGTTATTTTCTCCACTCGTACATCAGCAAGTTGTGACTTCAGCTATATACCTGTATATCTACAGATAAAGGGATATTGATAGATATGTCATAGATTTATCATTTGAAATGTCATTGGCTTAAATTATAAATTTCTGTTATGCTGTATGAGAAGAATCCTGACTTTTTGAACTGTTTATCTATTGTAGCTTAATCGGAGTCAACCAAACCCAACAAATTGAAGGCTGCTTCTGCCCTGAAGGGACAACACTTTATGATGCTGGTGTGGATGTTTGTGTGAAAACCTGTGGTGAGTTTTCATTCTGATTCTTCTTTCCCCCAGGAATTTAGGCTACAATTCTATGACCCCTGGAAGGGTATTGCATGGGCCATAGGATTTTGTAGATCTCCTTCTCTGTGGGTGGAGAGCTGTAGAAACCTCTACATATGTCCCTCTTTTGCTGATTGGCGTAGGAGGGGAAATAGGCATGTTATGGGTGTGATGGGAGTGGATCCAAAACTCTCCCCTTTCCCCAGTATGCTGGGAAAGAAAGGTACACCATCCATATAGCTGGTGCATTTCATGTCCCTCCAGACTCCCCACCCTCATGCCCTCGCCACTTCTTCTGCCCTGGCTGGCACAAAAGCAACAGGCCTCAGATTTGGCAGTTCTTTGACCACATATTCCTCCTCCCCACCACCATTGTGTTGTTCTGCCTGATAACTGGCTATCAGGTACTGTGTCATGAGTAATAGGCATGCCACTACTAGGCAGGTGCTGCCTGAGGCAGCCACCTCACCCAACCTCTTGGGTGGGGGAGCTCTGCATAGCATCAATGTGCCCATGGAAGGTTTGCCACAGATGGACGCATACTGCCTTATGCCCTGACATTGTTGTCATTTCAACGCTAAGTGAAGATGTACCTGTTCATGGCCTTTTAGGTTGTTTTTCTTTTTTTAAGAGAGTGGAAGATGTGGAATTATTTGAAAGGTTCCAGATATTTCTATAGGTGGCAACAGTGGTCTTAATTTTTTTTATGTAACAAAAATGTGTGGCTCATAATTGAGCCTAATGCAGTGGTTTTCAACCAGTGTGCTGCGGCACCCTGGGGTGCCTTGAATGATGGTCAGGGGTGCCATGGCACAACTGGCCTCTGTCCCTCTTTCCTTCCCTCCCTCCTCTGATGTCCTCTAGCGTCTTTGCCTCTCAGAGGCTTCTGTGGCTGTTTGTTGCAGCAGCCCTGACTACAAGCTCCCCAGGCAAATGGTGCCTCTGGGGCTGGCCAGGGGTTGCTGGTTGCCAGGAGCTGAGGCGGCCTCGGAGTATGCAAGGAAGTGGATGAGGGAGCCCAGCCAGCTAGCCCACGAGCCCTTGCTGTTAGGAATGGACAGACAAGTGGGAAGCCCGGCAAACAGGCACTGCATTGACCTTTCTTGTGCTTGCTGTGTGCAAGGCCTGTGCTGAAGGGGAGCCTTTCTGCCATGCAGGCCCGACAGTGCCTGCTGCTGCCACCTGAGGTAAGGTGCTGGCCTCACATTCTACTTTGGCCGGTCTCTGCTGGGCCACTAAGGCTGGAGGCATGGTCTTCCCAGGCCCCTGTGGAGCAGTGTGAGGAGGCACCTCTCTTTGGAGCGGGGAGGGGGCAGCTCAGAGACCAGGGGTGGCGGCTGTAGCTGCCCAGAGGACTCCCAAGGAGAAGGGAGAGTAGAAGAGGCTGAGGAAACACTCCTCAAGGGAGGATATTAGAAAAAGCATAAGAGGCTGCCAGCTTTGTAGGCAAGGGGTGATATAACTGGGCTCCTGAGCCCCACGGGGTGCTGTAGAAAGATTGTAGTTGGTCAAGGGAGACATGGACTCAAGAAGGTTGAAAACCTCTGGCCTAATGAACTTATTAGTAATGAATGTTTTATTTATTCTGCTTGCAGGATGTGTTGGGCCAGATAATATACCAAGGAAGGTAAGTTGCAAGTCTGTTTGTTTTGTGTCCCTTTTTTGCTGAATTGTAAATATTCAGTTGTAAGTTTGCTTTACTTTGGGGAAAGGAAGTGCAAAATCCCAACAACTTTGTTTTCTATTGCTCTTTCAACTATTTGGAGATAATCTCATCAAGGGATCCATCATGATAAACAGTTTTTGGAATGTAGCAGAATTAGGACTGAAATAAAATGACCTACCAAAATTAGCTCCCTTCTGCTATCTTCCAAAATATATGTGAGTTATTTAGTTATTTAAATAGTTCATAACCTTCACTTGATGTTATATGACATCAGACAATTTAACCTTCAAGCCACAGATGCAAGGGAAGGTTTTTCCTCTGCACCCATGACTGGAAGTGCAAAGAAATGATCTTTATTTGTAGCCACAGCTTTTAACAGGTGCTCCTTGATTTTGGTTCCCTTTTCTGTTGCTGAACAAAAAAAGGTGCCAAATTTAAAAAGTGCCTATTTCAAGCCAGGTCTTGTAAGGAAGATCCTTTATTTGTACCTCAAGCCATGGCTGAAAAGAAAGAAATGGGAGTGCTCTTAGAGTTACCCCAGTTCTTCCTTTTGACTTTGGTGCTACAGCTATGATGTCAAGTGATGAACAGGTGGCACGGTGGGTCTAATTAAGTGCACAGACTGAAGGTTCCCCACTGCTTCTGTCAGGAGAAGGCATTCACCCAGAGGGTGCTGCCCAGAAGAAGTTAAAGCAGACATTCCACAAACCTCATGGACAGAAATTTTTTATTACAGTTGGTACCCTGTAGACATGCACAAACTTAATGTGTTTTACCTTTCCTGAATGATAGTTTGGGGAGGAGTTTGAGTTTGACTGCAAGAAGTGCAGTTGCCTGGAAGGAGGCAGCGGTATTACCTGTGAGCCCCTCAAATGTCCATCAGATGATGATGTCAGCTGTGAAGGAGATGGATTCTACACGATCACTGAAGTCAATCCTGATAACAAATGCTGCTCTAAAACCACTTGTGGTAAGTCCATCTTGGTAGCCCTTTGCAATTCAGATACCTGCTTTGGAGCAACCAATGGTCAATGGTAGAGCAAATACATGAGGTTGCCTTCAGCACAGTGCTAAGGTGAAGGTTCCGTCAGTGCAAGGATTCCTCCTTGTGCACCAGAGTGTTCACCCCCTTCCTGTCCCTTGTGTGTCCCCTAAATTTGCTCTGGAGCTTCTCCAAGGTTTTGGGAACAGCTTTGGGGATGATATGGGACATGCACAGGGAGAGGAGAAAGGGGAAATCCCCTAGTGCTAATCATTGCCTTAGCACAAAAGGTTTAATACAGCCCATGATGTCTATAGGGCTATAGGTTCACTTCCCAGTGCTAGCAATTTTCAGACAGCAGAGGTACAACAGACTAGAAAGTCCCTGTAAGTTCAGGTAAACAGAATGTCTGTTTCGGTGATTAGTTGTTATTATGCTATTTTGTTTTTTGAGGGGGGGAAAAGCCAACAAGCAGTAGCAGTTGGTGGTGTGGGCAGGGCAGGGCAGGGCAGGGCAGGGCAGGGCAGCATTGCTCACCTGGCTTTGCAATGCCTCGTGGTTACTGCTCCTTACAAGGGGGAGAAGGAGCGAAGCAGCAGGGAGCTCAGTACAAGTGAAGGCACAGCAATGGAAGTGGTGGATTGGCCCCACTGGCCAGAGAACTACGAACTGAATAAATACTTTCAATTACAGTTTCCCCAACTATGGGAGAACTCCTGTTGCACAATGCATGATTACTTCACTGTTCAATATTAATTTGCAAGATGCCTGGTTAATTCACTGTTCAGTACTCCTGGTTGAACCCAGTTTAAGGAATTTCCCCATGTTTCTGCAATATCATTTTGCCCTTTCTTCTTTACAGTATGCAATGCCACTGACTGCACAACAGAGCCTCCTAAATGTCAGCCAGGGTATGAGTTAGTTTCTGAAGTTCCTGAAGGCCACTGCTGTCCTGATCACCGATGTGGTAAGTCTGTTTTAACAAATTATGAAAGGATAAGCATGACACATCGCATTCTGGTCCTAAGCGTGCTTAGAAGTGAATCTGGCTGTTGTCAGTGGAATTTGCTTCCCAGTTGTATCCTTAGCTTACAGTCTAATGAAGCAGTAGCCAACCTGGTGCCCTCCAGAGGTCGCAGGACCACAGCTCCTACCATCCCTGACCACTGGCTGTGCTGGCTTGGGGCTGATGGGAGTTGTAGTCCAACAACATCTGGAGAGCCACATGCTTGCCATCCCTGCTGGTGAAGGAAGCATGGTGGGGAGCTATATAACAGTGAGTACATTTTAAAAAAATATCCAGTGGCTTAATATAGAATATTTTACATGTTGCCTTTTTTTTTTTTTTTTTTGTAGAGCCCAAAAACGTTTGTGTGGCTAACGGTAATGAATACACGGTAAGATTTCCTTTTCTTCCTTACTCTGCTAACAAAAGTTTCATGAAGTGATTTGTCTATTTGTCCATTTTTGGGGCCCAGTTGCACATCCAATTTTCTAAAGAAAGGACATCATTCCAAAACACTTAATAACACATTTCTATATACATCTACTCAAGAGTAAGTCAGACTTGAGTTCAACAGGGTTTGCTCACAGGAAAATATGGCTGCCTTAGGCTGCAGTTACAAGAAACTAGCCCCATTGAACAGAGTGGGACTTTCTTCTGAGTAGACAGTAGCATAGGATTATACAGTCATACTTTGGATCCTGAACGCCTTGCGACTCGAACATTTTGGCTCCCAAATGCCACAAACCTGGAAGTGGGTGTTCCGGTTTGCGAATGTTCTTTGGAACCCGAATGCCCAACGCGGCTTCCGCAGCTTCCGACTGAGTGCAGGAAGCTCCTGCAGCCAATCAGGAGCTGCGCCTTGGTTGTCGAACATTTTCGGAAGTTGAATGGACTTCCAGAATGGATTCTGTTTGGCAACCAAGGTGCGACTGTACTGTGAAATCAGTAGCAGTGTATGAAGTGGGTAGAACAGCAGAAGTAGCCTTCCACTGGCAGCACTGCTGTTCACAGAATAGGGCAAGATGAGGGGCTGGTGAGATTGAAGTGGGACTCCGGGTTGGTAACAGTGGTGCTTCACATCCTCATGTACCTGTGGAACACAGATGTTGCCAAATCCAGAGCTCCCCCAGGCTTGCCACTTTCTCTCACTGCCCCATCTGCATCCGGGAGAATGAAGTGCCTCCACCACTGGGAGGTCAGTGCTGCTGATCCACACCCACCCGCACCCCCCGCACTTTGCTGGTAACGATCAAATGAACAAGAGTGTGAATTGAGCAAGGATAGATATTCAAGAGGGAATTAGCAAGAGATGGAAACAAATTTAAATTAAATTAAATCTAAAGCAACTACTGCCACTGGGCCATTCTCATGTTATTCCATTATTATTTTTTGGGTAGTCATTTTGTGCTAAAGTAATATAAACAGGTCTGTTTCATGCTTTGCTTTGCTTATAGTTTATCTCTTGCTCCCCTATTCCAGCCTGGCTCTCAGATCTTAGGAGATAAGTGCCAGAAATGTGTCTGCACAGAGGAAAAAGACAACAGTACTTGGCTGAATTTGATCAGTTGCAGCTACATCCCATGCCCAACGACGTGTGAACAAGTAAGCACCATCCACTTTAAGAACAAAACCGAAAACCAGTTGCTATGATTATTATTACCTAGATCTAGTTCATTCTGGTTTCAGACCTGGGCTTGGGACTGAATCAGCTTTGGTTGCCCTGATAGGAAAGAGATGGGGGAGTGCAACCCTGCTGCTCTTGCTTGATCTCTCAGCAGCTTCTGATACCATTGACCATGTTATCCTGCTGGATCAGGTCTGTGGGGGCACTGTTTTACAGTGGTTCCATTCTTACTTGCAGGGTTGTATCTAGAAAGTGGCACAGGGAGACTGCTCCTTGGGCCCATAACAGTCCCACAGTGCACTATTTGGCCCCCAGTGCTATTTAACATCTATATGCAACCATTAGAAGTAGTCATTGGGAGTTTTGTGGCAAGGTGTCATCTGGATGCTGAGGATGCCCAGCTCTAGTTCTCCATTATATTTTTTATTCAGGAGAGGCTGTGAAAGACCGGGACCAAGTACCTGGATGCATTGGTAGACTGGATGAGGGTCAGCCCTGGGAAGACAGAGGTCTTGTGGGTGGGGTGGTTCTCAGATCCAGGAGATAGACCGGTTGCCTGTCCTGGATGGGCTGACACTCCCTCTGAAGAAGCAGATACATAGTTAGGGGTATTCCTTGAACCATCGTTGTCACTCGGGTGGCCTGTATGCCTAGGAGTGCCTTTTATCAAGCTTCTGCTGGTATGCAACTGGAAAGGTATAACTTACCCACTGTCCATGTGTTGGTTAATCCCAAGATTGAATTATTGTAACACACTCTATGCGTGGCTGCCGTTGCGTCTATTGTATGTTTTAAATTTTAAATTATATATATTATATGCTTCATTGTTGTAAGCCACCTTGAGACCACATGGTGAAAAGCAGCATATACGTTTTAAAATAATAAATATAAAGGTTGATGGAACAATGTGAAGTGAAGTGGGTCTGATCAGGATGACTCAGGCCTCCTTTATACAACTTCTTTGTACATACCTGTTGAAGTTGGTATGAGTTAACATGTTCAGGGATAGGTTTCCCATCCATACCCTTTTGTGTGAAGCAAGGGTTAAGATCTACCTCTGACAGAGGGCTTCATATTTCTTTTGTATTCTTTTACTTTTTCCTCTCTTTCTCTCCCCCACACCCACTTTAAAGTTATTCCCTTTTTTCATTTTCATTTAGATTCATCTGTTTCTTTTCCTTTCTATGCTGAAAAGTTTCAATAATAATAACATTTCAAAAAAGTGGTAGCACCTTCCCAGGTATTTTCCCTCCATCACATGAGGTGGGGGGGGAGAGGAGAGGTGTGCCCTCCCTAGCCCCAACCCCTCACTCACATCACCATCACCGCTCCCACATTCTTCCATGTGCTGAAGCTGAATTTCTGGAGCAGGGAGCCTTTTCGTGGTTTGAAACCTTGATCTTCCATTATTCATCTCAAAGTGGTTATATACGCCAGCACATGTAGGATCCATAGCAGTTGTCATTATCTGAACTGGCCCATAAACATTGTCATTTTGTAGATCTATAGGCTGGATTTTACATATCTGTAGGTGGGGCATTGGATTTTTTTGTAGGGGGAGGATAGGATGGAGTATGCAAGAGTGGTATAGTTGGCTGGATGACTAAGAAGCCTGAGCAGGAGCACCGCACATGGCAAAGCTTTGTTGCAGATCCCATATCATAATTGTGCATCTCTTTCTCCCTAGGGACATACTCTTATTCATCAGGACGGTGAATGTTGTGGGGTGTGTGTGCAGACAAGCTGTGTTATACGAACACCTCAGAATGATGTTTTCATCTTAAGAGTAAGTGTTTTGTGTTTTAAAGAGTCCTCAAATAGTAAAGATTTTCTTGTAATCCTGAACTTCTGATGCAGGAGAAAAAGCAACTAGCATTCAGAGAAAGAGACTGGCTGCAAACGTCGAAATTTATAAATAAATCCCACATACCCTTATGGCACCCAAGTATCTGTGTGAGATCCTAGTGATGTGCATTAGTTTTAAAAATAAATGAAAAAAGAATCAAATGCATTTCCATTTATTTTATATTTGTTTTGTGGGTACATTCATTTTTATTTTGAAATTATCATTTTTATTTTGAAATTATCATTTTTCAAATTTGACATGTCCAATCAGCATGAACAATGGCAGTGATGGTGCCTTTGAGAGAGCAGTACGCTGCCTGCAAATGTTAGTGGCTGTGTGACAGCAAAGTTATAGGCAGGCAAAAACAAAAGGAGATCACCCAAAGTTGCAGGGAGTTAATTGCTACCTCTTTCTTAACTGCCTCTGCAATGGATATTCTTTGTCCAAACTGAAATTTGGCAAAGCAATCACCCCAAGAGGGTAGTAAAAATTCTGCAAATTTCATGCCATTTGGATGGAAAGCATCAGGCTACAGGCAGCAAAAGTTCAGGCATGTCTTCACCGAGAGCAACAGGAAAATAAAAACAAATCAAATTAAAATCCGAAAAATATTGGCTTTTGAAAATGATGGAGTCCATGGAACTGGCAAGATTAACAGCAAATAATAGAGATCCAAATGACAAAAAATTGCTTAAGATTTGGAGACTTCTTATTGAGTATTTAAAGAACTACTATAGTGAGAGGAAAACACGAGCAGGAGTTGAAATATGAGCAACAGTGGGAATTATTAGGACGGATAGGTCAAAATGGATGTATTGAATAGTACAGGTGAATTATGCAGCATGGAAGCTGAGGACAGGAAGTCAATGATAACGTAACTTACAGTTTATGTTAAAATTTGTAAAGTTTTTTTGTGAAAAATTAATAAATGGACAAGTGAAGCAAAAGCAGTTAAAAGCAGATAAAATGAAACAAATATGGTTTTAGTAGTTAAAACAAAAATATTTTCCCCCATTTGCACTTTTCAAATTTCTCTCTCTTTCCCTTAGCTCCCTATTCTTCCTATTCCACTTATCTGATGCTGACAGTTTACAAAAGCTTCCTTGCTTAGTTACCAGGGAGTGATTATGGTTTGCTGCAGGTGAACAAATGAGTGCCTATTTAGTTGCAACTCCATCCTTAATCACTCCCTCACATACTTATTTTCTGTTCCTTCATTCCCACAAAACTGGCCTCAGTCCTGACTGGGACTATTCTTGGGTAAAGAGTCTTATCTTTCTATTGCAAGCTCTCTCCAACCCCAATATTTTAACCTTCCTTATGGGCCCTTCTACCATATTGGCTGCTCTGCTATTCATAAGAAAATACACATTTAGAAAACAGGAAGATGTTTTGCCAGTATTTAATTTGTTTCCTTGTCTTGAATAGCCTGGTGAGCAACGGAGTGCTCCACACGACAACTGCACTATTTACAGCTGTGTGAACATACATAGGCAGCTGGTCTCCTCCACCTCTTCAATAAGCTGCCCAGCATTTAACGAGGAAACATGTCAGCCTGTGAGTAAATACTGAATATACACATTCCATCTTGTGAAAACTCCTTTAATTTGATTAGCCCACCCTGTGAGCAAGAGCTGTTACAGTTGGATTTTGTGTTGAATTCTTGGCTTATCTGTCATTTTAAAGTGATGGCTGTGAAAGAAAGAAAAGATCCTGCATGGTTGGTAGTGTCATATAAATGCAGTAAGGTAAAGGTAAAGGGACCCCTGACAGTTAAGTCCAGTCGTGGACGACTCTGGGGTTGCGTGCTCATCTCGCTCTATAGGCTGAGGGAGCCGGCGTTTGTCCGCAGACAGCTTCTGGGTCATGTGGCCAGCATAACTAAGCTGCTTCTGGCAAACCAGAGCAGCGCATGGAAACACCATTTACCTTCCCACCGGAGTGGTACCTATTTATCTACTTGCACTTGGACGTACTTTCGAACTGCTAGGTTGGCAGGAGCTGGGAACGAACAACGGGACCGACCTTCCGATCGGCAAGCCCTAGGCTCAGTGGTTTAGACCACAGAGCCACCTACTCACTGCATTAAACATGTTCTACTCCCCGTGAATTGGATCCAGACCAAGTTAGCTGCACTTAGCTCTCATGGAAATCAAAGTCATGACTAATGTAGGTGTAGCTACATTCTTCGTCTGAATCTGATGTGTAAAGAAAATATCTGGTGTATCTTCAGTTATATGCATAAATTGCTTTCTTAATAATTTTTTTTAGTCAACAGTTCCTACTGTTAAGGATTAAAGGTTAAAAAAAAGTTTAAAGGGAACAAAAAGAAACTATTCAACACACATAGACTTCTAAACCAAAGGTCTCACCCCACTGGTTCTTGAACCTTACTTCATTGTCAGGTTGGGGGCTTTGCGCTGTTCTAGTTGGATATGCAATTCAGTAATACATTTTTCTTCCTAGGATACCATTGCCTATTTGCCCAGTGGCTGCTGTAAAACTTGTAAGTATCATAAATTATATATCTATGCCATCTCTCTATGTGATAAATAAATAAGCACAGTGTTTATCATACTCTGAGTACAGCCATGAGTCATCTCTGAGTATGGCTTAGTTGAGTATCACCCAAACAAAAAATAAAATGGGCCAGTTTGCTTTGATTTGCAAACTATATTCAAAAGAAGTGGGTTTGCATATTTTTACTGTAACTGCACTCTTAATATCTTGCTTTGGTTTAGATGCTCAGCTTTATATCTGGGCTCTCCTGAAATATGGTACTTTTGTCCTGCAGGTGATTCCAACCTTAAAACTAGCACATAGTGAGGGGATGCGTAGTACATCCTTCCCTAGCCTCCTCTCCCACATGGCTAGGAGCCATTCAGGCTGCACTCCTGCAAGGCTGCACTTTCCTGGGAGTAAACCCCATTCAAATCAACGGGGCTTACTTCTGAGTAAATATATAGAGGATTTTTGTGTCAGTTGTGTTACCAAAATGCATTTAGGGCTAAATATTGGCTGAACTTTTACATTTCTTGAATAGCTACATACTATGGCAGGCAAGTAATTTGGTGCTACTCATAACTCAGTCCAGATGAGCAAACAAGCTTGATGTTCCGGAAAACATTTGAATAAAGGTTTTTTAAAACATTTTATCCTGCAGGCAAGCCCAAAGATAACCCAGTACCAGTGCCACCTTGCTCTCTCTCTGAAATGAAGGACTATATCGTTCATGATGGTTGCCGTTCAGCAGACATGGTCCCTGTGGCCCAGTGTGAAGGACATTGTGGAACTTCCTCAATGTATGTAAAGCCAAATTACAATAAGATCCTGCAATGCATTTGTACCCATTTGTTTAATTATTCAAATTTAGTAATGTAATCAAATTTACTAATGTGATTTTTTGCAAGTAATTTCTCCTAACATAATGCATTTCTGTATGTTTTCATTAATATCTTCACTTTTATGCACACACAAAAATCAGATCAATTCGTATTTTGAAGAGTAGCTATGTTTTGGTTCACATGTTGTTCTACAAAGTGTGAATTTGACAGATTTGGCTTTAAAATGCACACTGAATCAAATTTCTCCTCCATCTGTAATTGGTAAATATGTATAGGACTGTAACCCCAATCTTTTAGCTGCTATGCTACACCAACATCAAAACTTATTTTCTACTGTGAGAGCCAATTTGATTTCAATACTTCATACCCTCCAACATTTATCCATTGAAAATAGGGGCATCCTAGGGAAAAGTGGGACATTCTGGGATCAAATAAGAATGGCTTCTGAAAATAGGGACACTTGGAGGGTCTGGTACTTTGGTCTCTTGATCCTCCGTCTTAAAAAAATAAAACCCAGAACAACCAACTAGCTATGGTGGTATAATTAGAGACAGCACATTATTTAAAGTGCATCATCCTCGATTCAATATTATGTGGAAATATTATGTGGAAATACATGTGACATGCTCATATCCAAAGTCATTTAGCAAATGAGTTGCGCAAACACGAGTTTCTCCTAATATCACCCACCACTAAAATTGCTCATAATTTCAATCTGTGGCACAGAGTAACTCTTTTTCACCTTCTTGTGCTACAAAAACAGATACTCTTCTGAAGCCAACTCCATGGAACACAAGTGCACTTGCTGCAGGGAGTCAAAAGTATCCGAAAAGGAAGTAACACTGGTGTGCCCTGACGGGAAGAACAAGAAACACAAATACCTTCAGGTGGACTCTTGCGAGTGCCTCAACACCGACTGCAACAGTTCACACTCATCAAACGAGTCCCAGAAGAGCACAGAAGAAAATAGCAGGGAAGACTCCCAGGAAGATGAACTGAATGCTGTGGCTCGTGTCAGGAGGGCCATTAGTTCGGTGAAGAGAAGGATGGGAATATAATGAGCTAATCAACAGGTTACAAGTGAAAAGAAAAGTTATACAGGGACAACCCATGGTTTCATTTTTCACAAATAATTCTGCGCTTGCCCTTACTTTCCACGGGCCTCTTAAATCTGTGCCCTCTTTGACTGTTTCCCCTTATGATCGCTTTATTTATTTGTGTTAAACAAAAAAAAAAAGTGCAAGTCGTTTTTCCCTGAGTGTAACAAAGTTTTATGTTTTGGACTTTTGAATCGTTTTCTTTTCTTCTTTAAATAATTAAAAGCACATTTAAAAACTGAAGTCTCCGCATCCAGTTTTGTTGGCAAACACCTGCACTCTTGGATTTCCTAAGCCTGTGTGAGCAGGAGCTTTGCTTTAGGAGTTCGAAGAGAAAATGGCAAAATCTATACATTTACTCAAACAACAAATGGCCTGTCCACACACCATTTGTGCTCCATGGGTTTAGTTCCCTGGTATTTTTGTTCTTTTCAATGTCCCTGGGTGGCTTCATTGAACTTTTAAGGAGTTCAGTAGCAGCTATATGCTGATGATAACTAGCTTTCCCCTAGAACATTCCCTCTCAAACCAGCCCTGCATTTCCAACTGCCTGGCTGCCTGTGATTTGTGTCTCATCAATAGATATATAAGAGGGCAGTGATTTCTGTCATAGGCAGCACTGTTTTCATTCTGCTGCAGTTCAGTTTCACCCAAATACTGCTATTCATCTTGCTGGCTGCTATTCAGTCTAAGTCATAACATACATTTATCTCAGTATAATGGAAATGCCAAGACAATATTTTAAAATATCATTGTGATATAAACAAATGGCCATAGGGATAAGGTACCGCATAGAAAACCCACAAGGCCTGACTGAAAGCATCCTGCATGGATAAAAGAGTCAGGCTGGGCACTGGATACGGCACAAGGGTTATGGAGCTTCTACAAGCCAAGGTTCCTAAGCTTCGGGCTTTTCCATTTGGGAGTCAGAAATTAATTTTTAAAATAGGATGTATATGTTCCAAAACATCAGCTGATTCACTCAACGTCCATACAAAACCATAGTAGTTAGGCATAGCTTTTTTGAAATAAAAGTGAAACATCAATGAATATTAAACTATTACTGTTGTCATTTATTTACCTCATGTATGCTATGGGGCATCCTAAACAAAAGTTATATTGAAGATTTAACTTTCATCATAACTATCTAGAATTTTTACACTTCCTCGTTTTTTTAATTTTAAAAGAAAGTTAAATTTTAAAAGAAAGTTAAGGGTAGTTGTAGTCACAGTCTTAAATGTTTTGCTGGTATTGCAGGTCTTGGTTTTCACCACTACAGGGCAGCCTATGGCTGAACATGTAAAAAGGTGTGGAGTTTCAGTTTAAAAACAAAGACAAGGACTTGCATGGGATTGTACTTTGAATGTATTTTTTCAATATTGTCTGCAAAATTCAATTATCTAGAAGTATACATAATAAAATTAAAATCTGAGATGCTCATAGCATGGTGCAACAATGAATAAGTTGTCAGTGTCAGCAGCCGTCCAAGAAAACACTTTAAATTAACTCATTTCAAATTCACTTGTGGAGACACAGTATGACAGCAGAGAAAATAATTAGCCATTTGCAACTTATGAGCCGTGAATGTGATAATCACATACCATAGGTAGTAGGTGCAGTCTACTCATGCCCAACAGCTTTCTAATAAATGGATCAGACACAAGACAAAGGTTTCAACTAGCAAAATATCATTTAAAAGCATGGCATATAGCCAATATTTCTTAGATTTAACAAGCATTACATGTTAACCCTGGATTTCCACTTTGAAAGCCATTTAGATTTGTAACATTAAACTACCTACCCCAAGGTGATGTGGCCTATTTATGACATCAGAGCTGTTAACCCAATGAAAGGCAAAGGGGAGATTCTCATGCAGAGGGCCTATTAATCAGCTTACAATGGTCCACTTAAGGCTTCACAGAACACACTCACACACACTTACAGAATATTGAGCAATGGCAGCAAGAGAGCTCTGGTATAACGAGAGGTCATTGGAGATCTGGGAGGGGATTAAAAAAGCAGAAGTTGAGGGAAGTGCTAGTTTGTGACACGAGTTGCTGGAATTTGTGTGTGACAGCCTCGTGGTGAACCACTGAACTGCAGGCGGCAATGTTCTCATTGAAGAACCTTCCTGTACTGAACTGACTCATCCAGGTTGACTAATGAATCCTTATCAGAGGAAAGGTGTATAAAGGGCTTCCTGTTCAAACTGAGCCTTGCTTAAGGAGCATGTTTCTGTATCATTGGTTATCGTTTTGTCATGACTTCTGGTTTTCTCCTTGTTCCCACCACCTAGTTTGCCCTTCAGTCCTGACTACTATCCTGTGTCCAGTGACTTTAAGTTCACAGTTCCTGGGTCACTTCAGACTACTGTCATGGCACAGCCCTCTGGAGGGAGGTCTAATGACACAACCAATGGATTTTCAACACAGTACTTTTGTATATGTCATCAGATGATGCTATCCTTGTGGCATGTTCTAGGTTGCAATCAGCAGGCTATAGCATAAAGACTTGTGCTGCAACAACACTGATAAAATCCATATGAGAAACCGTGACTCCACTGTGGATATTATTGCGGCACACTTTAAAGCTGTTATTGCTGTGCTTGGAGAGCTGTGTTTCCTTTCCTTATGTATGTATCAAAAGTTAACCAACAGCCACAGACTTTTTGTAACAGAAGCAGTACCTTCATAACTCCTACTGTTTTTTAGGTGTGGTGATTCAGCTCCAATTTACTGCCTTCATGAGGTAAATCATACAGTTAATTTTTAAGCTGTTCAGTAACCGAAACCAAACACTGCTCTGTGGCAAATGATCCATGAAAAATGTTGTTCCAAAGACCATAGCTCTGTGACAAATGGGATTTATACCTTAACTGGTTTGTAGGCCAGAGGTGAAAAGTCATAAATTTTGACATGTCAATCTACAGGGCAAAGACATTTATGAAACATCATTGGTACTAGTTCTCTGTCATAGTGTCTATTCAGATGCTGTTGACTATAGGAAATTCCAGTGATGGTGATAATTACTGCAATTCCTAAACTGAAAAGCACAGTAATTATATGTAAATGATGCAGGCTCTTGCATATAGGCGTCAAGCACTGCACAAATATTTGGAGATAGCCCAAGCATGTATAAGTCCAGATAAGCTTTGCTCGATCCGTTGTCCTACAAGCAAAAGGAAAAAGCTGTTATCAAGGGTGTGCTATGATCAACTCCCGCCCGGAAACTGATCAGCTCCCATCCGGAAACCAATGTCCCCACTGTGGAAGGACACATGGATCCAGAATTGGCCTCCACAGTCACTTACAGACTCATTGTTAAAACCGTATTTATGGAAGACAATCTTACTCGGCTACGAGTGATCTCCAAAGAAGAAGAAGATGATCAAGCAATACTGATATTAGGAGGCTTCATAAACATGAGGGGGCTGTGGGCTCCACTGGCTAGCCCCAGCACCACTGGCTATGGGCTTGCTGGATGTGTAAAGAGGCCCCAAGAGGTTGCTGAGGGAATGAAGCTTGTGGACTGAAAACAGTTCACAACCCCTGGTGTAGGGCCATATTTTGATTATTAAGGTTCAGGACTCTTCCACTTCTGGTCAGGTGCCAAGAAATCCTTTCCAGCTGGGTAAAAAGGAGTTTGCCAACTGTCAAATGCTCTGTGGACTGCCCCAGTCCTTTAGGCCTGGATCACCTAAGGTGTGCATTGAAGCAATTTACCACAGTCACAGTATGTTGGATCAAGAGGCTCACTATTTTTAGTCTGGAAGGAGAAAAGCTTCAAAGGCCAAGGAGATAGCTTAAAAGTAACTTGCTGGCCACCTTCCTCTCCCACCTGAGAAGCAAGAGAAGTGAAACGAATAGAAGAGAGAAAAGTCCTTTCATGACCATGGGAACTTCCTTCTCACAGAGTACAAATACTGAACAACTTGACCCAGGAAACTGGGAGCATGCACTAATACCTAGAGGCAGATTTCATGAGATCCCAGGCCCACAGGAACCCACCCCACTGAGATGGGGAGCCTGGGGAGCCTTTCGTAGAGATCAAGACTCTGTTCTACCCAGCAGGGAATTGCTTCCTGGCACCTGCCTAGAGTTGAATCAGTTCCAAGCTTGAATAAACCTAAGATTCAAAGATTAAATTTGAGATCATAGAATCCAGGAACGAAATGCCTTTTGTCATTTTATATCTGAGAGGGGGGAAATGGTTTTCTTTCAGTCCTCATAAATTAGTAAGGAGGAAATCTTACGGCTCCCTTTTTTTAATGCCAAAATAATTGTACCATATAAATGTGTCTCTAAACCCAAGAAAGAAATCCTGTCCTGGCAGATATTTTTCAGCTTACCGCCTTGTATAGGATAATGGGAATGAAGAAGGGAGTACAGTTATGGATTTTGTTCTTTCTCTGCAGTTGCTGCGAGGGCAAAACTTTGGTGCAGATAGGTAAGAAAAGTCTACTACTATTTATATTCCATTGTTATATGTCTGATCTGATCTTCATGTAAACAAATGAAATAACTACGGACATAATCTAACAACCCATAAGTTTAGGCAAATTCAATTAATTTCAGTTAGAAAAATTAAGCACTTCTTTATCCCTTTTTTATATTAGTGGATGTAAAAGTGCTCAGCTATTGCTCAGACTCAACTAACTTGCTGCACTAGTGGAAGCCAGCACAGTAATTCCTAATAGTTCAATGAGGCTTCCCCCTTGTCTCCCCCATGTGGCAACATGCCTTCCCCCAATCTGTTATGGAGTTTGAGAGAACCCCCAGAACAACACACAGAGGGGGCAGGGAGAGGGGAGATAATTCTGTCTGGCAAACAGTGGTTGCATTGACAGGGATATCATATTAGTGTGATGTTTAATTCCACCCTGTGTTTCTAGTTGCATAGCGTACACAGATAGAGGTAGAACACTAAGCAATACACATGCACCCTGCCTTTTGTCCTTGAGTGTCTCTTCACTAGCTATCCTTTGAGTACTGAGAAGAGACTTGGTTTAGATAATTTATACTGCAAGATAGAGTAGCCGTTTTATTTTTATTTTTTTTAAGAAAACAATGTCACATATTTTGTAAAATAAATGTAAATATTGAGAATGGAGTGCTGTAAGTGGAAACATGATTGGTTCAAAACACCATAACTGCCTTTCTACAGTTCTCTGTCTTCACAGGTGACTTGGCAAACAATGGGGAAAAAGACTTGAGTTTTCAGGGATCAGTTCTTTCACGTACTACCTTTTTCCTGTTCTTTACCAATATTTTCAGATTTGTATATTTGAAAACAATCTCTTTTTGAAGTTTATTTATTTATTTAGAACTGAACTGAATAGTCTCTACTTTTGATTTTGAGTCCAAACAAGAAATAGTGATTGACTGGCTCCCCACCCCGTCACCCTGCACACACTTTCTTGACAGTAAGGTGTATGGAACTCAAACAGGCTTTCTTCTGAGTAGATATTAATCACATTGATCCTGTTTGGCACAATAGTTTTCCCTGGCTGTGTCTTCTTTCTTCAATCTGCATGAGTCACAAGGAGAGATTTCACCCAATATGGGAGCATGGAATGAGTGATATCACAATGCTAACTCATCAGTCAGATTTGGCTGTATGAACAGAACTGGGGCCAAACTGAATGTGAGAGCTAATGTGAGCAATCTAAACAAACAAGCAATTATCATCACCATCACCATCACCACCATCATCATACCATAGCCTACAACTCCCATGACCCCTAGCTAGCAGGACCAGTGGTTAGGGATGCTGGGAATTGTAGTCTCAAAACATCTGGAGGGCCGAGGCAGAGGAAGCCTGCCATAATGGCTAAGTAATTTAGCTTTTATTGGATGTTGTATTTTTCAGATTTATATTGTTAGGTTGTGAGCTGCTTTGCGAAGGCCTTGTCCTTGAAAAGTGACATATAAGATCTAGATCAATAGATTATAGTGATGAGATGATAGTAATGATTTAGACCACTTTTCACCAAACAGTCCCAGAGTGGGCTAACAAAATATCAAAAGTATAAACAAAATACAATGTCATTAATTACATAATATTATATCACATGGAATGGCCAGTTGAAAAAAAAGGAAGACTAAGATATTCATGAAAAATAGATAGCTTTAGGTCAGCTTTATTTAATACTGACTTAAAATCAGAAGTCAATGTTGGGCTGATATATCTATAAACTCAGTGTTGGCAACAAACTCTTTATATATATTACACAAAGTGCTTTAAAAAGTACAGAGCCATTGTCGTTTATCTGTCACAATTCCTGGGACCCCTGTTTCTATAAAGACTCCCAGGCACTTCAGCATAGCTTAGAATTCTGTGTTATGAGGAGAAAATAAATCTTTAACAAAACTCTCCAAATTACAAGGTATTTCATAATACTGCAAAGTTCACTGGACAGGAAAGAAGAGATGTGAACTGTGATAGCCTTCTTTCTTGGTATTTCCTACAAGTGTCACATCAGTATGTTACAAGGCCATGTCCACTGTCCTCTCTGTGCCCCACCCCCCACTGCTGCTTGCTAGGTTGGCAAATAAGATCATAACCCAAAAGCAGTCCGTCTATTCAAATATGAAAAATTCACTGAAATAGAACCCCCTCTTGCATGTCACAAAGCACGCCCATTGGCAGTGTTGTGCAGCCTAATCCTGAAGAATTTGGGTCTAATCGAGAGAAGGCTAGGCTCATTTAAGTCTCATAGAAATCAACGGGACTGGATCACCCAACTGCAACCAAGTGCCACTGAAAACAAATTATTATTGACCCAGGGGCAGCCCATCCCATTTTGCTGCCTGAGGCTAAATGGGAAGGTGGTGCCCTGCATGCATGCCACCCATGTCCTCTTGACGCCCCTGCTAAAGCCTCACTTACCAGGGTCGTGCAGCTTCTGAGAAGATCTTACAAGAGCCCTGCAAGATTGCTCTGTGAATCCAGTGATCCAGCTCAGCCAGGAAGAGGGATGTTCAAAAGCATGATGGACACATACATGTTTGCCCATGTTGAAGATCTGTGTTGTTCATTTCACCCTCTCCCTCAAAAAGTTCAGACTCTGTTTAATTAATTAAACTTATTGGTCATTTTTAACCTAAATAACTAAGCAACTTACAGGCAAAGCAAGCAACCAGATACATTAAAACCAGGATAAAAGAAAACACAGAAAAATCTAAAGACTGATCTGGTTTTTTTGTTTTTAAACTAGATTAAAACATCCCACCCACTCACAGAGGCTATGGATAATTAAAAGCCAAAGAGATCATGAAAAAGGAACATTTTCCTCTCACACCTAAAGATATGTAACTATGGTGCCAGGCCATATAAATAAATGTTTGCAGAGCATTTTATCATTGCCACCATCCTTATTTTCTCTGCAGTTCAGCGTCCTGCTGTCACCACAAGTGAATGTTCTACTTGGGGTAATTTCCACTTTCAGACATTTGACAGTGCAAAATTTGACTTCACTGGAACTTGCCGTTATGTTTTTGCTTCACACTGCAAAGACAGTCATCAGGACTTCAGTATCCAGATAATGAGAAGCATCAAGGCGGGGACTGCCATCTATTTCATGGCCACTATAGATGGAGTGCTTCTGGAGGTCAAAGAATCAGGCATCACAGTAGATGGGAAGACGTGAGTTGTCTCAACATCTGTTGATAGTCTTCTGTTTTCTCATGAATGCTCTTGTGTACCAGGAACAGTGTTTTCTTGGGTCTGAAATCAGAGAGCCAATGCTGAGAAATGTCATACAGTGGTGGCCCCAGATTAGGGTGATTTCCTACACTCAGGACCAACATCAGGAGCTCTCATGCTTCTTCAGGCAGCAATCATTAACATGAGCTCACAATGGCTGGTCTCTGACATGCAGGCAGCCCGGCAGGCAGCATCAGCATGAGGTCACAAGTGCCACTCTGTGTCCTTCAGCCAAGCAGCATCAGTATGGTACATATGGGTGCATATGGAGGCATATTGGTATGGTGCATATCGAGACATATTGGTCTGTCTCTCACCGAAAAGACAGCAACAACAACAACAACAACAACAACAATATGTGAGCGCTCTCTCTCTCTCACGGGCGGGACCTGGCCAAAGCAGAAGTATGTGAGCACAGCCAACCTCTGCTTCCCATCATTCCCATCCGTCCTTTTGGTTGTCTGAGGGGTTGTCTGAGAGGGGAGAGATCAAAGCTGAGAAATGCCCATTGAGCTTAATTAATAGGTTGGGTTGGGGATATCTTTAATCATGAGACAACTAGGATGCTTGTTCATTTGTTTTATTTAGTTTTCTTCTTTTTCTTTCTTTTAGGATTCTTCTGCCCTTCAGTCTGAAGAGTGTCCTAGTAGAAGACCCTTACCCTTATTTCCTAATTACCTCCAAACTAGGCCTGACTCTCAAGTGGAATTGGGGTGACACTCTCCTAGTATGAAGCTCCAGTTAGTTGGATTTGTTTTAGTGAATTTTAATACATGTAAAATGTGTTGAGTAGCCACAGTCTTCACACACTGCCATCTTCTAGTGAAATTATGAACAAAGGGGATACACATAAAGCTAATTTATTTATATAAATAATCATTTTGTGAGCCCTGGAATTACGTTTGGAGTGAGACAATCACACAACTCCTTTCTGGTTCTACTGTTGAGAATGTCAGGAAGATGGCAAAGTTTTACTTAGTATCTCTGACTTTATCACTAGAATAGGAAGCCACACAACCCAACACCAGCTTGTGTGCTTAAAAATTGACTAATTACGGCCTAATTGTGGCACAGTCATTTCTTTCCCCCTTGCTATATATATATACATACACATTGTTTAAAAATAAATAAGAGGAGTATTTAATTCCATGTTCAGAAAGAGAATTCAATGGAGTAAATACTATCCTCTGTGTGGTAATACCACTGCAGCAATTGTGCTCAGTTTCCAACGGGGAAGCCATCATGGTGTCCTCTAGATGTTGTAGACTACATTTGCCTTCACCCCTGACCATTGTCCATGCTGGCTGGGGTTGATGGGAGATATAGTTCTATCTGGAGGGCAGCTCAAGCTGAGACCGTACTATGCATTATAGTTATGAAGGTGTCTGTATATATGTGTGTTTAAAATGTTTGTCTTTTTGCCTATTTTTTCTTAGCTGGATTTAGAAGATACTTACAAAGGGAAAACATGTGGTTTGTGTGGAAACTATGACGGCAATGATAAAAATGATTTATTCCTGCAGGGTAGGATTTTTTAAATTGGCTATTATTATTATTATTATTATTATTATTATTATAAGAAACCATCACATTTGTATCCTAACCATTTTCAAAAGATCTCAGGAATTGTGGATGGATTTGTGGAAATATTTCCCCATTTTACCCTCAAGACAACAGAGATCATGACTGGCCTCAGCAGTGAGATATATAGCTGAGATACATACATACATTTGGGGTAAAATCTAATCACTGTCCTTGGTAAGGTAGCCTAGGGTGAAATATTGAGTGAATCTGGGCTGATATCTGAACTAAACAAAGGAGGATGTGAATTTGTCACTCAGAACTCTTATTTCACATGTAATAAGGTATTCCTCTTGGCATTCTAAGCAATACCATCTATGTACAGGCTGACTGGAAGATATATGCCTGCTTCCTTTTTTCTCTTTATGCAGAGCAATTGTACACACTGTGAGTACAGATGCAACTATTTGCTTATTTATTCATTTGTAAAATAAATTAAACTATAACGGTACAAACTATATGCTTTAAATCATGGATGGGTGATTGCTGGGTTCAAAACTGAGAGTAAGGCTGTAATCCTAAACCCGCACATTGACCCTGCACAGTAAAGTCCTATTACTGGTGGGATTTTACAGGCTATCCACTATTCCCATGGCAGTTTGGAAACCTTCAGAAAGTAGATGATCCAACAGAGAAGTGTTCCGATGTAATGGGAGACAAAAGAAAGCAGCAAGACAACTCTCAACAGCAAGATAAATGCAAAAATAGATACGTAAGTTGCACTGTTCATGGTATGTGAACCCTGCCTTGCTTTCCATTTGATCCCTCTAAGGGCAGCAGCTCCTCACTGCAAATGTTTCCCTATTCACTTTAGTGGATGTAATTGCTCCACACATGCATAAAGCTATATACATGGAACTTCCCCCTTCAATGAAGTTAGCAGAGGTGATAGTGTTCTCAGCAGCAGATAGACATACTTTGACCAGGGAGCCAGAACCTCACATGTTAAGTATCAAAGCAGCGCCACAGAAGTCAGTAAATTTATGGTACTGATGCTATACATGTAAGATCTCCAATCTCCCCCTCTCTCCCCACTACTTTCTCTCTTTGACAGAAATCTAAGTGCAAGGAAGCCCTATCCCACTTTGGGAATTGTAAGAGGGTGGTTGCTATCGATGATTATATAGCCATCTGTATTCAAGATATGTGCAGCTGTTCTGAGAAATCTTCTCCTTCTGACCTGGTTGCCAGCTGTGTATGCAGCACTCTCAGTCAGTACTCCCGGGACTGTGTCCGCAAAGGTGGAGACCCTGGAAAATGGCGATCCAAGGAACTCTGTTGTAAGTAAAGAAAGATTGACCTTTAATTTATTTAACAGCGTGCACACACGCACACACGCGCACTGAAACAACATGTTAAAATTGCATGTCTGAGTAGACTTGCCTAAACAGAAAAAAGATTTATCAGGTGCTGAAAACAATGCAGCAAATGTGGCAGTCTAATATCAACGGGCAGGGAGTTCCAGAGTATAGCTGCTGCCACACTGAAAGATGGATTCGTGTAGAACGAAGATTATGTGGCATTTGTAAAAGTGCAAGTTTCACAATCAAAGTGGTAAGGTGGATGAATATTATGCAATGTGATTCTTTACATAGACTTGTCCCAAGCAGATATGGGTTTATTATACTAATAGGAACAGCTTAAATTCAATAATGTCCAAACTCTGCCAGCTTAACAACAAATAGGTTATCAGAAGGAGTTCCTAATAACTGGTCTCTCTTTCCCAAGCAGGCAGCAGCAGTATGAAGTCACAATGGTTAGTCTTTCTTCATGAAGTAGGCAACACCAGCATGAGGTCACAATGGCCCCTTTCTCCTCTTCAGGCATTTTTCATTATCACAGGAACTAAAGTGCAGGACTAGCATATTCAGGGTGAGCCTATGATATTCTGCTAGCTGAGGCTAAGGACCAGATTCTGTTGCACCCCACATGCCATGTACAGAAGTGGACTGGACTAGGAGCTGAGTCTAACTTCAGCGTAGGCAACAGGATAGTATCCTCTAGTGCATCTGATGGCAGTAGGCTAGTTGAAGGGGTGTAAAAGACCTGTGGCATACACAGCGCAACTGGTCAACAGAGAGGACTGGCCAGGGGGCTCAGGGAGCGTGACACTGCTGCTGCCTGAGGAGATTGGTAGGGGTGTCCCTGGGCATAATATTCGAGAATGGCAACCTAGATATTTAGTGCACTCAGAAGTAAGTCCTACTTTACTCAGTGGCGCTTTGGTGGATAGGTTTTCAGCTTTATACAGCCATCCTTTTAATGCAACATTAACTTCAACCCCCACCCTGAAATGGCAGCCATCTGGTGTTGCTGTCCAAAAACGTGACTAATTCATAGGCTCTCATGCAGATAATACCCATCTGAAGATAGGGATGGAAGGTTTTGTTGATTTTTGTTCTCTTGGTTTTTCATTTTTCCAGTCTTAAATTCAGTTCTCTGCTTTTCTGAAACATTTTTCATGTTTTCCTTTAAAAAAACAATTCTCATGAAAATTCAACAGCATTCGGGTACGGATTTCACATTTTTGCATGCAGTTTTGACTACTGTTCACATTTTTGCTGGCATTTTTTTCATGATCTGCATTTAATGTTATCTTTCACTAATTTATTCATTCTTATCCATGCTTTCCCCTAATTCAGGAGTTTTTGCTTGGTTAGAGAGCTGCATTGCAAAACTGGACAACTGCGAATTTCAAAGAATGGCTGTGTTTTGGTTTTGGAAAGTGCAAATTTGCTAAATTCAGCTTTTAATGCAAACTGAATTCAGTTTCTCCCTACACCACATACATTGATCCTCCCCAACATTTGGAGCAGAAAGGAACACGTACTCCCCAAGTTCCTCTTCTGCCAGTATCCTGCCCTAGTTCTTTCCCCAATTGTTATCTACTTTGGAACCAGAGTTTCTTCACTTTATATCAGAACCTCTAATTAACTATTCTTACTAAAGTGAATGGGGTCTGCTTATTACAAATCGGCTGTGGTTTGTGCCTGTTGATTCAAGGCTCAGGGAAAGACTTTGGTATGCTTTGGAATCTTGTAAAAATGGTACAACCGCAAAACATTTTCAATAAATGACATCTAACCTAAGTTCGTCATAAGAATGGAAAGAATGACTGGAACTGGAAGTATGCTATTTATTTTAAAAATCATATTATTAATTTGAAAACTATCAATAACATTTTTACTTTGCTTGGGTTTGTAGTCCTGAAATGTCCAAACAACCTGGAATATGCAGAATGTGGAAGCCCCTGTACTGACACCTGCTTCAACCCAGAAAGGAGCAAAATATGTAAAGCCCCATGTACGGATGGATGCTTTTGTCCTAAAGGTAGAAAATTGACCTGATCTATTATCCATAATTTGCACGGCATTTTAACTGAGCAAAGTAGTATTCCAAACTTTCCTTGTGCATCCTGTCAACACTCCTATGAAACAGGTCACTGAATATGCCCATTTTACAGAGTGTGGACCAATACCATTGCTTGTTTTGTTTTTCATCATATTATTAAGTGATGTCTGCTAACAAGTGCAATAACTTTCACATATTTCCTACCAATAATAAAATTATGTGTAGCATTTATTTTTCCCCTTCTAAGCATAACTAAGCACTGTGTTTGAACAGGAAGCATTCTCGATGACATCAAGGGCAAAAAATGCATCCCAATTGGCAGCTGTCCCTGTACCTTTCAAGGCAAAGTCTATGCAGCTGGAGACACCTACGCCACCCCCTGCCAAAACTGGTACTGTTAAAAGCTTGCTAATAATGATGTATCAGCTTGAGGGAGAACTGAGAGAACTGGTTATTTTATGCTAAAATCAAAGTATGGAGGAGATTCTCTTTCGGAAGTTCAGAACCAAAACTTTGAAATGCAACAAATCCAAGCCCATTGCATCTAAAATGCCCCCCCTGCATTTACTGGGGTGCAAAACTGAAAATCCCCAGAAATGTTCTCAGTAAAAAAGTCATCTTAGAAAGTTCAGCTCAACTCCAGCTGATTGTGGAGAGAACAGAAAGAATTACATGGCAGCAAAGCATCTTCTTGACCAAAGTCTGTTTTGGGGGCCTAATCCAGCCCCTGTGGCCGTTTATTTCCTGGGGTAAAATCCTAAAAAAACCTCAACAACTTCAACCCTAAAAAAAGGTTAACAACCGTGGTCGGCCCTTTGGTCAGCCCTCACGGCCCTTCACTTCATCAAATCTGGCCCTCTTTGAAAAAAGTTTGGACACCGCTGGTTGACCAAACAGCAATCCCTGCTTTCCACTCCTGGCCCATATTCCATGCTGTTTCAGTCAGCATTGGAGAGGAAAAGAGCTGCTGTGCTTTAAAGTGCATTGAGCTGAGAAGCTGACTACATAATTTATACCCTGCTTCAACTTCTTGATTCTGGAAAATGTTCAGGGCTGGTCACATGTGTTTTCTGTACTATTGTTATTGAGGATTAAGCTACTCTTTCGGTCTTGTAGTACTTGCATGAGTGGAAAATGGTCCTGCATATCACTGCCTTGTTCTGGAAACTGTAAAATAGAAGGTGGATTCCACATAACAACATTTGATAAGAAGCAATTCGTTTTCCATGGCAACTGCAACTATGTCTTAGCTAAGGTAGGGGTTTATTTAAAATTGTTTGAGACCTTCTAGGAGCAGCAAATAGACACCAACAGTAGTGCACTGAGGTTGCATAACATACCTCAAATTAAGTGTCTCATTAAATGCTTTGTTCCATGAGACTGATAAACTGTATTGTAAATGTAGCCCTTTGCAATTGTAAATGAGCACTAACCAATTGGGGCCTTTCACGTTCATACAGCCATATTCTGCATTGTATTTGCTGTTGCAACTGACTCATTTCTTCCCCTTTGAGTATGAGGAAAATGTGATTTCTCCGCACCTGAATCACAAACTTGAGAAAAATACACAGATTGTGCATAACTCCTGAGTGACAAGGACACATTTCTTTTGCGGGGGAAAGGGCTTAAGTGCAGCTCTGTACATTACATGACAAACATGCCATGTACCGGTTTAGGTTCAATGAAATTACACTATGTTTTTCCTGCAGCAAAAAAAAATTAAAAAAAATGTGTTGATGTCGTGTGTGTCACATGTGGATTTAATGACCATGTGTCTGTGGATCATGGTTAAACAAACAAACCAGATGTGTTCACAGCATGCACTATGCAATGTATATGCCATCCAGCTTTGCTACTGATGATGGAAACAGCAAGCACACATGCCACATGAAATATGGATTTGCAGCAAGTCTGGAACTAGGGTGGGGGGAATCTTGTCTAAACCATTTTGAGAAATAAGGTTTAAGTGTTTTCACCATCTGCAGAATAAGGCCCACTAAATTCATCAGGACTTAGGCAGTACTCAATATTATGTCATACATATATGCTGAAAGTTACACCTGTGTCTAATCTGTCTGAATTGAGAGCATTGGAAGGTTCTACATCTGTGAAAATATGCAGAAAAAATGTTAGCTTTTCCCAGTTTGTCTGTCTTGCAAGTAGGTGTGTGCAAAACTTCCCCTTGTTATTATAACAGCACTGACTCCATGTTAGGCAGGGGGGAAAGAGGCCATATAGACAGTGTTCAGCATCCACTGCCCATCTCCTCTACAAGAGATTTGCAATGTGTCAGATGAACATACACCCTGGTTGCTGGCCACATCAGCTGCATTAATGGTGTATTTCCCTCTTCATTTTCAGGACACAGATGGTTCCTTTGTGGTCATTGGAGAGATTGTTCAATGTGGTGTTTCCAAGACTATGACTTGTCTGAAGAATGTTTTAATCACTTTAGGAGCCCTTGTAAGTTGTTGTAGTTATGTCTAGAAGTGCTGCCACCACCTGTCAGAAATGCAGAACAATCTGAACTCAAGTAAGACACTGGAGTAAATTATACTCGGATAATTACCCTATTCTACACTCTGTTCAGGAGTGGGGCTACTGCTGGTTGAGTTGGTCTGAGCCCAGAAGAAGGAAAATGAGCCTTTAAAACAAAGTTTGATGTATGCCACCCTTTCTGCAGGAGTAACTTCCACTGGATTTATCGGTCATATCACCAAGCTGAATAGAGTTTGGAATAGGGCTAAGTCTCCCCTTGTGCCATCCTGCCCCTGCCACTTTCCTGGAATGCCCCTTTTTGGGAACTTATCCTGGCCTCGACTCAGCACCAGATGAGCTGGGGTGGAGACTTAAACCAACATATCTTTGACTGAATCAGTTTAGCCAAAGACTCGCCTGTTTCAAACTCCACCTCTGACAGATATTGGATTTGGATTGCTCCCTAAGTGCTTTGTCAGTGTCCATGCATTTCTTTATTTTTCCTTTCTTTGCAGAGTATAAGAGTCTGTTCCACTGGAGATGTCTATGTCAATAATGCCATTGCGGTATTGCCTGTAACTAAAGGTCAGCATTCAGTTTCACTCCAAATTTCCAATGAAAGCTATGTACCTGCAAGGTGGTTGCTCCTACTCGGATATAGTTTTTAGCTGAAGGCAAGTTCTGTTTTTTTTTATTAGATGGCGTCACACTCTTCAGACCATCTACATTCTATGTCAACATCCTGACTTCTTCAAGGGTACAAATTCAAGTACAACTGAAACCCATTATGCAGATCTTCATAACAGTAGACGAAACTTATCAAAACCATACTTCTGGTATAGTATTTCCCCATGCATGAACTCCTACTGTCTTTTAGTAGATTGTAAAAAGTACCTTGAGATGCTTTGATTTCATGAAATATTCGCAAACTTTCTCAAGGATAAACTGACATCACAAATGTCTAGAGCAGGGATGGGGAACCTGGAGTTTTTCCCAACTCTCATCAGCCCTGACCTTTGCTCTGGCTGACTAGGGATGATGAGAGCTGGAGTTCAACAACATCTGGAAGCCAAGCAGGTCACCCACCTCTGGATAAAGCTACTTAAAGTGATCTTTTATTCAAAAGAAATTTAGTTCTATCTTGATATGTTTGTCTCATATTGAAATGTTTGGAATAATTGATATCAAGAATCTATATCTTGCCAATGATATTTTCCTTAGTTTCCATGCTTTTGTCTGACATGTCCTTTTCTCCTGTTCTCTGGAGAGCATATGAAGCCTGGAAAGCCAAGTGTTATCAAGGAACTGGGGAGACAAAGTTATTGGGAATCCCATTCCACCCTTTGCTGCAGATATGTGGATTGTTACATGTCCCATGTCTGCTTACATTCCAACACAGATTGCTGGCGTGAGCAGAACCTCCGCTCTGTTTTTAGTCTCTCTGAGAAGACGGCAAGGAGAGAAGCCATGTTTTCTTTGTCTTGATTTATGTAGAATAAATGCGTAGTTTAGTATTGTGTCCACGCCTCAAACCTCATCTGTTGTGCAGTTTACACTGCTGAGTAATGTGTGCTCAAGCCTGCTCTGCAGCTTGAGTCAGACGCACATCGGGGAGGATAGTCGATGGATCTCTGCAGCGGCAAGGCTGAGAAAGGAGGCGCTCCAGCTGGGGCCGAGCCAGCTGGCTTTTCATCCCCCGATCCCAACAAAAGTGTATTTGGGGATAAAACATCCCAAGCACATTGCTTCTGTTGGACTCTGTCAGGTGTGATGCTGCTGAAATGAGTTAAGTAGGTCAATGCCCCCCTCTCCTTGTTTGCCCATGTATCTGAATCGTCATTGATGAGACTATGGAGGAAAGGGATGCAGTTGCCATCTCCAGCATTGCTACTACCACCCTCAAGTGATAGGTATATGCAGGATTGGGGCAACAGGCTCTCTGAAACAAGAGAGAGAGAGAGAGAGAGAGAGAGAGAGAGAGAGAGCCAATGAACACATGTGTGTGCTGTGTTTAGTTTGCTATTGTGTTCCTACTGTTGCATTGTAAAATGCAGTCTTACAATGATTGATTAAGTGCACTCAGTTAGGATTACTTTATTCTGGGATTGACTCATCATGCCACCAACATCAGTTCTAGTATAGTCTAGTACAGTATGAGGCCTGCTTCTAACTATAGTTAAAATAATGGGAACCTTGCTTTCATAAAGATCCTTACATATTGTTACATTTATGCTTTTGATCTACATCCCATTCATGAATAGGTATCATTAGACTTTCAGAGCCTAAATCTAGTTTTCACCCATTTGTCTGTCCTTTCTTTACCCACAAACAAGGCTCTCTTTCTGCTCTGTAACAGGGTCCTGAATTTGTTTTGTTAGATAGGCTGTTTCAAAGACTTTGTCTGTCTGAATTTTTGTCTTGTACCTTCCCATACCTACCTAGGCCTTTGTGGAAATTTCAACAATGATCAGGCTGATGATTTTCAAACCATCAGTGGGATTGTAGAAGACTCTGCTTCAGTGTTTGGAAACTCATGGAAAACTATGGCCAGCTGTGCTGATGTTCAAGACAGCTTTGAAGATCCCTGTCAGAAAAGTGTTGATAAAGGTATTATATTTTCTCTTCATTTCATGCTTTCCCTAAATGCAACACTTTGTTTTCCACCATGAGAGGAATGACAGCCATTCTTCTATTTTTATTAACTTTTCTATTTGTCAGACCTATGTACCAGCAGTGTTTCTATGATGGTTTACAAAGCCCCAATAACAACCCTTATATATGAAAATATACTACAACCAGAAAACGTTGATTAAAATAGAAGGTAAAATTGACAAGTTAAACTGGTATATAAGCAAAAGCTTACACAATTCATTCTACGGGACCGCCTCTCCCGGTATGCCCCACGGAGAGCCTCAAGGTCCATAAATAACAACACCCTAGTGGTCCCAGGCCCTAAGGAAGTTAGATTGGCTTCAACCAGAGCCAGGGCCTTTTCAACTCTGGCTCCGGCCTGGTGGAACGCTCTGCCTCATGAGACCAGGGCCCGGCAGGATCTGACTTCTTTCCGCAGGGCCTGTAAGACAGAGTTGTTCCGCCTGGCCTTTGGCTTGGAGCCAATTTGATTCCCTCCCTCCCTCTCTTTCTTTTTTCTTTTCCTTCTCCTCCTGCAATGAGGCTACATTTTAATATTTTAATGTTCCATTATTTTAATGTTGTATTTTATTTTTGTTTTTAAGTTGTAATCATTCTTCTTGTTTTTATTATTGCTTGTAAGCCGCTCTGAGCCCGGCCTTGGCTGGGGAGGGCGGGGTATAAATAAAAAAATATTATTATATTATTATTATTATTATTATTATTACAACCAGAATGGAATTTTATATGCCCCTTGCTGTGGCTAACTCTACTCATGTTTACTTAGATTTAAGTCCTAGTTAGTTCATTGCCCTACACCCAAGTAAAAGTGTATGCCTAGGAGTTTTAGCCTGAGTAAATGGGATAGTTCCCACATTTTCCAAATGAATGATCAAAATTAGAATGTGTTTTCAAAAACACTTATGTGATAAGCTAATACAAATTGCTGTTGGGCCGCAGACTCAGCCTGAACAACCAAAAGAGGCTCCTGGGAAGCCAGAGGGACATTGCTGGCTAAAATGTTTTAAAATGTTTAAAATGGTTTTAATTTTGGTTCCTCTGTTTTGTTTTTGTTATGTTGGGGTTGGTTAAGTGTAGTTGGGGTTGGCAGCTCTTTTAATTTGGGTATAACTGTAAATTATTATTATTATTATTATTATTATTATTATTATTATTATTATTATTATATAATAATATAATTATATATTATTATTATATTATATAACAAATATATTATTATATATTTCTATTGACTTATTGGTTTATTTATAGTCTGTATAAGGTATTCTGTTTCTTAATGTTTGATATGTTTTTATATAAACTGTAAGCAGCCCAGATGATGATGATGATGATGATGATGATGATAATAATAATAATAATAATAATAATAATAGCAAGCTCCTTGTAAAATGCAGGTGATATTTTCACTCATTGGTGTGGCATTTGAATGACTCCCATTTTGTAAATAATCTTTGGGAATCCTCATTTTCTCTGATAGAAAAATTTGGGCAGCGTTGGTGTGCTCTTCTGCTGGATGCAAAGGGGTTTTTTGCTGAGTGCCATTCTGTTAATGACCCAGCTCCTTATATCAAGGTAAGGCATGGATTCATTCCTATTTTAAAACATCTCCTCTCATATCTGGCACAATGTCAGGTGCATTCTGATCAGATAGGCAACAATCTAAGTAGTTGCTATGTTTCAGCTTGCCCATATCTGCTTCCCATAAAGTTGAATAGATTATGGAAGCTCTGTAAGCTATTTTGCCACAGGGGTGTTCTACCTTTTGTGAGTAAGAAGAAATAAGCCAGCGGAGCCATCATCATGTCTTCTGACAGTATGAAAGAGCAGCTCTTTAGAGCTTATGTAGCTGGTAGATAAGCTGTACAGGTAGGTATAGTGACCAGTTGCCCTCTGGTGGCCTGTCTGGAAACAGTGAACTGCTTTCCCTATATCTCAAGAAATGTAACATGAATTTCTTGGAAATGAGGCCTGAGCCAAAGAAATAAGACTGAATCTCCTCCTTTTTCTTTCTTCATTTTTTGGGGGTATTTTTTGTATCATTTTCTTATAGCAATAAAAAGGTGAAAAGAAATAAAGCAAGAGAAAGAAAGAAAAAGGATTTGATAAGTGAATTCTGGAATATGATTTCAACCTTGCAGGATCAAATATCCTGATTATTTATTTGAGGAAAAAGAGGATGTTCTAGTCACAGAGGTGCATTAATTCCCCTTTGCAATGACATATATATGTGTCATAAATGGACATTCTTTGACAGAGAGTTTCCCCTGAAATTAGAACTTGTTTATACATGCAAAGAAGCGGTCAAGGCAGAAACACAAGCAATCCATGCTACTTCTTTGAAAAGAGGAGTCCGCTCTCACTCTGTCTTTTATCTGTTGGTGAATGTGACGCTTCTTTTGAGCACTGATTCTTGTATCTGCTTCTGCGTTTATTACTTAGAACTGCGTTTACGACATTTGCAATGCTGAGATGAGCAAAGAGGCTCTGTGCAGCGTTTTCTCTGGCTATGCCAGAGATTGTGCCGCAAGAGGCATCCACTTGAAAGAATGGAGAGGCATCGTCTGTGGTAGGTGTAGTGTGTTATTCTCTCCTACTCCTAAGCCATTTTTAATGATTCAAAGAAGCATACACTTAAAGTAATACTGAACACATTTGGTGAGCTCTTTCCCATGTACATAGTACTTTCAGGACTGATCTTTTTTTAAAAAAATAATCAAATGGCATCCACACCCAGAATGGTTGTGTATTGATGGTAGGAGGGCAGCTTCACAAATTAATTTTTTTCTCCCGTCCCAATGATGGGTGTGCAGGGGCAGAACCAATGTTTGTCCAATAGTGATTGGGGGCGGGGCGGAATCTGATTCAGTTTGCATTTAAAACTGAATCCATCAAATTTACACTTTCTAAAACAATATGCTAACCAAAACATAGCCATTCTTTGAAATTTGCATTTATATTATCTGAACGTTGCGATGCAATTCTCCAAACAGAACTGCATATATTAGGGGAAAACATGCATAAATGAATATATTTGTAGAAACAACATACTGACATGTGTTATGTGCAAAAATTGCACAGTCAAAATTGCATATAAAAATGTGTTCATTAACATAAATTCACAGGAAAAGGCTGATGAAATTTCATGATTATTATTTTTTTCAATTGCAAATTCCTGCAAAATGTGGAAAACAAACTAATAATTTAGGTGCATCACATTGACTTCACCAACCAACCTACTTCATTAAAATCAAGGGAAATTATTTCCATTATGTTTGGGATTGCATCTTGTCTCATTTGCTTTGAAGGGCCTCCTGCAAGGATACTCGCTGCTTCCCTTGTGATATAAACTATTGTTCTTTGGAGTCAAAGATAAGCATACTCACTTTGCTCATTCCATCCCTTGTTTTGCTTCTTTTGCAAAGATGCCTCAGCAGAGTGCCCTAGGAATATGGTATACAACTATGAAGTGAAGTTCTGCAACAACTCTTGCCGGTCCCTGAGGGAGCCTGATGTGCTATGCAGTGTTCAGACCATCCCTGTGGATGGCTGCAGCTGCCCTGAGGGAACTTACCTAATGAATGAGGAAGAATGTGTCTTTCCAGAGGACTGTCCATGTTACCACAAGGGCCTGCTGATACAACCCAGAAGTTCATTTCAAAAGGATGAGCTCGTGTGGTAAAGTTATTTAGTTAATAGTCAAAACACGTTTGTAAAAGGTTGTTGCAAATCCTCAAAAGAACCAGCCTGTTAATTAAAGGTACCTTGATTTTAAAAGGCATTTGTTTCCAAGGGGCAAGATATAGATTACAGATATGGCTTATCTTGGGGATGGGTGTATTTGCATGACTGGAACTTGGGTAGTTTTCCACACCCCCTCTTTATGCATTTGTGAGAGACTTCCCTTTTGTGTTTTAATATCTCTAGCAAGTGCATTCGAGGACAATTAGATTGCATTGAAAACACAGAAACAAAGAAAGGTAAGACCTCTTTTTTACTTACTATGCAACTTTAAACCAATATGTTGGAATTTGACATTTGTTTTGAACTACTGTCGCATTCCACATGCACAAGTTAGGATTTGATCCTCCTTGATCCTCTGGAGAATCCTAGATTTAGAGATCAAATCCAACCCCGTCCCCTCTGCATTTGCTTTTGTGTGTTCAGACCCAGAAACCTCCTCCCTGAATAAATTCACACTTGACTCAAATTTTAGTTTGGTTTTTGGCAGAATTTAGGCCACAACTTTATTGATTACAGAAAGTGAGTAGTTGCATAGGCTCTGGTTCAACTAGCTCCCTGCCATGCAGGTAGCGCTGACCCAGCGTTCCAGCATAGGTCAGTCAAGGGTGAACACCTGGATAGGCGAAAAGTCAGGAACAGACTATGTCCACCACCCAGATGTCCCCCTGGACTCAGGCACAGGCACAACCCCCTCTCAGGGGTTGTCCAAACCATTTGAGTCCCTGGATTCCTTTAATGGAATACCCTTCACATAGGGGTGGCGAGAGTATTCCCCCATCCCTATCACCTGAACCAGAGCCTATCCGCAACCTTACAAGTTGTGACGATTTGCTATGCGGCAGGTGAAACCCAAATGGCAACAGCCAATCAGCCAAGTGAGGAAAATTCCTGCCGTGCCCCTGTCCCAACGACAGACGACACACAATGGCATAGCAAGGTCAAGCACACAAGCTGTAGTAATGTCAGGGGAGTTTTAATCCCACACGCTGACACCATGTAGTAATGCTCCGGCCACTCGCCCCTCCCTCACCTGTCCTTACCATCCAGCTGGATCAGGTTTCTAGGATCGGCAGCCGACAGCACTTACTTTTTTACAGAACAAAAAGCATCAAAAATGGTAATGCTGCCACCACTCCCCTGTATCAGGGCACCAGGAGACACAGCCCAAGGGAGAAGGCTATGCTCCCTAGTTACCGGCTGCCCCACCCTGCAAGTTGTTTCCACAAAATTGCAGGCAGAAATTCAACAGGTAGTGCATAACCAATTGGTCAGAGTTCTGGGGGGGAGGGGGAGGGAGGAAAAATGAGGGGGGGGGAATAAGGATATGTTTTTGAATAATATGTCTTGTTATAACTTTGAATAAAAAATAAATAAAAAAAGAGAAGGAAAACTATGAACATAGATCTATGCCCTTGATGGTTGGAATGGTTTTATGTTTTAGACATCTGGGGTTCTGGAATCTGCTGAGTGCTATGCATAGTTTTACACTGTCTTGCTTTCTTGTCTTGGTAATTGTGTCCTTATTCCAGATTGCCCTTATCCAATGTCCTACTTTGACTGCAGCTCTGCTGGCCCAAGTGCGACTGGATCAGAATGCCAGAAAAGTTGTGAAATGCAAGACATGCAATGTGTAAGGGTTTAAGCTCGTGACAGTGATGTATGTACCCTAACCACTCCATGCGCTCAAGTGAGCTTCATGAGTGCTAATGGCAGGTGTATTTGCCCTAGCCACACAAGCCTCCTGGGCTGGCATCCATGAGAGCAAAGCTGGTTATTTTTCAAGGGGATTTCTAGATAGTGTGATATTTCTTTTGCCTGTCTGATGTAAAAGAAATTAACATGAAGTGGCCTCTAAAAGTATTTCAGTTATTAACTAGTTATAAGGGCAAACAAATATTTTGGGAGACCCAAACATGGTGCCTGAACACATATGAACAACATAATGCCTTATTCATTTGATTGCCTTCTTCTTGATCAGACATAATTCCAAGAGAAGCAGCAGGCCATGCATGTCTCCTATAAGGTACTGCTACTCTCTTGTGTTAAAATCTCACCCATGGACATTGGCCTTCTATATGCAGGATATTATTTGCCAGGCAGATGAGCACCTCCTCATGTTAGAACAGGATGGCTTTCACTTTTCAGTGACTCAGCCTTATTTACTGTGGATAAGCACAAGCCAGAGAGGATCCATCTCATCTGTGATAGAGGTGTTACCATTAAATATACAGATGAAAGGGGAGAAAGAGCAATTGTAGCTTTTCCCATTCTTTCACTGATCCTCCACCTGTGGTGGTGGCAGCACTCCAGGGGTGTCACAAAGTTTACAAAGTGACCAGGGAAGGAGTGGGCAGAGGAAGCCATGGCTGTTCCATCTCCTGCTTCATCAGATTTAACGGTAAAGCCTAAACTTCTGGCTTGCAACCTGTCGACTCTGCTTTGTAAATACACCACCACCTTTCCATCCAGATAATTTCACTGATTTGCTGTATTACCGTTCTCTGAACATAGTCTTCACAGTCCCTGCATCCCTGTGAACTGAACCATCTAACGTTTTACGGTGTTGGTGAATATCTAACAGTATCATGACAACAGCATTTTATGAAGGGCTGCCTTTATTTTCTCCCCCAATATTTGTTCCCTTCTGTATCGATTTCCATTTTGTTTCCATGCACTCAACCAAGTATGCTACAGAATGTGTCTCTGGATGCATATGTCCTGATGGCCTGGTGTCCGATGGTCACGGCAACTGTATTGAGGAGGAGCAATGCCCCTGCATGCATGGAGGGAAGTTCTACAGTCCTGGCACACAAATCACAGTAAATTGCAATACATGGTACAGTATTCTTCAGTGTTCTTAAAGCCAGTACATTTGTAAATTGTAGCAAATCAATGTGGGAGCAGGAGGAAAAGGAGGGGGCATGAAAGTATTTTAGTTAGTGAAATAGGGAGGAGCTGAAAGAGAGCAAAGGGAAAAAGAGGTGCCAGCCTGTAGAGAGCAGTTTGGAAAAGGGTTTGGTTGTGAAATATCCACTGTTATTGCTGGCGTCCAAAGGTTTTAGGAGGCCCCTCACAAAACAAACCCCTATGGACCAGATAAACTAGTCTATCAAGTTTTTGTTTTGTGGTGTGCATGATCTTGGGTATTTACAAATAGCCCCAGGCCGATTTTAGGAGCAATTGTGACATTTGTAAGAATCTTTTCAGTTTAATATTAATACTTTAATCCTTTGAATGATCTACCTAATGCAAGTCTCTGCATTCATTTGGGGGTGTTTTTATGAACTGCACTGCAGTTTATTCAAAGAGTACCCAATGCAGCGTATCGAAGAATTGAGCACCAGTTCAGGCTACCATTTTGGAAGTAACTTCCCCCCCTCTATAAACACATAGTTTTGTGGAAGTGTTTCCCATGCGGTAAGATCACACATGACAACAATCACTTTGTACAAATTAGATTTGCAGCCAGTGGCAATTATAGCCTCTCTGGCTGCCATGCCCTTAACCATGAACATTTGTAAACTTGATGCTTAGATGTGAAATTCTCCCTACCCCTAAAATATCACCCCCTGGTAATTAGGCTTGTTAATTTCTGGCATTATTGGGCTTTTATTTATTTTTGTTGCTTCAGATGCAGCAATTTATCACCCATCAGACAAGGTCTTTACTGTAACTCCCCCTGTTGTATAGAAGGCTATACATTGTAATAAGAAGGAGAGTAATACTGTCATTTCAGCTGACAGATCCAGAAGAATTGTCATTATTCTATTAATTACCCTGCCTACTTGCAGTTTTCTTTGACAAGTTGTGATCTTTTATGTTTAATCTCTCAGCATGTGCTACAAGAGGCAATGGAACTGTACAAAGAACTACTGCCAAGGAGCCTGCATGGTGTATGGAAATGGCCACTACTTCAGCTTTGATGGAACAAAATTTGATTTCATGGGAGGCTGTGATTATATCCTAGCCCAGGTATTTAATCTTTACTACTTGCCTCATGGACTGTTTAGTGTGGAACCAAGTGGAAATGTTGTGATTTCACTGCTTTACCCATCTGTAGTGCAGTGCCCACCGACCCAGTGTGCGCCATTGAACTCCTTGGGGTATACTTATGAGTAGACATGCATAGGGTTGTGCTGAAAGGGATTTTCAGAAACTTCATATTGACTGACTGAGGGCCAGAATCTGTACTTTTCCCACTTCTCGTCTATGATTGTGGACTCTTGCAAATGTTGCATGGGTTTGCCATGTAAGAAAATGGCTCACCACATCAGACTATGGCTTGTGGAATGTCCCTTTTAATTCACCAGGTACCTCCAAGCAAAAAATCCCATAGATGAAAATAATGAGCTTGGCACACCATATTTTGCAAGTTTCTTAAAACCAAGTTACATTTTCAGCTAAACAATGTTGAAAAGTCCATCTAGGGCTGTACATTTCAGACTAAAGGGTTTCATATATGAGTGAGTGTCCTCCTGTGCCAAAGCTCCCTACCATTTTGAGGTTTTTGTTTTATATAATTTTTATGAAATAAAAAAAAAGGAAAATCACAACAGGAAGACAATTTCTTGACTAACTTTCTCCTTATAGTTTTCTACATGCCAGGAGTTGTTACTTTGATTTTTTTTTTTTAATAAAAAGAATAGTTGTGAGCATTCAAAATTACAGCCTCTTTTACCTGTAGTCTGGCACAGTTACCAGTGCAGATCCAGGATATTTTGCTTTCAGCATATTCCCAAATTTGAGACCTGGTTAAATCCATACATTTAATAAAGAAAACTGCCTTAGCTGGCATGCACTTCCTTCTACAGAATATTTGCCATCGTGGCTTGAATATGGAGAACGTAACATTAAACGTATTATTGTTTCCTTTCCCAAGGACTTTTGCCCTGATAATCCTGACCCAGGCACTTTTCGAATTGTAACACAGAACATGGCATGTGGTAAATCCCTGAGCATTTGTTCCTTGAAAATTCGCATCATCTTGGAGGTAAGTCCACAATCAGCCTTGTAAGTGGAGAACTTCAAAACTGGATTGACATTTTGTGTTTCTTTGCTTACAGTAGCTAATCTACACCTTTCATACCCTGTCCGCCCATAAACTTCATTCTGATTTTAAAAGAGTAGTTGTGTTAATCTGTTGGAAGGAAGGACGGAAGAAAGAACTAGATATGGGTGCCATTAGACTTCAGAATTAACTGGATTATTGGCTGGATTTGAGAGACCCCAACTCCTAATGTGCTTATGTATTACCTACTTCAAATATCTGGTTGTAGTAGCTGGACATCTGGGAAAGAGTCTGGGGTAGTCCAAAAGGACCTTGGCAATTTATAGTGATACCATCTCTGAGTATGTGCTAAGGCTTTGAAACAGGTTTATTGTGACATAAACATCTATGGTCCAGAGTATCTAGCCCAAGAAAGTTTATACTACAACAAACCTGTTAGCCTTTAATGTGCCACAGGACCCTTTGAGGCTTTTACACTTGATCATATACCACTAACACACACAATTTATGCTCCCATTTACATGTGCACATCTCAGAGACCACATTCACCCTCATTCACATGCAGCACACACACTGTCCATTGGATCGCTCATACCACACCCATCAGATGCACATCACTTATGGAAATTGACGATCCTTGAGTAAACCACTCATATTGCCTCATTCACACATTCAGCCTAAAAGTTGATCATTAGTGCAGTATTGCTTTCTCCTCTTCACCCCACCAGAAGTTTGCAGCTTCTTTTGCCCTTCTGTATTCTTGAAGTTTACTTCTTCATTAGTTATCTTCTTCCTGTGCCTATGACACCACAGTAGGTGGGGGCAGAGCTCATTTCTTCTGTGACATCACAGTAAGAATGAATATATCTTGTGAATTGCCTTGAGGTCTATGGATGAAGGACAGTATGCAAATTTAATAAATAATAAATATCATCATCACCCTGGAAAAGAGATGTGGGTATATATTGCAGATATACCATATTTTTCGCTCTATAACATGCACCCGAACATAACACGCACATAGTTTTTAGAGGAGGAAAATCCGTAGGCATGCCACCCGTAGGCATTCCCTCCATAACACGCACAGACATTTCCCCTTACTTTCTAGGAGGAAAAAAGTGAGTGTTATGGTGCAAAAAATACGGTACATCTTGATGGGATGGCATATGAATTATTATCTACAAAGGGTTGCGGTTGTGTTGTCATTGTATTTCAGCTGCATCCTTGCTCTTAAAAATTATTTATGTCTTTTTCTAGGGTAGTGAAATCAGACTTCAGGAAGGGAAAATTGAGGAGATAACTAGTATGCCGCCTTCTGAAAGGAACTATAACATCCATCTTATGGGAATTTACCTTATAATTGAAACTTTCGATGGAATGACCTTCATGTGGGATGAGAAGACAACAATCATGGTGCAACTCGCACCCTCTTTTCAGGTAGGTGCAAACATGACTGCTGACTTGCACATGGTAATTCTGTACTGGCTGGGGTAATTTTCCTGTCAAGGTATCGCTTCCACTTCGGGGGTGGGAATTGAGCATCACATCTACACTGTCACAAGTGGAGAATAGACACATCTTTGTTTTGCAGCATAGAAGAAGTTGTATGTGTGTTCATCTCACCTGATACATGTACATTTCCTGCCTAAAAGAAGTCATATCTAAGTGTGCATAGAAATTGTTGCGAGTAGAATGACCCTCAGTTACCTGCTAATAAACTGCCCAGTTTGCAGCTAGTGTATTCTGCAATTCTCTGGTTATGCTTGTAAACATAACATGTACCAATCAGATGCCTTAAACCAAGTCTATTTGCTTTTTTCATATTTAGGAAGCATTTGATTTATATATTATAGCTTCCTGCAACCAGTAAAGATAGAATCGCCATAGATCAGACAAATATTGGTAGGCTTATGCTGCAAATGCAGACAATATTCTTTGTCTCAAGTGAATCCAACACATTTTTTTGTGTACTGTAAATTCTTAGACTGTTATCTTTTAAAATATGTGGATATTAATTGGCCCCCGTTTTCATTCTTCTAAAATAGTCTAACAACTTAGTAGAGAAAAGTGTTTTGAATCAAGAGAAACACATAGGACTAGTGGTTTATACAAAGCATGTTTATAATACAATTTGAATTTACTTCATTTTGATAGTTTTATTTATTTGTTTTTTATTCTGTCAGTGAAGTCTTTGTAAAATGCCATGCTCCAATTTCCTAGGGCAGAGTTTGTGGTCTTTGTGGTGATTTTGACAGCAGTGGCAACAATGACTTCACCACGAGAGGGCAGTCTGTGGAGATGCAAGCACAGGCATTTGGAAGCAGCTGGAAAGTCACCACTAGCTGTTCGGACAGAAACAAGGTTGACCTATGTGCAGGTCAGCCTTCCAAACTCGTACTGGGGCAAAAGCGATGCAGCATTCTCAAGAGTGACATTTTTGAAGCCTGCCACAGTAAGGTAATCTGTCTGTTTGTCTCTTCCTTTGCTTCTTGCGACTCTTCCCCTTCTCCTTGCATCCTCCTATCCTAGCATTCCTAGCATTTCATAAAGTTATGGGTGGCAAGAATGATGAATAATTTTACTGGCAAAACAAGAAAAGTTAAACAAATGAAAAATATTTTTTTGGGGGGGCATAATTATTGAAGGCATTTCAAATAATAGCAGGGAGTACACCCTCGAGAGAGAGATTTGTTCCCATTCCTAGGGACGGTGTTGTAGAGAGATGTGGACAGTGATGGGCATGGCCAAAAGTGGCTATGGCTACTCTCATGCGCTCGCACATACGCATGACATATCAGGCACACAAACATAGAGTATGGCTGCCATATGTCTGGATTTTCCCGGACATTGCCAAGATTTCAAAGGTGCAATTGATGTCTGGGGTGTGGGGGGTGGATTTCCAAAAGGCGGTGCTTTGTCCTGGATGGGGGAAAAATGTGTTTTGGTGATAATGTATTGTTGCATGCCATCCCAGTCTCTGAGTGGTGCCTGGAGAAGAGGAGGTTAAGGGGTGATATGATAGCCATGTTCAAATATATAAAAGGATGTCACATAGAGGAGGGAGAAAGGTTGTTTTCTGCTGCTCCAGAGAAGCGGACACGGAGCAATGGATCCAAACTACAAGAAAGAAGATTCCACCTAAACATTAGGAAGAACTTCCTGACAGTAAGAGCTGTTCGACAGTGGAATTTGCTACCAAGGAGTGTGGTGGAGTCTCCTTCTTTGGAGGTCTTTAAGCAGAGGCTTGACAACCATATGTCAGGAGTGCTCTGATGGTGTTTCCTGCTTGGCAGGGGGTTGGACTCGATGGCCCTTGTGGTCTCTTCCAACTCTATGATTCTATGATTCTAAGATTCCAGGGGCTCCAGGGTTTGTGTTTCCTTTGGAATGAGGCACAGCAGAGACTGGTATGGCTTATTTACACATATATACAACCTGAGTCTATGATGGACAGGACCACAGCCCAAGATGTCTCCCATAGCCAAAGCCTTGGATTCCTAAAGAAGAAGAAGAAGAAGGGGGGGGGTTCCTTAAAAAAGCTTAAGCTTAGGGCTGTCCTGGTTTTTACTTTTTGAAAGATGGCAACCTTAACATAGAGGCACATGGATCCCCTTACCATCAGAATACTGGCTCTGCACACTTTGATGCTACATCTATTTACCCCTCCCCCCCTTTGCAATTGCTGCCAAAATTAGCAGGGTCAGGCAGAAACAGTTGCTTGAGAGTCCATATCAACTGGGGTTAGGCACCCCATTATAGAACTACCCCAGATGCATGAATTTTGGGAGCAGAATCTCCATGAACTGAATGCCATTCATTTGTACCATTTTTGGGATTTGTCTGGTGTATAGATAGCACTGTAGTAGGATGCCACAAGTGAGTTGTTCCTATAGACTAGAATGGGGCGTATGTGCGCACGCACAAAACCAGGCCACCTAATTGGCAGTGATCTTGCACTTAAACAGATTATCATATCTGCCCTATTTTCAGATACTTCAGAATATTGATAAGAAATATTTAGGCAATTGGTTTTATACTTTCCCAGGGAAAGAAAATTACAATTTAAGAAAATGGTTAGCCTAATTAGTGTTGCAGTCAGATAGGAAAGCACAGATGGACTTGAAAGGGAAAGGAGAGAAAAAGTGAACCTTCCCATAATATAAATATAAATTTAAATATAAAGGATTAGTGTTGTCTAATCATATGGAGGTTAGACAAGATAATTAAAAAACTTGCATTTTCCTAGGCCAAAAGCATCCATGATCTCATGGGCATAATATTACGGTGGTGATATAGCTATTTCTTCAAAGCTGCAACTTGATAGGGCTGCCTCCCAGGACAGATATTCAGTTTTCCTTGAATATTTCAAGGAAGGCAGTCTAGGCAGTCTTGTGTTTTCTATTTTAAGAAGCTGATTAAATAGCATCCTGGGAAGAAATGTTCATTATTTCTGGCTGTTCTTGGTTCTGTTAGATCAACCCAACACCCTATTATGAATCCTGCATATCTGATTTTTGCGGTTGTGACAGTCTGGGAGACTGTGAGAGTTTCTGTACTGCTGTAGCAGCATACGCAAGGAGTTGTGGCAGAGTTGGCATCTGTATTGACTGGCGAAGTCCTAAAAATTGCCGTAAGTACTTACAAAGCAAATATAATCTCAGCAGCAATGATTGTGTAGCTGCATGTTATCTGAGGGGGTGAGAAATACTAATTGCTAATGGTATTTAATGACACAGTTGAGTGTATGACTGATAAAGGAATTTTCTTCTTCAGAATCCCTTTGTGATTCACATCTTTCACGTTGTCCAAAAACATAACGCTTTATTATAGCCTTATAACCTTTTGAACAGTAGGATACTTTGGAGAAAAAGACAGACGAAAAATATCACAAATAATAGTGAAAAACTGTTCTCAACAAGAGGTCATACTTTAAAACTACTAGCAAGTGAAGCTTACAAGAGTACACTTGGAACAAGTGTTCCTTTTATCCACAAGATAAATCTGGGACCAACACCTCACATGTAGTTCAGCAACTTATTGCTGTGCATGGGACCAGAACCAATGGCTAGAAGTTTCATCAAAGACTAAGCATTTCATTGTTTCCATCTGTACATGTCCAGCATGTCATGGGTTAAGATAGACATTATTTCCAGGGTATGCGCATGGGTGGGTGGGTGTGTACAGGCCTCCCATTATTTATTTACTTATTGTGGTTCTTACTTGTCCTTCTCCCTGATGTACAGCAAGTTACAGCATATAAAAGCACAATTAAAATGGGGGGAAATATCCAGTCCCCAAATCAGTGATCCATACAACACATTACTGGGAGAACCTCAAAATCAGTTCCTCAATTTTCATAGGCCAGGATAACAAGATGAATCTCTTCACATTGCATCAAAAGTGGTAGCTGGCATGCTGCTATCACTTTTGATGCAATGTTAAGAGGTGTAAGAAATGTATGACTGAGGGGTAGCCAGAAGGAGGGAGGGAGGGAGGAAGGGGATTCCATTGAAAACATGGACCTCATCACTTATGGCTAGCATGTCTTCTGATCCAGCTATGTTTTGTGACTACTATGATTCACCCAACAAAAGAGAATGGCGGTATAAGCCCTGTGGAGAACCTTGTTTAAGGACCTGCAGGAATCCAGCAGGAAACTGTGGCAATCTGCTTTATAGTTTAGAAGGTAAATGCTTTTTCACTTCCCACAAAACATGACATGAAATGAGAAAAAGGTTTCTGCCCAAATTCATAAAATGTAAAGGGATTATATTTGATATTTCTTTGCAGTGGCCAAAGACCCACTCTCTCAGCAAAGCACAGAGGCTGCCCCTCTTTAATGGTTAAATTTACAGACCAAGTTGTGAAAAAACCCCCAATATATATTTATAGCATTTTTTGTTCTTCTGTTTTCTAATTATTGCAATTTCAGATTTATACCTTATAATATACCTCATGTAATACATATATTATTATATCACCTAATAGCCAGCCCCTATTGAAAAGTGAGATTATTATTTTGACGGTTTGCTCCCATTTTAGGCTGCTACCCAGAATGCAGTGCTGAGAAGCCATATTATGATGAGAAAAAAAGAGAATGTGTCTCAGTGTTTGAGTGTACCTCATGGTAGGTCATTTTTAACAGCATAGCCCATTCTGCACATATGCTCGTTAAGGTTTCTTTCTTTAATCTGTGGTAGTCACATCTTTGTAGACTCTGAACTGAGAGAGGGAGAGAAGTGTGGATTACTTTGTGTGTTGGTGTTTTGTTTTGGTTTCGTGTACAAATTAAGCAATAAAAGAATCAACAATATTTTATATATGTTTCCCCTCAGTGATCCAAAAGAAAAACTCTGCTTGAACAAATCAAATGGTAAGTTATTAACTGTATTTAGAGAGAATATTATTTGTGTGTGTGTGTGTGTGAGAGAGAGAGAGAGAGAGAAAGCACCCCTCATATAAAATATCAAGGTGGTGTACAACAAAATATGGAAGTAAGATAAAGCATAAAATACCATAAAAACAATGCAAAATAATCATAAAAGTGACTGGCTCATCTTGAAAAGGTTTAAACAACTGAATAGACTTGTCAACATACAATGTCTTCGAGAGACATCTACATTAGCAGCAAGGAGCCCTGTCAAATCTCTGCTGGAAACTCCACTCAAATGTGCAAAGTTTAAGATTGTGCAGTGTGTGGAGACCAGCATCTGGGAACTTTGAGAGAGACACTGAATCAACTATATATCCATAGTCTTCCTTGAAGTTAGCCAAGGAGTTCTTGACTTAACACCTAGTTCTTCTTGAGTATAGAGAACATTATTTCTTTTGGTCTCATCAATGACTCACACCGTGGGTGGTATCCAACTAATGTGTCTCATCAACACAAGGACTTCTACCTGTGCAATGGGACTTCCCTTCTCTCCCTTGATGTGTGTCCTGCACCCTCACCAAATCAGTCATGGAGAATTGGGGGAACCCTAAGAACAGATTTAGGGAGTGGATGGAAGGAGGTGGGGAAGTCCTGATGGCTTTTCGTTAGTTTTTCTTGACATTAGATTAGGCACAAATGGTAGAGCTGCATCCAATAATTTTGCTACTCATCAGGAAGAAGAAGCAAGGCTGAATGAGTATTTGTTGAGTTAATCTGGGTTTTGTTAGCTTTGTAGGTCTCAATTTCATTACAAGCCTAATATAAAGAGAATTCTTGGCTATACATCTGTTGATAAGAAAGTAGCATGTGGATTACTTCAAAGTACTAACCTGCATAATATATTCAAAACAGCAGGACATGGCTTGGAGATCACGCCTCAAGGCGGGGAAATTGTTGGCCCTTCAAAGCCAAGAGCAGGCGAGGATGTGTGGGATTTTAAGAGATCAAAAACGCATAGTGAGATGTGTCTGGGCAGAGAAGTGAAATGAATATATTCAATTGTTCTATGTCTGTTTTTACTGTATTGTAAATCACTTTGGGATGCCTTGTAGGAATGAATAAATGAAATCAATAAATAATTACAATAACAATATACACTGCAGCATCAGTAAAAATGATGATCATTATACTAAAACAGGCATAGGCAAACTTGGCCTGCCTGATGGTTTGGGACTACAACTCCCATCATCCCTGACCACTGGTTCTGTTACCTAGGGATGATGGGAGGTGTAGTCTCAAAACATCTGGAGGTCGAGTTTGCCTATGCCTGTAATAAAAGTTAACATTGACATTTGAATGCTGACAACTGAGGAACTACTTGAAAGGAAGATGGCTTAGGGTCCATGTCATAGAGTAAGATCCAATGCTGACCAGTTTGCAGTCACGGACATCAAAAAATGAAATGATCTTATTATAAATCTGAGAAGAATACTTACAAAATATTTTCATCTTGCATATGTGCCACAAAGTGAAAAATTCTCATTAAAGTGGACAGTTATATGCAGGTATATAAGTCGCTGCCTCCTTCAGGTGTGCAGTAGCATTGGGAGTGCAAGTTGTCCGGTTTCTCCTTTGGCTGGGTAGCATCAGTATGAGGGCACATGGGTCAGCCAGTCTCCTGGCAGGCAGCATAAGCATGAGGTCATAATGACCAGTCTTTCAATGACCAGGCAACATTAGCAACAGGTCACAATGCCCAGTGTGTAGTAGATTCACAGTGGTGGGGGCACATTGGTCACTCTCCATCTCTCTTATTCAATCAGGTGGCAATAGTAGTGTATGGGCACAACTCTCTTTCTCACACATCCTGAGATAAAGAAAAGCAGGACATTCCTGTTGAGATAAACAACAGCAGTGTGTGGGCAAGAGGAGGATGTCAGATGAAGTATGGTGGGATTCCACTCCTTGCTCATGGTGTGTGTAGGGGGAAGGGAATATGTTGATCAATGTCAGTGCCATTTGCTAACTATGGCTGCTGCTGTTTATTTTGGAAAGGTGTCAAATGTTCAGTAAGAAACTGGATGCCCCATGCTTCTTATTGTTTTAGGGAAAACTGCAGTGGCTCTCCCCATCTCACCAGCAAAATCAGAAATGAGAACCACACCATGCTTCTGTAATGTAAATGGACAGCTGATAACAAGTGGTGAGGCAGACATATTTGAAATAACTTCCATGGACTTATTTTGTGTGTGTACTATTTATTTCATAAACAATCATTGCAATCTTTGCAGCTACATATTGTTGTGAGTTTGCATGATGGGGGGGGAGGGGGTAGGCTGTATGTCTGAGTTCTTTCCAATTCCTGGATCCAGCAGGGATTCAAATCACTGGAATAGCCAGGCAAGTTTCTTGGTAATGGCCCAAGTATGGGTTGTTAAGGTAACAAAGGGAATGGTCTGCGCCAGAGGACAAATGGGTTCCTCCCTCCAACTGTCTCTTAGTTAGAAAGACAAAGAGTTGAGTTCCATATGTGAGGTAGAAGCTGCAGGCTGGGCAGCTGAAAGACAGAGCTATGCTTGGTTTCTGCTTGAATCCAAGGCTGTGCCTAGGGAAGAAGTCAGACCTTCTTGGGTATTAATGCTGTGAGCCCATCCGCCGTAGGCTCAGGTTGTGTATGTGTGTAAAAAACCCCCATATATCATAAAGACATCCTAGTCTCAACTGTACCTCATTCCAAGGAAACCAAACCCTGGGTCAGCATCTGGAACCCCTGGAATCTTGCATCACTCCGTGATTGGGGTATATGCTTGAATAACTCGCTTGTTGGATTTTTTCATGACTTTTACATTTTTCCTGTTGCGTGAACTGCACCCTTATTTTTTCTGAATATATTCATCCAAAATCTGTATAAATTAATAATTATTCTTGGCATTGGGTGATGATTGGTGTTTTATTTTTTAAGTGGATGATTCTCTGCTTTATAATGTGTGTATCTCATCACACACACACACAATGTTGCTGTTTGTTCTAACTGTTCCTCTGAATTTTTAGGCAGTAGCCAGTTTGTGACAATGGATACTTCACGTTGGTGTATTTATGCCTTTTGTAATACATCATGCCAGATTGAATTCAACTATGGAGAATGTATCTCATTCTATACCACTCCTGTCCCAAGCAAGCCTGCCATGATCCCCAGCAGACCTTGTAAGGGGAATAATCAGAACTGTGAGAAAGAGCCTCCTTCTTACTCTAAAGTTAAAGCTGCTTCTTCATTTACTCCTGGGAGTGATTGCACTGACCTCATTCCTCCTAGAAAGGTGAGCAAGCAGCACTGCTGATACTACAAGCGTAGAATGAAAAGTGTTTGTTGCTGACATATTTGTTCTTGAGAAACATATAATAAATAGATAGATAATAGTTTGTTTTCACTCCTGGGCCACAATAAAATGACAATATAATTTACAAATGCCTAGTGCTGCTGTACACATAAAAGGAAATATATAGCTCAGCGTAGCATTTCACAAAATATCATTAGACACATTGATTCAAATATCAAACACTTTAGTGTAAAAATGTTCGAACATTTACAGCTACTAACAACTCTTCTGGCAATGTCAAAAATCTGAATAGCTCGGTGATAGATAAATAAGATTTCCCCGACACGGAGAGAGGAAAATTTGGGAGACGATGATGAAAATTAATATACAAAATGAATGAAATATATAATAATAATGTAGAGAGCGAAGAGACTTAAAACACCGCCGCTCTGACCCTGGAAACGGGCTGCTAGTAGGACTGACGTCTTTTGGAATGTTCATTGACAGCGTTTAGAACGTTCATTGACAGCTAGTTAAATAAGAGAAATACATTGTTTCTACTGTCTCCGGCTGCTTTAAAAAGGAGTAAAAGTAACTGAAAATTGAAACTAATTTGAAACTAATTTTGGAATGTTTAAAAGAGGATACTATTGACTATTACAAATAGAAACTGTTTCCCCCTAGTGGAAGCCTTTGAAACCGGTTGCTTTACAAGAGCTGGACTAGGGGAATTTCCAGCTGCAAGTTAAAAACCGTGAGACTCTGGGACTGACCTTGAATCTTTTAAGTGTTATGGTAAATGGAAGAGGAAAAACAGACCAGTCAACTGCTGACAAAACATTAAGGTCTGGGAGGACTTGGTAACAATCCAGGAGAGGTCTATCATTAGGCCCTCCTGCTCCTTCTGTTGCTGTCTTTGTACTAGTATATTTAAAACCAAGAGGAATGTCGACAGAAGAGGCTTTAGTGGCTGCATTATATAAGATAAATGACTCATTGGATCAGCTTCACAGGAAAATGGACATGATAAATGCGAAAGTGGATGTTTCAATTACTAAAATTAACTTAAATACAGAAAGTATAAATAATACCAATACAGAAACCACCCAGAAATTGATACAAGAACCTATTTTGATATGGCAAACTGTGGAGGAAGTCAGGGAAAAAGCTGTTGCTGCTGAAGGTAAAGTAAGACAACTGGAGAGAAAGAGAAAGAGAGCCCCAGCCCTACAGAGGCAATTTGATGAACATAAGTTGATGCTTGCTATGACTGAACTTAAAGAAAAACAGACGAATTTGAGGATTAGAGTTCACCTTTGGTGGACATGCCCAAGGATTAAGACACTGTGGGAGATGATTCATAACGAAATGAAAAAGATATTTAAATATACCCTTTTGAAGAAACCAGAGGCCTTTCTCCTGGGCATGGTCGGCCAATTGGTGTTAAAGAAGGATAGAATTTGTTTCATGTATGCAACAATAGCAGCAAGAATACTCATTGTGAAGTACTGGAAGACACAAGATTTATCCATTCAGGAAGAATGGCAGATGAAGTTGATGGACTATATGGAATTGGCGGAAACGACTGGCAGAAATCCGAGACCAGGGAGAAGAGTTGGTGGAAGAAGACTGGAAAAAGTTTAAGACTATTTATAGAAATACTGTAAAAATAATGAATGTTAGAAAAATGTTGGAATGAAGTTATATGGCTTTAGTAGAAATGCTATAAGGAATCAAGTATAAATAGATTAATAGAGTATTAAAGGGAAAAATAAGGTTAGAATATGTTAAGATAATTATAGGATAGAAAACAGAGGAAGGTGGAAAGAAATTGCTGAAATAATTAATAGAAGTGGAAAACAAAAAGGGAGGTGTGAGGAGGTCGTGGAAATAAGGGAATGAAAGTTAAGACATTGAAATTGTTTTGTGTTTGAAATGGTTTGTGTCTTGCTTTGTTAGTTTTTTTTTTTACATTTTTATTATTTTTCATTAATTATACATATATACAGTCTAGATTACATAAGTTCCATATAACATAGCTGTTACAAGAGTCATATATATAGTACACAGTTATTTTAGGCTCCGCCGAGCCTCGGACTTCCCTTCACTTTATTGGTAAGTATCAGATAATTTCTAAAGTTACGTGTTTTATCTCCTTTACATATTTGCCAAACACTGTTAGAGTTATTCTAACCCTGCCAGAGTCCTCAAAGTTCTATACTTATCTCTTATATACGTCAGATATTTATTCCAATTTTCATGAAACTTCTGGTCATCCTGGTCTCTTAGTCTTCCTGTTATTCTAGCTAGTTCAGCATAATTTATCATCTTGTTCTGCCAGTCGTCTATAGTAGGTATTAATTCTGTTTTCCAGCTTTGGGCCAACATATTTCTAGCGGCCGTTGTGGCATATAGAAACAGATTTTTATCCTCTTTTTAATTTCCTTGCCAACTATTCCTAGCAGGAAAGCTTCAGGCTTTTGGGGAAAAGTATATTTAAAAATCCTTTTAAGCTCATTGTAGATCAGTTCCCAAAAGCCTTTTACTTTCCTGCATGTCCACCACATGTGATAGAACTCACCATCCTCCTCTCCACATTTCCAGCATTTCTTATTCTTCAGTTTGTAAATCTTAGCCAATTTCACTGGTGTGAGATACCTATGAATCATCTTCCAGAGATTCTCCCTTAATGCCGTACACGCCGTGAATTTCATATTTACATTCCACAATTCTTGCCACTTTACAAAGTCAATGTTGTAACCAATGTCTATGGCCCATTTTATCATAGCCTCCTTCACCTCTTCGTCTTTTGTATACCAATCCAGTAAAAGGTCATACATCCTAGGTAATGTTTTGTTTTTGCCTTCAATAATTTCCACATTAAATTTAGATTTTTTATCTTCAAATCCCAGTTTCTTTTTATCATCTTTTAACAGATCATTCACTTGATGGTATTGCAACCATCCCGTAGGTACATTCTTTACCTCCTCATAGGGCTTGAGTTTTATGCCCTGATCAGTTTTATTGATAAGTTCTTCATAGGTGGCTCTTTTCCCTTCCATATTAGTTTTTTTGACAGTTAAGACATCAATTGGTGAGATCCACCATTGAGTTTTCTTTTCCAGCAGGTTCTTATTTCTTTCCCATACTTGAAATAATGATCCTCTAATTATATGATTTAGAAAGCCTCTATGAACTTTCACCTTTTTGTACCACAGGTACGAGTGCCACCCATACCTGTTATCAAAGCCCTCTAAATCCAAGATATCAGTATTCTCTAGCTTTATCCAGTCTTTCACCCACGTTAAACAAGCCGCTTCATAGTATAGACTCAAATCTGGTAAAGAAAAACCCCCTCTTTCTTTTTTGTCTACCAATATTTTCATTTTTATTCGTGGTCTTTTCCCCTGCCAAATAAATCCCGCTAAGATCCTTTGCCAATCTTTACACAGTTTTAGTCCTTTCATTACTGGTATAGTTTGGAACAGAAATAACATTCTGGGCAGGACATTCATTTTAATAACCGAGATCCTCCCTAAGAAGGAAAGTTTCAATCTCTCCCAGATTTCTAGGTCTTTCTTGACACCCTTCCAAGTAGCATCATAATTATCTTTATATAAGTTTATATTTTTTGCTGTGATCCACACTCCTAAATATTTTACCTTCTTAACAACCGTAATTCCTATCCTTTGTTCTAGCTCTGTTATCTCTTCCTTGGTTATATTTTTGTTATCATTTTGGTCTTATTCCTGTTAAGCTTAAAACCTGCCACTTTTCCAAATTCTTCTAATTTCTGTAAGGCTTCTTGTAGACTGTTCTTAGGATCTTCCAATGTTAATATCAAGTCATCTGCAAATGCTTTTATTTTGAATTCCTTACTTCCTACCTTAATTCCTTTAACTTCTGGTGTTTTCCTTAACCTTTTATTAAACACTTCCAACACTGTTATAAATAACAAAGGGGATAAAGGACAACCTTGCCTAGTCCCTTTGGCAATATCAAAGGCCTCCGATATATTGTTATTTATTATAAGTTTGGCATTTTGCTCTTGATAAATTGCGTCAATACCTTTTCTAAATCCTTCACCAATTCCCATCATTTTAAAATTTTCCTTCATGAAACGCCAGGAGACATTGTCAAATGCCTTCTTGGCGTCAATGAAGATCAGTGCCGCCTGTTTGTCTATTCTAGTATCCAAATACTCAATGATATCTATCACATTTCTTACGTTGTCTTTCAATTGTCTCCCTGGGAGGAAACCCGTTTGGTCTTTATGGATTCTTTTATTTAAGACTTTTTTAAACCTTTCTGCCAGTACGTCTGCGAATAATTTATAGTCGTTATTTAATAACGAAATAGGTCTATAATTTTTTACCTCTAAACCATCTGTGTCTTTTTTAGGGATTAAGGTAATATATGCTTCTTTCCAGGTGTTTGGAATTCTCCCTTCTTTTAATACATTATTCATGACTTCACATAGCACTGGGGAAATCTGGTCACTTAATATTTTATAATATTTAGCCGAGATACCATCTAGCCCCGGCGCTTTTCCTATTCTCATTTTTTTTATTGCTTTCCTAATTTCTTCCTCTGTAATTGTCTGGTTTAGATATTCTCTTTCTTCAGTCGTGATCTGTTGCAACTGGTATTTTTTCAAGTAATCTTCTGTCTCATTATCTATCTCTTTTTCTCTTTTATATAATTCCTTATAGTATTTCTGAAATATCTTCTTTATCTCTTTTGGGTCCTCCACTATCCTTTCTCCATCCCTTATCTTACCTGTCATGTTTTGTTTTTTCCTCTCTCTTAACTGCCACGCCAGATATTTTCCTATCTTATTTGCTGATTCAAAGTTTTATGTTTTTCTTTTTTTCTTTTTTTTTTCTTTTTTTTGTCTTTCTGTTTTGTTGTGTTTAAACGGTTGAAAATTAATAAATATTATTTTTTTAAAAAAGAAATATATAATAATAATGAAAACTTATTGAGAAATGAGCCTTATTCATCCAGTTTTAGAATGACCAAATTAGGGATGAAATATTTACATTAATTTAATGTCATGTGCATGCATTGGTTTGAGTGTATTGGCGTGAGCACTTCTGCACCTGCACTGCACCAGCCTCCTGGCTGCCTTGCCTCTCTCCCCCTTCTGGAAAGTGGCAGTGGCACTGTTGCTGGGAATAACTTTGCAGCTGTGCCCCAACAGCGAAGCCCCTTCTGAAATGGCAGCCAGGATATGCCTCCGCTGACCTTCTAAACATTGGGATGAAGCTGGTTCAGTACTCACAGAGAAACACGCCAACGTTTAGGGAAGTATCAAAGCCAAGTGGCACAATAATCTTGTATAGTTGTTGATGTCGTAATATTTTATTATTTCTACTTATAGAATTTGTTGTACTTTCTAGTCATGGAAATAAATAAATGATATTTGAAAAAAACCAGAGATTTAACCAGCTGAAAAAGGTGACAGCCCAAGTTAGTACTTACAGCTTCTCCCTGCCAATAGTATCAAAGGTTACCTTCAGGTCTATGAAAGCAATAGGCAAATGCTTCTTCCTCACCAACATATATCAGCTGTCTATTGCCTGATCTAAAATCTGTTTCTTCAAGAAAAACATGGTATTGCATAGAAATAGACAAGACTCAGTGACTTACTGATTGTGCTGTGTTATGGTGCAGTAAATATACTGAGTTAAGTTGAATTGACTGAGTACCAAGGCAGAGCAAATTGTACTGATTCCTTTTGCGGCTTTCTTTTATACATCAACAGTATCAAGAATTATGGAAATTTGAAAACTGCCAAATCGCCACTTGCTTAGGTGGAAAACATATTAAAGTATCTGATGTGCGCTGCCCACCTCAAAAGTCAAAGATCTGTGTCAACGGATTGCCACTTGTGAAAAACTACGATGCATCAGGCTGTTGTTGGGCTCTGGAGTGTCAATGTAAGTGATAATGGAACAAGGTACTAATTCCATTGTTCTAAAGCAAAAGCCAAAATCTAGGAGGTCAAGTGCTTCATTCAATTATAAATTAGCATAAGATTAACATTTCTCTCATACCTAGATAGGTAGGTAGAAAGATACAGAGCACACAAGCATCACAGTGCCCCTTTTAACTCCTGTGATCTTCTGGCTGTCCAGAATGGAGATCACAGAAGCTGCCCCAGCTGAGCTCCTGTGTTACATTGTGCACGCAGTTGTAGACACTGGGAAGATTCACACAAGAGCAAAATGCAGCCTAAAATAATATCAGAACAAGCCCAGTGAAACATTAGGGATAACTGAAGCTGCCTTCTGCCAAGTCCATTGAACCATCCAGTTCAGTACTGTCTGTGCTGACTGCAGCAGTCCTCCAAGTATCCAGATGGAGTCTTTTCCCAACTCTAGCATAATATGTCAAGAGATTGAACCAGGGAACTTTTGCATGCACCCATTATTGCAACACAAACTTATCGGCAATTGTTGCACACCATCCATCCAGCTGTGGGAGAAAGTGCTGGGTGAAGAACAAGGGTCCACATTTACTGCATCCATGAGACCCACAGCAGGCCCAGCTGCTACATTTCCTTGATCCTTCTGGAGCTGTGCTCTTCAAGCTCCTTGCTATAGTACATTTTGAGGCTTTTGTTCTTGTCACTTTGATTTTATGTGTTGATATATGTGTGGTGGGACGCGGGTGGCGCTGTGGGTAAAACCTCAGTGCCTAGGACTTGCTGATCGTAAGGTCGGCGGTTCGAATCCCCGCGGCGGGGTGAGCTCCCGTCGTTCGGTCCCAGCTGCTGCCCACCTAGCAGTTTGAAAGCACCCCTAAGTGCAAGTAGATAAATAGGTACCGCTTTATAGCGAGAAGGTAACCGGCGTTTCCGTGTGCGGCACTGGTGCTGGCTCGCCAGCTGCAGCTTCGTCATGCTGGCCACGTGACCTGGAAGTGTCTGCGGACAGCGCCGGCTCCCGGCCTCTTGAGCAAGATGAGCGCGCAACCCTAGAGTCGGTCACGACTGGCCCATACGGGCAGGGGTACCTTTACCTTTTTTATATGTGTGGTAGGCTAATGAATGGATGGTCTCCAACTTGAATGGATGTTTTGACAGGTGGATTCGACAGCTGTTTGGTTTACCTCTGTGAGCCTGTGGCCTTCTCATTCTAATCGTATGTGTTTGCTCCTTTTAGGTGCTTGCAATGGATGGGGAAATCAACACTATGTAACATTTGATGGATCCTATTATAATTTCCATGGGAATTGCACCTATCTGCTTATGAAACCAATCACACCTGGCTCTCAGAATTTCTGGATCTACTTGGACAATCACTATTGTGCTGCCACAGAGAGAGCTCTGTGCTCTATGAGCCTTTTCATATTTTACAACCACTCTACAGTCATTTTGACACGAGGAGTTGAAAACGGAGAAGAAAGCAACCTGGTAAAACATTGATCAGATTCTCTGTGTGTAAACATAACATTATATGTCCACGTATCAAACAAAGATTTCCTGTCCCACCCCCAGCAATAGTACTTCAGTTTATGAAGTAGCATTTTAAAGCTGTGTCCCCCTCACCAGAGTTAGAGCACCAAATTCACCTCTCTTAAAAAAACAAAGAAGTAGCAAACTGCACATGGCAGCAGGAGGGCAACCCATTTTCTATTATACAGAGCTGAGATACAGTGATCCTGTGGGTGGATTAGTGCTAGTGTAAATATACATAGTGCTAAGCATCTCATATATGCGTGTATCCTTTTCATCAGCTGGAAAGGTAATATAGCTCTTCCTAGGAAGGCTTTTTCACATGCTATGTTTGACCTGCTCTGATTCTTCCAATTGATTACTTCTTAAGGTTCTATATAACAATAAAGAAATCACACCGAGTTTTTCAAAAGATGGCATTGACATCACCAACTCTGGACACTACGTTGTGGTGAAAATACCTGAAATGGGCCTTTATGTCACCTATACTCGCCTCGCTTTTCAAGTAAACCTGCCTTTCAGCACTTTTTATAACAATACTGAAGGGCTATGTGGTAAGTACTGGCTACAACTAAAGAGTGAATGCACCAGATTTATGTTTATAGCCTTTTATTTCTGTCATTACTTTTGATTTTAAATATTTGTTGGTACTGGAGAGAGGCAGAGGAGAGAGAAAGAAACAGCGTTCCATACATAGGAGCCAACTCCTAGGAGCCAAGGTCCCTTCAGTCCCCCATGCTCTGTCCATCAGGCAGCTTTGTATAGGTTCACCAATTTTTTATATGTAGAAGTCCATATATTTGGACTTCTCCCTGCTCCTTTATTTCTTCTTTCCTCTTGGCTATATACGCAGAAGAGACTATCCAGAGCATCAAAAGAAGAGGCCCTCTAGTTTACTTTAAATCAGTATGCGAAATTTAGTATTCCCTGTGTGTCTTTCGCCTTCTTGTCCCTTGGTTACCAGGCTCACATTAGTTGTTCCAACCCACTGCCATGCCTTTCCACCCTATTGCTATTTGCATTGGCGGGGAGAGCGGGGGGCAAGCAATGTTTATTTCCACAGACTCAATGGGTAAGCAATTGCCACTTTCCTTTGTAGAAAGTTTACAGATGCTTGTGCCTTCCTAGCCTTTGCTTGAAGTGACCTTCTTATCTTGACCAGGTACGTGCACCAACAAAAAGACAGATGATGCAATGAAAAGGAATGGCAAGGTTGCAGATTCTTTCACAGAAATGGCAATGGACTGGAAAATGATGGACCTCATCACTAGACATTGTGATGCAGGGCAACACTTGGCACCTTTTCAGACTCAAATGTCACCATCCAAAATGGCCGCCTCTGTAGTGCCTCCCCTATGTAAACTTATCTGGTAAAGCACACTTTTAATGAATGTTATATTTAATGAATGTTACATAAACTGAGGTTCCTCCTAATTGTATTGATTTGTTTTGATCACTTAAATCCTACCCAGCAACATTTACTATTCCCAGGGTAGCCATCTTAAGATGGACACCCAAGTGCTGAGGCAATTAAATTTGGTTGTTGCTTTTAAGTTTGCTGAAAAATTAAAAATAATAATAATAGGTATGCATGTTTTCAAGTTTAATTTTGAAGTATAAATACCCATGTGAACTCCATTAAATTGCTGTAGAAAACACTAGCTAAGGAAGGTTATGCACCAGCTCAAAGTGAGTGTGTGTTGGTAATGATGCAAAGCAGGGTTTGCTGTAATTTTAATAGACATGTATTTTATGCTGGATTATTAGTATAAGGTATGGTAGTATTCAAGTAAGTGTTACTCATGGTAGACTCGGAAATTAACAAAGCTGAGTTGACCAAATCCATTCATTTCAGTGAGTCTAGTCTCACCAGTATTGGGCAAAATCCATAGCTGTTCTCTTAAGTCTTACAGTCAGCAAGTTTAGAATAATAACATCCTTAATTACTTTGTCTCTCTCTTATTTGGAACACATTAGTTCACACTGTAAATAAACTTCATTTTTTAAATTAAACAAGGAGCTTTACAGAATGTCACAATGCTGTTCCGCCACGGCCGTACTATGATGCCTGTGTTGTGGATGGCTGCTCTTCACCAAAGCAGAACATGGAATGTGGAAGTCTCCAGGCCTATGCAGCCTTGTGTGGGTACCATGGGATCTGTGTAGACTGGAGAAGCAAAGCCAACAGGAAGTGTGGTGAGCTGAATGACATCCCAGGAGAGGGTTGTTGATTTTATTCCTTTTTATCAGCTGACATGTCCTTGATCTGTTATCTGCTGGCTCTACGAGCCTAAAATAAGCCCCTCTCAGGAACACAGAGATCTGAATTCCCAAAGTATAATGTTAGTTTGAAAAGAAGGTCCAAACTGCAGTCTTCTAGTTTAGGGAACTTCATCCCTATAAATCTGTGTCCAATTGAACATGATATAAATCATTAGATGTAGAAAACCAGCAACTCAGAAAACCTGTAAGGATTAGAATATGAAACAGATTATCTTTTGAAGTGGAGAGAGACTGCACTGAGGGCTATACCATTTTAGACAGAAGGCTGCATGACTGAATGTTCACACTAAAATAAACAAATAGCTAAATAGGGAAAGCTAGGCTTCTTCCTAATGTACTAGTTTTGTGGATACAACAAATTTTTGCAGGGTAGTGTCAGCGACTGACATTATTAGGCAGCTGTTGAGGTTCAGTGCCTTGAGTTTAAACCAGAGATGACCCTTGACTTCTGCATCACAACAACAGCCACAACAGCCTACCCTCTTTGAGTTGCAGTGAGATTTAGAAGATTGGGTCTCTCTCTCTTCTACAGAGAAAATTGGATCCCCCCCGACTCAGTACTATACCATCAACTGTTGTACTGGTGAATCCTCTACTTCCTTTCCTCATCCACTGGGCAGAGGCAGAGGAGCCAACTCCTAGGGGTCTTTGCCCCCAATAAAATATTTGAGGGGGCCAGGCTCCCCCAAAGTTGATGGGCATTGCCGTTCAAATGGTGTGTGTGCACTGCATCATGTGAGGAAATATATTTCTATGAATTCCTACGTGGACCGATTTGATCCACACACCTCAGACAAATGTATGCATTAGAATGTAATTTTCATTCAGAGTTTACACTTCTCTGAATTTCACAATACAGTTTTTGTATTAAAAAATCAAAATACATTCTTAAATGTGCTTTTTAGGATAAAATAGAAATGTGTTCACTGAGATAAAATACATATTTAAATAAGAACATTTGTTTAATTAATGTGGAAATGGGACAGATTGGATTTATGAATGAACAAATGGACCTGAAGCAGATCAATGTGTTCATCCTTAGCAAGTAGCGGCAAGTGTTGTTTGCCACTGCCACGTCCGTTTGCTCATCCATACAAGATTATGGCTAATACACAAAGAACTGCCCCCCCCCAAAAAAAACAGTGCAGCAGGACAACCCTGCATCTATCAAAATATATGTGAATGAAACTACCCCACTCAATCTGCATGGATATTTCACAGAACTCAGATGCTCTCGGGATCAAATCTATAAGCCATGTGGAAGAATGGAAAGGCTCACTTGCAATAGTGGGTGAGTAATTGCAAGACAAATCTTTATCAAATGGTGTGTGTGTGTGTGTGTGTGAGAGAGAGAGAGAGAGAGAGAATAACTGAATAATTGCTCAGTGACCTTTCCTTTATCCTGTTAACACAATCCTACAGAAAAACCACTGTTGGTGCAAATCCAGAAGAAGGTGACATTCCAGGAATCCTTGTTGAAGGATGTTTCTGTCTGGATGGAATGATCCAATTGAATCACCATGATAGTATCTGTGTTTCTGTCTGTGGTAAGGAAATTGGGGGAAATTGGGAATACAGTTGGCCCAAGATGCCCATATGAGACTACCCGCCCACACCAGCCATCTATGCAGCATATAGGTTGCATGCTGGATTAGTGGAACCTGGAAAGGATCAGGAAGCAATGAAGCCAGTACTATGGAAAGAAAAACTGGGAAAGGAAGTTAGCTATATTAGCATGGATAAAATGCCCCCTTAGAACAATCCTTGGCTGATGATAGAGCAAGCAGGAAAATGTCACAATTTAGAAATGTGAGCAATGCTTTTTTTGGCCGTGGCTCTCTCATGATTTTTCATATGACATACAGCCTTTCGGGGTCCTGATTTGTATATGAATGTGTCTTCAGTGTTGTTAACTTCTTTTCTGAAATGGTCTGCCTCATATTCCAACTGTTTTAACTTGTAGGCTGCACAGGAACTGATGGACTACTGAGACAGGTAAGGAGGAGTGCAAAAGATGGGTTCTACAGCTGATATACAGCCAGAATAATATTTTGCACTCTACCCACAAGCTAATACTGCCTAAAATTGCTGAACACTGGTTCAGAGCAAATACAATGCAAGAACCAGCACAATTGTATGACAAACTATCACAGCATTCTGTGCTTATTATGGTTAGCCAATATAGTGCAAGAGTTTGTCATGTACATTCTATAGCAGGTTGGGAACTCACATGTCATGGTTTCATATTAGTTAACTTATCCATAGAAGAATGAGAAAAGTTGGCTCCTTAACGGTGGATTGAGAAACCATTGGGTGAAGTTACTGCACAAGTGCAACAGAACTTCCCTTTTCTCTCCTCCCCCTGTGTATGCCTCTGCACTCCCTCCAAATCTGCTCTGAGGTATCACCCAAACCTCTAGAGCAGATTAAGGCAGAGGTGTACAGGGGAGGAGAAGGAGAGGAAATTTCACTGCACAAGTGGAAGTTGTTCCACTCATTCAGTGACTGCGCTAGATTCAACCCACTATGCCTTTGTTTGAGGAAGGAAAGTGTACGAAAAGACTAAGAGTAGTTTCAGAACAACCCTACAGTAGACACGCTTTCCCACAGGTCTATCTAGCCCAGAACTGTCAATGCTAGCTGGCATTTGCTCTCCAAGATTTCAGATAGGAGTCCATCCCAGTCTTACCAAAGCATGTACCCTGCCCCTGAGCTGTGGTCTTTCCCCATCAAAAACTCAGCCCCAGAATGATTAATTACTCTGATCAACATTTTTTTTCTTTTTTCCCTTTTTTGAACATTTATTATACAGCCAGGAGAGAGGTGGGAAAAAGATTGTCAGGTCTGCACCTGTAGCAAGGACACACTGGATATTTCTTGTTCCCCCCACATTTGTGCAAGATCTCCGCCAATCACTTGCACAAAGGAAGGATTTGTACCTATAGTGCGGATACAGCCAGAAGATCCCTGCTGCACAGAGATAGTGTGTGGTAAGCAAGTACTTCAGTAAGATAGATAGATAGATAGATAGATAGAATTTTTATTAGATTTTTTGTTTTACAGTTTTAAATACTCATTTAAACATCCTTAAAATATGAATGACTTCCCTTCTTCTCTTTCCATGGTTCATTTTGTATACCATAAATCCCTGCATATTTTACATAAACTAAATCATTCACTATTCCATTATTACATCCATCAAAACTTATTTACACGGTTGAATTTATCTTAATGCTGCCAGCGTTATCAAGTGTACACAGTTGCCCCCCATATATTCACAATAAACATTGCCCAATCTTCTTTAAATGTATGTTCTTCTTGTTCTCTTATTTACTTCAGTAAGTTTTAGGGATGCATTTACTAATGCAGAACAAAGACTCTATGTTTTCTGGAATAATGTATAGAGAATGCATGCTGTCCTCACTGCACCAGTTCTGCATGAGTAATCCAGAACATTTTGTTCAAAAATATTCATCACCACCAGCTAGTGTGGTGCATTGGTTAGAGTGCTGGACAAGGACTTGGGAGACCTGGGTTCAGTTTCCCACTCAGCCATGAAGTTCATTCTCAGCCTTGCCTATCTAACAGGGTTGTGTAGAGAAAGAACCATGTATGCCACCTTGAGCTCAGGGGGTGGGGTATAAACGTTATAGGTGAATACTGTTTTAAAAAGCAGTAGTAGATTGTTGCCAGCCCATGAAGAATAGAGGGTTTCTCTACCTACAACATTATCAAAATGCAAGAAAAAGTGAATGCCTCATATTTTATGTTTCTTCATTCACAGAATGTAATGAAAGGTCGTGTCCTCTAACCAAACAGATATGCAGTCCAGGCTTCCAAATTGTAGCAACCGCTTCTGATGGTGCCTGTTGTCCCATTCATGTCTGTAGTAAGTACTAAATTCACATACGTGTCATTTTTGGAGTGGAAGCACAGTTAAGCAACATACACACTAACCTAGCTGTATCAGGAAAATATAGGTCCACACACCCCAGTCTGGAATCATTCATGCTCATCCTGTACATGCTGCTTTAAATCTAGATTGCTTTTACATAATGCCATCCAAGGAGGTAGGAGTTGTTACTTGGTATGTGTTTGAAAACCCTCCCCTTGAGTGGCTTTTTCTACCTCTACATACCCTGGGTAAATGAAAAGGGATCATGGTGTACACTCATCCACCTTATTATTATTAGGCAGGTGTGGATACTAACACCTACACCTGTTTTCAAATGGGCACCCTATGGGGAAATGCAGAATCAATCTGCAATGAGCTTTTATTTTTGGAATGAAACTAGTTTCTGAAGAAGCACTCTTCTGGGGCAAAATATACGCAATAGATCTAGACTGAGTGTTGACCACGTTGAAAAAACGTGCTCACTCTCCATTGATTCTAGAATAACGTGCTATCTGTGTACGTGTGCAGCCTTAGTCACAAAATGCTAAAAACACATTTGGCAGGGGGATATTATGTGTATTTTCACTATCTGGATCAAAATGCTTTGTTACTAATTTGTGAGTGATTCTTCTCTACAACTAATATAGTAGAAAAAGGAGAAAAGAACCCAGGAAACCCATAGGAGAGAAGTCAAGAAAATCTCAGCATTTCTGAGCATTATTTTTCTTTTACTTACAGAACCAAAAAATGTTTGTGTATCTAAAGGAATTGAGTATCAGGTAAGGTCTGTTGCTTGCTTTAATTTACTGCTATGATATTCCTTTAGCTCAGGGGTGGGAGAACTTTTTAACCTAAAGGGTGGGCTCCTTTAAAACTGCTTTTTAAAATATGCAAATGAAATTTGAAATTTAATATAGTGTCTTCTTTGGCCTTGAAAATCTAATAATTATTTTAATGCTAGCTGTTAGTCTTTGAGTTATATCCAGCTATTCTGAATAGACCCATTGAAAGCAGTGGATTTAGAACTAAAGTCCATTGATTTCAATGGGTCTAGTTTGAGTATGACATAGTTAAATACACCCTTTCACTAATCCCATGTTGCTTAATAGCATTTCTGTGTTAATATGCTGGATTTACTTACCAGATTCTTCCCCTTCTGCTTTACCATCTCTCATTTAAGCCTGGATCAGTGGTACCTTCAGACTCTTGTGAGGAATGCTTCTGCACTGCAACACAGGATCCTAAAACCCAAACCAATAAAATCAAGTGCACTCCAATTAATTGTTCTACTGAATGCCAACAGGTAGGTAGACACATTGATGACTAACTTCTCCTCTGTTGCTGACTCAGCTTACCTTGCCATTGTTATTGTGGTTAGACAAATGTAGTGAACAGCAGCTGTTTGGAAAATGGCTTCCCTACTACACTAGTTAACAACAACAACAATTCCAGAGGGAAGCACTGGGAGAAAGCTTCCATAAAAGCTTGCTTTTCCACAAAGAGAAAAGCAGAAGATCTGATGAATCTTATGTACATTATGGGCAAAGCACCTTGAAGATGATCTATCACTGCATATAACAGACTAACACATGTTGGTTCCAAAAGATGGGGGTTAAGAAAAATAACACCAGAATGGAAACTTAGGGGAGAGCTGTGATGTCTACCATTAACACCAGCTAGTTAATAAAAATGCTAGATAATGATCATGTTTGGTTCAGATACTAAGCCTGATATTTCTTGAGCTAGACAGAATAGGAAGCCTGAAGGACAATTCTGTGGATTAAAGTAGTTTCTGGGCTTCCATTCAAAACTCCAGATTCCACCACAAACTGGGAAGTCCATCAGAATCTGAAGTAGGGGTTGCCCAAAATCTAAAAATCACTTGCAAAAATGTGAACGTTAGTCAAAACTGCATAGAAAAATGTGTTTATAAGGAGAAATGCTGGTGAATTTCCATGAGGATTTTCTTTATAATGCAAAATGTGGACCATTGAATTTAAGACTGGAAAAATGAGAAACTGGGGGAATTGAAATTGGCAGCTCCTTCTATCCCTTCCACCAGCATCTTTTCATCCTCAGGGGTTCCACTATATCCAGAAAGAAGGAAAATGCTGTGGTGAATGTGTGCAGACAGCATGTGTGACAAAGCTTTCACCTGGGATAGTGGCCATTGAGGTATGTGTTTACCTTCTTTATGAGTAATTGTTTTGTTGTGACCATCTTACTCAGTTAGCTCAAAAACACAATTTTAAGGAGACTTCTCTTTGAAAACTGAGAATGCTTCATGTGTAACAATGGAATATAATGCCTTCATGAAATTAGATTTTAGCAATAGTGAGATACTTCTACACAAAATGCAGGTATTGAAGAAAACAACTTTTCATACAGATAGGACAGGCACTAAGGAAGAAAGATTTGCAGCTGACATAAGTTCACCCAGGATGTCTGTGGGAAAGGAGGGGATTTGAATTGACCCTCCTGATCTTCAGATCAGGAGAGAAACCACCAGTGAATGCCTTGGTTAAAACATAACTTCCTATTCTATTTCTGTATCAAGCCAAACTAGGCATTGCACCATTCATGTAATTAACACTTGCGTGAGGGGCTTTTACAAAATAAAATGTAGGAAAATCTAGATGAAGATCAGCTCTTTTGCTCAATAGCACCTATTTCTGGATATTATTTTCTACTACAGGTTGGGAAGACCTACAAGGATCCACAGGATAACTGTACTCAGTATCTATGCACCAGGGTATCAGATCAATTTATATTGAGTACCACAATAATATCCTGCCCAGTGTTTGATCGATCAAATTGTGTCCCAGTGAGTATTATTATAGCAGTGCTTGCTTTTATCAATTCAACTCACATTTCTTATTATTAACCCTATGTTGAAAACCCATTTGGCTTCCAGAGCCAGACGGAAGGAGGCTGGCTGGATTGTGTTTGGGGATCTATGTCACTAAATCACTAAAAGATAGCTCAGTTAGCTCAAATAGCTCAGTCGGTTAGAGCATGGTGCTCATAATGTCAAGGCTGCTGGGACAGCTTCATATTCTTGAATATTGACCTCAGATTATGATTGGTTGTGAGTGAAATAAACCATCATCGCTGGTTAGCCTTCCAGAGTTAGCTGCGAGGATCAGGAAGGAACAAAGCAGGTAAAAAATTGATTGATTCAAAGTTTTATAATCTGTACATAAAGGAGGAAAAGGAGTAACGTGCAAAAAAAGAAATATTAAGGTGTGAAGCACTAATATTATAATGTGACATATTCTCATGTTTCTTTTCAAAATAGGCAACTATTCAAACTGCTGCTGATGGATGCTGTGAGATATGTGAGTATGTTCTTTACAACAGTTCATGAATGAAAGCAAAAGAGCTTTTATAAATTCCCAGTTTGCACATAACCAGTGCTTTTTTCCCTGAGGGTACGCAGGGGTATGCCTACCCCTAAACATTTTATGAATCTTTGTACTTTTGTCCATCTACTTTATTTATTTTTCCGTTTTGAACTATAAAATTGTGATTTTTTTTGAGTCAAAATGAGAGTACACCTAAACATTTTTTAAGAAAAAAAGCACTGCACATAACTGTCAGGAACTGGCTGGATGAGGAATAGTGGGGGGGGGGCTGCCCTTCCAAGAGCCCCCCAGGGATGACACAGAGGAAAGAGACTTGAGCCCAGGACATTCGTGGTGGGACATGGAGGACCAGTCTGCAGAAGGGGCAAGCTGGGAGGTGATCGAAGCAGGAGGTTTGAGTGAACATGGAGAGTCAGAAGAAGAAAGCCATTCCAGGACAGGGCTGGGCACCGTGAGCTCAGACTTACAGCAAGGAGCCGGATACTGCCTCTGTTGCTCAGCAGTCCTGCTCCAGCAAGCTCTCCTCCTCCACTGACACTCAGATCATGAAGAGTCCTGCCCATTGCTGAGCAACGGGCCAGACAGGCCCAGAGTGGAATCCCTCTCCCTTGCTGCAGTCTATGGCTACTTGAGAGGAGTCCAGAGTAAGGGAAGGGGGGCCAGATGCCAGTTCCAGCAATGTCTTCAACTAGGAGAGACTAGCCTAGATGAACTTGGTTGTGCTCTTACTTTTGTGAATAAAAGCTATTTGCATTTCACGTCTTGAGTCCTTTTCCTGACCTGTGGAAGTACCTGCAGTCTCCTGACATCCCCTTGACAATAACACAAAACCAAACCACAAAACCACAATGGAATACCAGTAAAAATCCATTTCTCTAATCTGTTTTCTGTGATGTCAGCTGATTAATAATAATAGCATTAGAGCAAAAAGAAGAGCTATCTAAAGTTCTTCAAAGGGGCCTGTTAAATCTAGGGCAGGAGAAAATATTTGATTCAGTTTGCGTTTAAAGCTGAATATATCAAAATTGCACTTTCCATAACAATATGAGAACCAAAACAAAAATCTGAATTTTACAATGTAGCCCTGCAACCAAACAATGTCTACAGAAATGCATATATTAGGGGAGTGTGTGTGGAATGAGCAGCTACATTTGAAATGATAGATAAAACTGCTTTTAAGTTCAAAGCTGCTGGTTCCTGATAGTTTAAGTTCCAATCAGGTAAAGTTATTTGAGGATTTTTGTTTCCCTTTCATTTTCAGGTACCCCCTTGTCACATAATTGTACAATTAACCTGAAGAGGCAATTCATTGTTTATAAGAATTGTAAATCAGCCAGGCCTATCAACGTTCCTTCCTGTGGAGGATCCTGCAACACCTACTCTGTGTAAGTAAAAGATTGCTCCACCTGTCTCAGTCAACTTGACTTCTACAGCACAACACAGACACAGCATTCACTTTTTGTGCCTCTTTGCTTACCATTTTCTGGAAATGAGCCTGGAGCACGAATATACCTCAGTTTTTGCCACTGCCACCCTCTGTAAAATAGCAAATAATAGTTGCACTATTAAGTCACCCTGGACTTGTAACAAGTAGGTGAGTTTAATATTTGCCCACTTTGCACACACAGTTATGTTGTTACCATATGGTTGCTTCACTACACACGCAGAGACTTTCAACATTTTATCATTTTACTGCAAGATTTATGGAAAAATAAGGTGAGCCAATGGCACAACTGCTTTAGAATGTGCACATGGTCTCTATGGGTCAACCTGTCTGGCATGTTGCCACGAGTCCAAGATAATACAAATTAACTGGCCGTCAAATTATTCTCCAAAGGCTGGTTTTTGGTATAATGACACAATCACTTGACTGGATGTTCCAATAAATTAAACAAGAATGTGTTATTTTCCCCAGTGAAAAGTAGTGCTAACATGTTCCTTATTTTCCAAGGGTGTTACGCCAAAAGAATAGGCACTGAGAGGCCTTTAGCAAGTTCTTCTAACAGCCTGTAAATTTAGTCCACAGGGGTAGGACCCCCAAAGTTTGGATAGTATCTAAGCAGCTTGAGCAAGACCTAGGTTAAGATTTCAGAAGCAGACAGGTGTTGAATATAGCCGAAAGCTTCTGATAATCAGGACTCAAACTGTCACACTGTACAAAAGCACTGAATGTTGTGATCTACATGGGTATTTCTCCTTTGTGAGAGACACATGTATATACCCAGTGTCTATTTATAGATCAGGCTACAACCTGTCAAGAACTCAGTGGGACTCTGCAATTCCTCTTTCTGTTTTTTCCCTGTTGTTTTGGTAGAGCTGGACAGCAGGAGAAGCAGCATGCACCCCTCTATTAGCAATGGAAGCAGATATCTGCTAGGAAACCTTGCTGCTGCCTTTTTCTGCTGATAGTGACACAATTTATGAGTTTTACAAGCCACAGTCAAAGAAAGTTAACATTGTGCACAGATCTGGGGGGACAACAGAAGCGGGAAGCAGAAGCAGAGTTTCCCAGAGATCTAAAATCACACAGTCTCCATCCTTTTTCCTTCAATGTTTTTAGCATGGAACACTGGTGGGGAGGGAAGAAAGTGGAGCATAATGGCCTAAACCAACTTTCACCCTCCAGATATTTTGGACTATAATCCCCACCAATCAGCATGTTGTCCAATATTGCACCATATTGATGAAGGCCGGGCTAAACCAAAAACACAGACCAGTGCACTTAGTTAATGAATAAATGCTAGAAAACTATTTCTTGACTTGACATCACTGGCCGCTTTTCGTGTAAAGAGGAACATCAGTCAAAACGTTTCACCTGTGCTTTCTCCCCCAGATATTCCTTTGACACTCACAAAATGAAGCATGGATGCACATGTTGCCATGCCACAAAATACCATAAAGTGAGAGTGGAACTGGTTTGCAGCAAAAGGAGGCATATGAAATACACATATCTTCATGTAGATGAGTGTAGCTGTGTGGAAACTAAATGCCCAACATAGAAATGTGAACCAAAAAATGTTGGTGAAATGTTTTGTCTTTATTTGAATAATTCATTTTTAAAAAATGCTTCAAGCAGTTGTGTGCAATTGTGTGTGTGTGTGTGTGTGTGTGTGTGTGCATGCATTCACATATCCATTTTTATTCCTGTAATAAGAGATGTTTAGGATTTTTTTACAAGGTGATTCATCCCTGTAATCATGTTTCTTATTCCAATTGCTACAGGAAATTGAATGACAAAGAACAATGTTGATATTTGTCAAATAAACTATGTTTCCAAGTTGACTTGCTTTCTGTTGCAATAACCTTACCTAGATCAGCTACAGTATATCCTCTTCTCTTTCACTCTCAAAGACCTGACAGAGAAGAATTAGTAGTGTAAACATTCACAATGTGAACACACACCGTTAAAATCTTTGCAAGAAGATTGGTGAAAGACTTGGCTGGAAATTCATTGTGGAAGTCAGGTGGGGAGGAATTTTATACTTGTAAAAGTGTAGCATTCTGGATCTGTAGAAACAAAGAACATTACTGTATTCAAAGTAAGAGTCGGATACAGTTATGAAAGAGGGTAGCCCCTACTCGCGTGTTATTATCATTGGAATTAAACAGTTGGTGTAGGGGCCACATCCACCACTTCCAGAGACTCTTTCCCTACTGTCTCTACTGACCAGCACAAAGGATGCATGGGGGCTTCTCGCTGCATTCAGGTAAATACATTGAGAAGCCTCGAAATGATGTGGAATGTGGGTAGAAGTTCAGTACTGGAGCTGCTAAGATGCTGAATGTGGGCAAAGGTCTGATATGGAGCCAGGGGTAGGGTGCGGACAAAGGTATCTACAACCTCTGCATGACCAGTTTAGCCACAACTCTGCTAACTCCTTCTGGATAAGATGTTAACTCTCAGTTGTCTGATTCACCACCACACTGAACATAACCTTCATGTTTTCCCCTCCCCACATTACTTCCTCCTCTGGGAGATATTTGGGACACAGTTACAACCAGGTTATTTTAATAGCTGTTCCTAGCATAATTTCATTCACATCACTGAGCAGATGTTTTCCTTATACTCATAACTGATATTTGGTTGAGAGGAAATCTTCCTACAGTTCAGTCACACTGGGCATTTGAGGGAATGGGGATCTTCCACTGCAAAGTGTGGTTTGGTTAGATTGGTGAAGTTATTTGCCCTACAAGTAGATGTTCTCTCATTGTAGTGTACTGTGGTCCAGATTGGTTAGATCAGCTTACAGGAGGTTGGCGTCTGCCTTCCTTAGACTCTATATGATAGAAACCTAACATACAGCCATATGTTATTAGGGTAGCACTAAGCTATGGGAAACACTTGAGGTACAATAATATTCAAAAGTTGCCACACCTGCATGAAACTTCTAGGTTATACTGGACTCCAACACAGCTCTTTCTCCTGAGGAAACACTTTCTTTCCTGAGTTCCAATAGTCTTGACTTATTGTGATTTCCCACAAGATCTCTCACACCACAAGCATTAGGCTAACACCCACTGAACATTCACAGTGTGTTGCGTGGCTATTCCCGCCCCTTCCCACAGAATGGAATAAATAAAGACACAGGACACCGAATATAGGTTAATGGGCGAAAATTGGCCACAACTTTATTGATTACAGGTAAGAACGGTATTGGCTTTAGGCATTGGCCCTATCAGACTAACCGGTATAACCGGGAAGGGTTAAGCACCAACAGGGGGAGCCCCTGAGATGCACATCCCTAGGCGCTCCCCGAGGGGTTACCGCTCGGGAGCGCGCTTTAGGCCCTAGCCTCCATAGGTTTCGGACGAGGCGACGCCCCCTTTAACGAACTACCCTTCAGCATTTGGGGGAGGTGATGGCGTTCCTCCCCCCATCTCATTTGCATAATAATACCCCTGCCAATGCCTAACCGCCACACGAGCCAGGCTCGCCGCCAATACCCTCAAACCTGTAACCAATCCCTGATCCCCTCGAAAATGTCAGCAAGCCAAATATCGTTACCAGCATCGGAAAGGTGCACGCCATCCCCGCGGTAGAGGGCCTCCTCACTAAAATGGATGGCTGGGTGCTCAATGACCTGCCCACCCATCGCTGCCACTCTACGCGCCACCGAGCGCTCCAGGAGCCTCCTGGGTCTATTCACAGCCACCGGGTTTTTGGAATCCCTCCACACGCGCCTCTCAAGCAGAAATGACCAAATAATTGTTAGGTTCGGATAGGAGGCCCGCAACTCCCCTAGGTCCCTAAGAATATGCCACATTAAGTCCACCCCCTTTCTGTAAACTAGGTCGTTCTCACCCAGTTGAATGACCACCGCCTCCGGTGGGCCTTCAACAGCAATTCTTTTTGTAACTGCTGGGAAGAATTCTTCCCAGCGCATTCCACGACGCGTGATCCAGGAAACTTCAACGTTGTTTGGAAGTTGCAAATCGCACCAGCCCCTGGCAACCGCACGTACTCTTGCCCAGTGGACAATGCTGTGGCCGATGATCCACAAACGCACCGTCCCAACACCTGAAAATAAAAGAGAGCAAGAGAACCAGTTCAGTGGGGCCGATGGAGGAAGGAATGTTAGCATGTCTTCCGGATGTACCCCCTGTAAGCTTTCGACTTCCACCGCCCCATGTCCATTATCCTCTCCGCTGGTAAACCCATGTGCACGGCAGTGGTCGCGGCCCCGATGCGAAAGGAATGTGTGGCGTACTCCTCCGATGGGAGCCCAATGGCAGTGATTGCCTTGCGCATGACGCTCGTAAACTGATGCTTTGACAGGCGAGAGCCATCTGCGTGTATGAAGAAAGGGCCGCAGGCTTTAGGTCTTAAACACAGGAACTTTCTTGCATCCTTTACTGGGCAAGGGCCGGCCTTCTGAGTAGCCTGTAGGCGGATTAGGGCCCCTCTGCCAAGCTGATCGGTCTTTGAACTGCAAATTTTTAGGATTACTTCGGAGCTAGACAAAGTCACGTCCTCCAAGAGGAGCCCCCTGTTATTTTTAACCGGTTGGTCCTTGCAGACCACCTCGCCTATGCGCAAGGCACCGAAGAAAGCGAATGAAAAGGCTGTGGAGAATAACCTGGCCTCATACCTAGACCAACAAATGACCCTGAGCTTCTTACGTATTTGCCTAAGTATGTCATAAGTTATGGGTCTTCTGCTGTCAGAGCTAGGAGGCCGAGACCTACGCCAGCCCTCCAGCATCTTCCGCACCACGAAGTGTGCACAGGGGTCGACTGAGAACAGAGCTTTGGAGAAGAACGATATTGCTGCGGAATGAATATTTAGGGTTTTGGGGGCCTGCCCTAGGTCGCGGAGGCGCACAAGGTATTCTATAACCTCCGACTTAGTCGGGGGCTTGCCTGGTTTAAAAAACCCTTTCTTCTGACGAAATGATGAGAAATCTAACCACGCCTTGTTATAGGATCTTAGTGTTGAGGGTGCTACTGATAACAATACTCCCTTTATCGCTTCTCGTTGCCAATACTCCAGAGGTGCCCCGGTAGGAAGGCAAGATGTTTGGGCGATAGTATCGAGCTCAATGCCCAGGTAAGTCATTGTAGTGACTGGACCCTCCGTCTTTTCATTCGCTAAAGGGACCCCCAGCTCTTCCGCCATAGACATGAAGGCCTGTAGCAAGGCCGTACAGGCATTAGCATTACTTGCTACCAAAATAAAATCATCCAAGTAATGCCCCACCCCTTCAGAACCAGATTTAAATTTAAGCACCCATTCCAGGAAGGTGCTGAAAGTTTCAAAAGCAGCGCAGGCAATTGAACACCCCATTGGCATTGCTTTATCGATGAAATAAGCTCCCTGGAATTTAAAGCCTAGCCAACGATAGTCTTCAGGGTGGACCGGGAGGAGGCGAAATGCGGATTCGATGTCGCATTTAGCCAGAAAAGCACCTGCAGCTGCTGAAAGGAAAGGAAAGGGGCGAGTATGGGCTGCCCCGACCTTAAATGCCCCTTACTAGTCCCGCCCCCGCCACCAGCCGATTGTCTGGCGCGGTGAATAATGAATACTAATGATCCCGGGATTCCCTAGGTCCCGCGGGGCTGCAGCCAGCCCCGCGAGGGTGTGAATGGGGTGTGAGCCCACAACCCACCCCCTCCAGATGTCGGGAGTGGCATTGTGGTTTATATTTTGCTTTGCATCCCAACTTGGCTAGAAAGCTACCAAAAGCAGCTAGGAAAGCTTCTTTCACAGACTCTGGTTACAACTTCAAATACTGCATCAGTATTTCATAAAAACAACAACAGGATAGATGTGGATTGTGGCTAACATCACATGTACACTGCTTCCCAAACCAACAGCATGAGCATGCTCAGTGCAAAGGAAATAGTAGTAGTATGCACACAGCCCTACATTCTAATGGCTTAGTCTTCAGCATGCTGCATCAGCATGAGGTCACAGTGGCCAGTCTCTCTGACTCAGCCAGACAGCATCAACATAGGTGCACATTGATCAGCCTCTCTAATTGAAGCAGACAGAAGCAGTTGTATGCCCAAACACACACACACACACACACAGAGAGAGAGAGAGAGAGAGAGAGAGAGAGAAGGAGTGAGCACTCATAGAGGTGAGCATGTGAAGAAGCATGTGGAACTGGTCTCCTACTGAAGTGGTTCAGTAGCAACCATGTGCAAGCAGTCTCAATCTCTCTGAAATGGGCAGAAGTGGGGGTGGGTGGGTGGGAGAGAAGCAGTAAAGAAGGTGAGGAGCCAGCTGTAAGTAAATTACCCGGTAAGTAAATCAGGCTAAATGCTAACTGTCCCATAACTGCCCTGTAAACAAATGAGAAGACTTGACATATCGTTTAACCACCATGCCAGCTTTGTGCTAACAAATCAGGTTGGATGTTAAATAAGCAGGTCACGTAGAGGAGCTGACCTCTTCTACAAATCTCAAGCTCGAAACAAGACTGTCATGATTACACTACCAGAATTCTTGCCATTACTAGTGCCATAAATCATAGCAATGGCTGTGAGCTTGCAAAGTGTCCCCAGCCAAAGTTTTATGAACTTTGCAAGCTTGTGTTCTAAGCTATAGCAACAATAAACATATTGTGATAAATTAAAGACAACCACATTTTATTATGCCCCAAGCAGATGGACTAGATGGGTGCCCTCTCAAACTTTAATGTGCCACAAAAGTAACACAAGTGATTAACACGGCTGTCCCTCTGGAATTATTTATAAGTATCACAACAATTATGGATATTAGTATTAGAGAATCTTTGCTTCCAACCC